GTGTTTCCTCCAGACGTAGTGTTCACAGCGGCGTGCGTGTACCAGTCGCGCCAGATTACGCTACCGCGGCCTGGGAAGATACCTGGGGGGTAGCACATCAGCGGTTGTTGTTATTACTGTGAGGGTTATTCTTTTACCCTCTACAGTCGATGCTCCAGGAGTGAGCACGGGAGTTACGAGAATGTTACTTCCAATAAGCCATTGCCTATCCACGGTGAACAGCTCAGGCTCGTCCGGGAACTCGTAAAACAATGCCCTGACAGGCGGAAGACCAGCCATGGAGGAGTTGGCAAAAAGCGTGTACTTTTGTATGTCTACTGTCAACCTCATGAACACCTGGAAGCGGACACACTTACCCAGTACGGCAGCATCGCGTATCTAGCAGCGATGGCGATGCGGGATGCATTTGCTACGCTTTCCCAGCGGTAAGGCTCTTGAGGGAGAGCACCATTGGTGTTGTGGTTCCTGTAGAAGGGAACGAATGCAGAGAGCTGCATCCAACGGTTGCACAACTCCTCGTCAGTGTTGTCGTCTGTTTAGATAGTTAATCAGAGGCTGATCTACATCCGGAAGATGCTCACTGAATCCACACGTGTCAGCGCCAACCATCGGAATTTGGTAGATTTGGAACTGCAGAACGCCCTGAATGTTGAGGTACATGTACTGCCACAAGCTGAAGTTGTCACCAAGCTATTTAAAAGTCAACATCACTCCCAATTCAATCGAGTGGATTCAAAATACCCAATGTCCAGTCCATTTTCCAGCAGAGGGGAAGGTTGATCTACTGATCAGGAATGGGCGCTTTTCAGGTAAGATCGATTGAATAGCAAGGTGCGTCGCTTTTTCCTCCATCAGCCCGAACATATTATGGACGTCGAGGTCCACATATCCGCCGGAGTGCGTGGCGTTGGTCGCCAGAGAGTGCTGGTTAAGAGATCCGGCCGCTGCGTCCCAGGAAAATCATAGTCATATCGCAATAGTGGTACATAAAGACTAAATCTTACCATTGTGGATAGCGTATGGCGGGTTGTTGAGATCAACGCCTTCCTCGCTACTTGCACCGACACCCCGCTTTTCTATCATCGTCATAGTGGTCGAGTTGGCGGCGCATGAGTATGTAGAGGTACCATTGATGGTCATGTTCCCACTAGGTCCCCAGAGTGTTTCATTGTAACTTCAAAATTTGTTAGCAAGATTCAGCGCCTTGAAAAGCCCCTAACTGTCATACCATTCAGGATATCCGACAACCACCGAGCTGACATCGGTCAGGGGACCGACGGAAGAGAAGTTCGCGCCAGTCCCGCTTCTCGCCAATCAGCTTAAAGCGACACACGGACAAAAGCTTTCCGTACCAGGAGTAGCTACAGAATGTGCTTGGCTCGTTCATGTCCAGCCAAATACCAGAGAATTCCACACCCATGTCCGACCAGTTTTTAAGACTATCAGTCCATACAGAAAGCATATTTTCGCTGAACCAGTCCGGGAAAACCTGGAAAAGTATGTAAATTGATCAATTGAAAAGAGATTCCATAAATCAGGAATGACAGACAGTGTAGCCGGGCCAGACTTCGGCGATATATAGAGACCCATCTGGATTCTTGATCCACACATCCCTGCAGCGCATTCATGGCTGGGGATCGCTACCAGAACGGTGAGACTCACTCTTCAACACCCCGTGTGAAAGGATCATACTGAATCGACATATGGTCAGGAAGCGTCCGACAACAGCATGTCTGGAGACTTACGACGTCAGTCGAATTCCTCGTGACAGCGATAGCCGCGTCCACAATAGGGATATCTGAAAGGCTATTCGATCAACCCTGGCAGTGGAATATCACAAGCTCATTTACAATGTTGATGATTTGCAGCCTGTCACGCAAGTCAGAACTAGCTGCGCCCAGCAAGATATCCTGAGAAACACTCACTAATTCTTGGATGAACTCACGAACTTCATCACCAGGGAAACTTACTGGGTCAGTAGTGAAGTCGCGGTAAGCGTGGTACAAGTCGATATCGTTCCATTGGACTGCATTGCCAAGTGAGAATTATGAGCAATGAGTCCCACCAAGACATGACAAACCTTCCAGGGGGATACCCGCAGCGCGCATCTGCGCGACGTTTTCTCTGTCATCACTGATATTGTGGTACCCCCATCTGAATGACTTCAACGAGTCTTCTTGAGGTCGATCACAAAATAGAGAACGTTACCTGCAAAGGTGGAACCCGAAACCCCACGCCGGTTGCCACATAGGGTACCCAATGACTGAACCGTACTGGGCAATGACTTCTGCATCCGAGGGACCAGAGAAGAAGTAAAAGTCCAGGATACCACCAATCATACGATACTCAATCAATGATACCTTGGAGTTCGGGGGCGTCTGCAAGAAGATATCTGAACCCGCAGAACTAAGGAATGCATTAACAGATAAAATCGAGAATCAGTTGCAGTCGAATACCTTAGCAGAAGAACACCAGAGGCAGATGCCTTTCCGGTGGTCGCATTGTACCGATGTTCAACGTAGATTGGATGGGAACCATACCTGACCAGAGCCCGCATATAGCCACGTGAGAATGATTTCCAGTCATATAACTTACAAGTTCTGATCAATAGGATCGGAAACTCCGAGACTCCAATGCGATTGAATGGTGCCCACGCCCCCATCTGTTCCAATGTCGCGTCTAAATCCACTGCTGGCAATTACCTCACCTAAACCGTAGATGTTGGTGCCATGCGGCAGAGCAGAAGCAACCTGATAATCATAAGCTATATTTACATCAGGGGTGACAGATGCAGACCTGCAGATATTGATCTTCGAATACAAGAGGAAAACCATCGAATGCCGTGCTTGGGTCAGATGCATTGAAAGGCGGAATGGGAGTCGGTGGCAGCGATGAAGTCCTCGTGTCGAACAATGGCATTACGTCTGGGTCAGAGCGTCTCGTGATCCAAAATGCGAAAGGCGCTGCATCGAAGTTGAATACAAGGTCGGAGTTGCTCGTGTAGGATGTCGTTGGTGCGGCAGGCCGTTCGATCACCGACTCGGGGATTGTGAATTGTTGGTTGGCAGTATCGTAAATCTTGACATGCAAACTAAAACCAACCATTAGCGTTGCATCAAAAAGGCTCTGGGAGCAATATACGTGGACTGTGACTGGTATGTGACTTCGATGGTTAGGTCTGAGATATCCAGTCCAAAAGCATTGCATGCTGGTCCGGCGAGTGTGAGCTGAGCAGTGAGACCAGTGTCAAACTCCTGAAGCAACCCTAGAATGTATCCTGGACTCCGCCATTGTCAATGTCAATTCTCAAGACATTAAAACGCACTCCAACCTGGGCAGTCTGTGACATTCATTGAGTAAGGCGTTGCGGTGCCATCAAAAGTGTGGTTGTTTCCTAGTGCGGTGCGTTGAACAGTAGTTGAGGCTGCTCCCGAAACTGTAGGTGCCAGGGCGTACAGGGCACCAAATAGCAAGGAAAACATGAGGTCGACCTGAGAGAAAGAATCCGTTGGAGCGGTGTATCCGCGACTGTGTGCCTGCGTGTCGCGAGCAAGGCAAGAAGTGGTGAAGAGCACTACGCACAAAGCCCGAAGGACACTGAATGGCTCGCTAAACTACGGTGCTACTCGGCTGCCACTCGGCTCCTACTCCACCGTTGCAGATGGGGAACATGTGGTGGGTTTGTATTTATACTGATATATGCGAGCTCTTGCATCTTAGGCGTGGCCATTGGAATGCTTCGGACGTCAAAAGTCCCTACCTGCCTCCGCGGAATTAAATCTTGGTGCTGCCGCATAACAAACGCTTTACGACCATATGATCGCACGGTTCAAGAGGTGAAGATGAGAGATGGTCAATATTTGTAGCGCTGTTGTGAAAACTGATAATGATGTGAGTGGTCGATATAATGAGACCACGAACGAGAGAGAAAAGCTTTAGAAAGTTTCGAAACGGATCAGATGAGATTTCATCCTAACTAACAGTTTGGGTACTAGAATTCGACCCCTGATTAGATGGTGACGGCAAGCGCCACTCCGGCCCGCCAAGGCCTCAGCAAAGAAGCCGCGGACGGTCCGTCACCGAGTTTTCTCCTCAAAATAAATCTGACTATGGGAAACTAGAGTTCTTTGGCAGTCATGTTGTACATAGAACTTACTGGTCTCAACAAGGTTCCCTAACAGTGGCAAGAGCGCACTGACTCGGAAGAGCTCGAGAGAAGACCACGACTGGAGACGACTGCAGCCGACCAAATCGACATTCACAACCAGTTCTGAACTTCTGTCAGGGTAGCGCACTCCACTTCTCTGTCAAACTGAGCGGCGTCGTTGATGCGGCATTCCCACCATGCGGTTCAAACAATTTGACTCGCGTGGATCAATCACGAACTTCCAAATGATAATCTCGACAAAACATCTTCGTTGAACACCGAAGTTCCGACACGTCAAACTGCTATGGCTCAATCAGTTCTGCCGATAAGACTGTAAAAGACACACTTGCTCGCTCATAGGTTCTTCTCTGGCACACTCCACTCCATCTCAGTCCAAATTCAGTTCAAATGTTGCCGGACTCATCGGATAAGCCAACTGCGGTCATGGACATTGCGCAAATTGCAATGCGTACCGCCCCATGTTGTGGCCTTGCACCATGCGCCCTCCCACCCTTCAGGCCCTCACGGACCGGTGTCACACAAATGGCGTTCAGCTGGAGACTGCGTCGACACGCGCGCAGGCACCTTTGTTTAAATCGCCAAAATGGACTCAGAAGAACGCTAAAGCACTCAAAACATCTAACACTGCTCCTCCGAGCCCTCCCGTTTTCGCCGGTCATGGTGATGCTGTTCTATGTCAGGCAACATCTCGCTACGAGTACCATAACAAACTCGAAATATGGCCCTCCCGAACAGTGCATATTCCAAACCTGCCTACAAACTTGCTACACAGTTTTTCTTGTCATCACAATTGCACCTCCACGCATGACTGTTCTCTTGCGATCCATCCTAAGTAGTCCTAGCGAAGTGGTCAGCGCGAACGGATTCAAAATCTGCTCTACTTGCATGGCGCAGGTTCGAAACCTGCCGACTTATCTATTTTTTCTATGATCACACCTTGGACATCGACTCGTGAGTCGTGGATAGATGATCCTCAAGGGTCTAACTGAGGATACCAAATGGTTGTCAATGTTACCAGATAAGTTAGAAATCTGTTTTCGTGGAGGGTACAGACCTACTAGGCTACTGATGCAGTCTTTTTGCTTTTATCACACCCTAAAATTTGCTCATGATAGTTCTTTCGAAGGTCTATTTCAATCAGCTGTCATAGCCAAGCAGGTATTATAGCAGATTCGAAATCTGGTCCTCTGGAGGTGTTTGTATGAAAACTGTCCACAACTTTCTTTTTTTTCAATTCGTGAAATCAGTTACAGTGCACTACCTCGGCCGACGATGCACCTGCTGAGATTTTATCTGTGAGAGTAGCCAACTGCCTATCCACGAGAAGCAATCCACCTTTAGGTCCCGTCAAGATGATTTCAGTTGAACGTAGTATGTACATACTTGCCCTATGGAGTCGGAAGTTGACAGAGACAATATTCAACATTCCTCGTAAATTCTGTTCTGTTAGTCTCCCCTGGACATATCGTCGATGGGTGAAGATATTCGTTCCTTCACATCCAATGTTTGCGTGATTCGGATATGTGAACTTACAGATCTTCGCATCCCCTTTTGCCTCCAAGTTAGATATACCGAGGACGGACCACTCAATGACATCGTGCAACTATCCGAAACCAATAGTGGTCTAATAGTGCGTTTGTACGCGAGAGAACAACTACTTCCATGCTAAGGTAAACTGACCATTAAGGTCGACAGACACATTCGACACCACCAACTCTTCAGTGACCTCCTTGTAAGTCCAGCCGGCAGCCAATGATCCCTGGAATTCAACCTGGGTAGGGTTCTGCACGCCAAGCACAGTGATCGTCTCCAACTTTTGCAGGATCGCATATGCACCCTGGCTCTCAATCATGAGCGTGCCTTCTGCAGCCTGGAATGTAAGGCTCCGACTCGGTCCAGGCGGATAACTGATCCCATCGTCCACATATGCTGTGCCGAATGCTGTGCCTGCCGCGTTGAGAGACACGAGCAGTGAATAGGGGCCTTCGCGAGTCTCGTAGATCGTGTACCCGGGCTCTTGATGCAGCAATAGAACGGAGTTGTCGCGGATGTGGACGTTGATGTGACTGATAGGAGCGTCTAGTGTTGTGTTTCCTCCAGACGTAGCGTTGACAGCGGCATGCGTGTACCAGTCGCGCCAGATTACGCTACCGCGGCCTGGGAAGATACCTGTAAGATAGTATGTCAATCAGGGGTGTCATTGGTGAGGCTTGAACTGTTACCGTCGACGGTCGTAGCTCCTGGAGTCAGTACTGGAGTCACGAGAATGTCACTTCCAACGAGCCATTGCCTGTCTACTGTGAAAAGTTCAGGTTCGTCAGGGAACTCATAAAACAACGCCCTGACAGGCGGAAGACCAGCCATAGAGGCATTGGCAAAAAGCGTGTACTTTGTATGTCTATTGTCAACCTCTTGACCACTGGAAAACGTACACACTCACCCAGTACGGCAGTAGGGAGTATCTAGCAGCGATGGCGATGCGGGATGCATTTGCTACGCTTTCCCAGCGGTAAGGCTCTTGAGGAAGGGCTGCATAAGTATTGTGGTTCCTGTAGAAGGGAACGAATGCAGAGAGCTGCATCCAACGGTTGCACAACTCCTCGTCAGTGTTGTCATCTGTTTAAATAGTTAATCGGAGGCTGATCTACACCCGGAAGATACTTACTGAATCCACACGTATCAGCGCCAACCATCGGAATTTGGTAGATTTGGAACTGCAGAACACCCTGAATGTTGAGGTACATGTACTGCCACTTGCTGTAGTTGTCACCAAGCTATCAGGGACGTTAATATCCTATCCTATTCCATAAAATGGATTTCAAATACCCAATGACCAGTCCATTTTCCAGCAGAGGGGAAGGTTGATCTACTGATCAAGAACGGACGCTTTCCGGGGATGATAGATTGAATCGCAAGGTGCGTCGTCTTTTCCTCCATGAATCCAAACATATTGTGCACATCGAGCTCTGCAATTCCGCCGAAGAGGGTCGCGTTCGTCGCCACAGTGTTGAGGTAAAGGGCTCCGATAGCTTTATTCCGAGTCAGATCAAAACCGTGCTATACGAATGAAACTTGCCATTATGGATAGCATATGGCGGGCTGTTGAGATTGACGCCTGACTCGCCACCAGCGCCGATGCCACGTCGTTGAACGCCACGTTTTTCAACCACAGTCGTAGTAGAGCTTGCTGTGCATGAATTTGTAAAGGTACCATTGATGGTCATGTTCCCACTAGGTCCCCATATCGTCTCGTTGTAGCTTAATCAAACATGGTTAGTAACATTCAGCACTTTAGCTCAAAACAGTTGCTTCACCATTCAGGGTATCCGGTGACAACTGTACCAGCCACGCTCAGGGGAGCAAGGGCAGAGTAGTTCGCACCGGTCCCGCTTCTCGCCAATTAGCTTCAAATCCAACACACACGAGCTCGCCTTACCAGGAGTGACTACAGAATGAACTTGGTTCGTTCATGTCAAGCCAAATACCGGAGAATTCAACACCCATTTCTGTCCAGTTTCTGAGAGCTTCAGTCCATACAGAGAGTATGTTTTCACTGAACCAGTCTGGGAAGACCTAGAAAAGTACGCTCAATTGTTGGTGTTCCACAAGTCATGCGTGACTGACGGTGTATCCAGGCCAGACTTGACCAAGGTACAGAGACCCATCTGGATTCTTGATCCACACATCTCTGTAATGCATTCAGCACTTTAGCCTGTTACCAGGCACAAAGAACTGACTCTTCAGCGCCCCGTGTGAAAGGATCATACTGAATTATGATACGGTCAGGAAGCATACGACCATAGTAGCATGTCAACTTACGACGTCAGTTGAATTTACTGGAATAGCGATACCTACATCCACAATGGGGATGTCTGACAACGAGTTCGATCAAAAATAGGAGGGAAAAGATACAGGCGCATTTACAATGTTGGTTATTCGCAGCCTTTCACTGGAGTGAGAACTGGGCGAACCTACGCGGAGAAATACTCACCAAGTCTCGAATGAACGCGCGAAGTTCATCCCCAGGGAAACTTACTGGATCAGTGGTAAAGTCGCGGTAAGCGTGGTACAAGTCAATATCGTTCCATTGGACTGGCGCGAAGTGAGGATCACGAGCAACGAGTTTCCAAAATGGGGCAGACCTTCCAGAGGGATGCCCGCCGCGCGCATCTGCGCGACATTCTCTATGTCATCGCTGACATTGTGGTACCCCCATCTGTATGACTTAAATGAGTCTATTCTACACCAATCACAACGCAGAGAACATCACCTGCAAAGGTGGAACCCGAAGCCCCACGCTGGCTGCCACATAGGGTACCCAATGACTGAACCGTACTGGGCAATAACTTCTGCATCCGAGGGACCAGAGAAGAAGTAAAAGTCCAGGATACCACCGATCGTACGGTACTCTATTAATGATACCTTGGAGTTCGGGGGCGTCTGCAGGAAGGTATCTGAGCCTGCGGAGCTAAGGAATGCCATTAACAGATTGTATTTGGATTCAGTTGCAGTTGAATACCTAAGCAGAAGAACACCAGAGGCAGACGCCTTTCCGGTAGTCGCATTGTACCGATGTTCAACGTAGATTGGATGAGAGCCATACCTAAACACGATCGTGAATCGTTACGTAAGCATTATTTATAACCATGTGACCTACATGTTCTGATCAATGGGATCTGCAACATCGCGAGCCCAATGCGTCTGAATGGTGCCTACGCCCCCATCTGTCCCAATGTCGCGTCTAAATCCACTGCTAGCAATTACCTCGCCCAAACCGTAGATGTTGGTGCCATACGGCAGAGCGGAAGCAATCTGGTAACTGTAAGCCATATGCGCAGCCTCAGCGGGAATAACGGATGCACACCTGGAGGTATTGATCTTCAAATACAAGAGGGAAACCATCAAACGCCGTGCTTGGGTCAGATGCATTGAAAGGTGGAATAGGAGTCGGTGGCAGCGATGAAATTCTCGTGTCGAACAATGGCATTGCGTCCGGGTCAGAGCGCCTCGTGACCCAAAATGCGAAAGGCGCTGCATCGTAGTTGAATAAAAGGTCAGAGTTGCCCGTGTAGGATGTCGTTGGTGCGGCAGGCCGTTCGATCACCGACTCGGGGATTGTGAATTGTTGGTTGGCAGTATCATAAATCTTGACATGTAAACTAAAACTAGTCATTAGCACTGCACCTAAGAGGCTCGGAAAACAATGTACGTGGACTGTGATTGGTAAGTGAGTTCGATTGTGAGGTTTGAGATATCGAGTCCAAAAGCATTGCATGCTGGTCCAGCGAGTGTGAGCTGAGCAGTGAGACCAATGTCAGACTCCTGAAGCGACCCTAGAGTGTATCCTGAAACACGCCATCATATCAGTGGCAACTCCACGAAGTTTGAACTGCTGTCCTACCTGGACAATTTGTGACATTCATCGAGTAAGGCGTTCCGGTGCCATTGGAAGTGAGCTTGTTTCCTAGGGTAGCACGCTGAGAAACCTCTCCCCAGACTGTAGGCACTAGGGTGTACAGGACACCCAAGAGCAAGGAGAACATGACAGTGGACCTGAGAGAACGATGGTACCGTTGCTGGTGATAAACTTCATCTGATGGGGTTGCATTTATACTGATGGCCTGAATATACTTCCCGGCCCATTACGTATGGCCATCGCAGCAGGACTTCTTCGGACGGGATAATTTGGATCACCTGTGAGAGAGAAATAAACAGAATCGGGCCAGTAACGTACAGACTCGTATGACGAGTCCTCGTGGCACAACATGAGGATGATCAGACGGACGAACTGGCAAGACCAGCTGACTACCGCGCTTGGGAAAAGATCACTGATCACTTTCAAGGTCTTAGCGGTAAGTCGGCCTTAACTTTGTAGTCCCATCCGTTGGAATGGGATGCACAACAGCGAGGCACGGTCTCAGATTGTGGGAGAGGGTTGCGTCGAGATTAAATTTACAATCGAGTCTATGAATTTAGGCGCTGGTACATTTTCATGATGTGCAGTTTATCCCCGACACTAGGCATGTCCATGTCATGCATGGCCAATTGAGTTGTTGCATGTTTGTCCGACCCGAATAACCGGCGAAATGACTCGGGATGCTTTAAAGTTTCAATGTCATCATGTCGCCTTGAATCTAGACTCGTGACCAGTCTAACGTACGTCCTTTAAGAGTTGACGTAGTCTAACTGATGGGCGTGCTTGCAATGCACCTAAGGAGTCCTTAGGCGCCGTTTGCAGAACGCTAGGCCAGTCCTCAAACAGAAGAAGTTAAACCACGACCTTCCAACTTTTGACAATCAATCGCGTTCAACTACCATAGGATGTTCGCGTGTTCGGTACAGGACCAAAGTTGCATAGCCTGTGGCATCTGATCTGATGCAGTGATCAGACAAATCAAACAACGCTGAGCGCTGTTTTATTTTTGACGATCTAGTGTTCTGCAAATGGCTTTAATATCACTGTTTCCAACTCACATCTAGGTCGTCGAGGAGATTCTGCGGCAAGAACAAACGTAAGTACTAGTACTCATTCGTGCTTCCTGCGGCCTTACTCAGTTACTCCGATTATCAGACTCTTTATCAGACTCTCAGGCTGTCTCGCATTCTGATTTGACTGCTTTGAATCGATAAATGAATTAAATAGCCCCGTAGCTTGAGCGTAGGGCGTGAGCTACGCGGTTTATGATAAGTATCGTATGTACTTAGTTCAGATATGATATCACCTTGACTGGACAAAGCGCGCCACCCATGGCACAACGTTGCTGTCGACAACTCACACCAAGGATGTTTGTTTGGCACCTTAAGCCTGATATAAGTTGTCAAAAGTCTGCTCATTCTGTGAATGAACAACTCAAACCCTCTTTCTTCGTCATTCTATTTTCGACATGCCTAAGAAGAACAGTGCCGCCATTGACCACGAGATTGAGGTCTTGCAAGCTCAAATCGCTATCCTGCGGCGTCGTGAGGATGACTTCGTCCGTATTTTGGAGGACATGGCCCGTCTCAGAGACTCAGTCAAGGACGAGCAAGTGACACTCGCATCTCAAATAACGGAGCTAGAGAGTCAGAGACATCCAATCAACTGGCTGCCCTCGGAGTTGCTGATCCAAATCTTTGTCTCTATGACGGAGGACAACGACTCAGACACCTCAGGTCTCGCGTACAATTCATCACCCGTCATTATATCACACGTATGCCGGAAATGGCGCAAACTCGCATTTGCAACTTCTACACTGTGGTCGCGCGTTTCTTACAGGAGCAGAAAGTGGTCCACGTCTCCAGTATGCGCGTTCATAAATCGCTCAGGTTCTGGTCTGCTCGATCTCACTTTCTCTCCCCCACCATACCATGTTGATGACCACGACGCTGCCGAGGACGAGCGGCTAGCGTCTGAAGGCCTACTCCGCATACTGAACTCTCACCTCTCTCGCGTGCGCTCTATCACCTTCGAGTGCACATCCTCCGCGAGTATGCGACTCATTGTCGAAGCGCTCATAAATAACCTTCACGAATTAAAGTCATTACGCTCCTTGGATCTGTCCTTCGCAAGCCTTGCCCCATGCTTTGCGGGCACACCACTACTCGTACTGGATGAACTGGGCGGACAGAGTCTCCCCGACATACCAAGCGTCCTCACCTACCTCCGTCTCCAGCAACTACCACCGCGTGTCATTTCGCCATCCCTTTTACGGTCTGTGCAAACTCTCGAGCTCTCCTTTCCTCAGCGAAGATCCCACCGTGCTCCTCAGTACATCCTACGAATGTCCCATGTGCACCATTTCCTGAGTTTTATTCCAGAGCTTAAAGACTTAGTCCTTATGGAAACCACACCGGTTCGTGATGTTGTGCTCGAGGAACCCAGTGAAGGACAAACAGCCGACAATCGGTTCACCGTCGTGGCCCCCCTTGAACTACCTAAACTCAGAAGCCTCACATGGAAGTTTGCATACCCCCGCGACGTGTACACCTTTATGTCTTTCTTTGGCATGCCTGCACTGGAACGATGGGAAATTCTAATCGCCAACTCCCCAACGAGGAGGAACGATGTCAGCTCGCTTCGCGGTAATCATTGGGACGAACCAGACTCCTTCATCCAGGCAGAGCCCCTCGGAGGCGTCCTATCCATGACTGCGCTCAAGGAGCTGTGCGTCAGCTGTCAGGATGGCGACTCCCTCATTTCTTCGCTGCGCCAATTCTTCTTCCCTGTGCTCGAGCAACTCGAGTTTGCATACGCCGGAAAGTGCCCGCCAAATTGTGACCACAAACATCCTCTCCCGCGCCTTGATCATGTATTTCGCGATCCCCGTCTCCCCCACCTTACGCATTTCACGCTGTCACACCTTGATGTCTTTGCCGGGTACGGGAAGCTCATGCTTGGTTACATGCCGGGCCTCGTATCATTGACGCTGATATCGTGCACTGGTGTGGATGGCATGCTAGAAGCGCTTGCTGAGCCATACGGTCTCGCGATGGATGCAGAACGCAAAGCAACGCGTGGATGTGGTGTTAGAGTCTGTCCAAAGTTAGAGAGGATAACACTCTGGGGTTGCTCCGACTTCAAATTCAAAAGCTTGTTTGCAGCCGTATTCGCACGTGCGCAGCCGGCAGGCAGCAGCATGCTCATGAAGGTTCAAAAGGACGTGCCAAGCGTTGTCTCCACAGTCCTAGGCCGCAAGATACGGCCTTTGAAGAAACCGCGCGTGGCGTCTCCACGGGGAAGCCCGTCTTCTCCCGCGAAGCCACAAAACTCCCACGGAGCGTCATCGACGTTGATTCCTATCGAGGAGGCTTTGCGCCCTGTTCCCATCGCCTGCGTCGATATCGATTATTGTCCCCAGATCACTGAGGATGAAGCGTTACTGCTGGAGGAGTTTGGTACAGTTGTTGTATATCGATGATCATGTCTCCGCGAAGCACGGTGATGAAACTGAACCTGTAAGTCCCTCATGTTTGATTTTCGATGCACTCACTCACCCATACGATCATCCCGGAAGGTTGTCAGGGAACTAACATAATAACCGTTCTAGCAATGTATCCTTTAAAGTAACGCCAAGCTCCACATGCCAATCTTGAGGCTACATCATCATGGTTGCCGCAAGTCTTGCCACGCTATTTCAAGTTGAATTTGGGAACTCAGAGGGCATATACGAGCCTGTTATTTCGACAAGAGACGGTAGTGGGCCAATGTGCCTTGCGCGTTCATCCTGTTTCACTGTGGAATAGGCACTAGCGAAAAAAGGGTTTGACATCATGCAATTTGTCTAATTGGCCGCAGGGTGTGGGGTTTAGCAAGTAGAAGGATCTCCCTGTTTGAAACGATTTGGCGGTGTGCAAGCGGTGCACATCCCTGTGGTATTAAAGACGACTCGGAGCCGGATTGTTACAACAACGCCCTCAATGGCTTGGAAGGTTCTATTGGACTCCATACACTTCCAGAAACAGGGTGCAGTCTCTATCAAAGAACTCGAATCTGAGCATTGCAGACCATACAAAGATCGATACACGTACTTCAGGGGCTACATCGAATCTGACAAGGGCTTCGAGCACGCCTTGACCGCTCCATCTTTCGAGCTCGTTCACCTGGTCTGGAGTGATGAACGCTTGAGAGCTTCGTGAAGCGAATACCATTTGGGCGGCTGCAGCCCTAATCACCGGTCTGGAAGAAGTATTCTCATCAAGACTGGGAAGGGCCACTTCCACCTTTTCTGATATCCCGTTGGGTATTCCCGAGAATGCTGGTACGACCGGAACAGTAGCTAATGGCGGATTGACAGCCGAACTCGACTGTTTAACTCCACGCCAGCTGGCCGCAAGATGGAATATCCAAAACGTTTCCATCTATGGGGGAAGTCCCCGTCTATCGAAAACAAGGACCATGATTTCGGTGAAGAAACACGTACCTCTAGCGTTGTCAGACCAGATACAGCGGCTTTGAGGTGATCGATCAAAGAAGCATTGTGGTCTTGAAAGGACGTCTGTCTCCCCTGAGATGAGTAGAAGCTTTTTTTCATATCAGTATGATGGAATGCGGCGAGGATATGTAAATTAAAATCTACCTGTCGGTCGATGCATTGACAGCGTTCGAAACCACAAGGGTTTTGAGCGAAGGTGGCCGTGTTGCTTCAAGGGCATCATACAGCTACCTTGGGAATGAGCGATGGCTTCATAAAGTAGTACCTCATTCAACTTACGGCTCTATGAAGGTCTGGATCTGCTGAGACCTGGTTACGTTCCGTGAGTAAACGGATGTGAAAGGAGCAATGATAATGCGGACGGGCTTGCTCAACCTGTATGGAACCTCCCAAGGATCGCAGGAAGCAAAATCGAAGTCCACGTTTCGGGTGCAAGCGACGCTCGATGCGGGCAGGACGAGCGATCCTACGGGAAGGTCAGTCAAGCAACCACATGACCCCAGCCTTCCGATACAGCCCGTTAGTCCGATAATTCAGCGTGATTATCATGACTGTTCCGACCTTATTACAAGCATGTCCCCACGCAGGCATTCTCTGACTTCGCGGATGAAAAAATCTGCATTAGGCGCGCCCATACCTATGCATACTATGGATACTGGTACACTCTTGTAGCAGCCTGTGATGGTAAGGAAACCGCGTTCCGAGTACAGGGAAAATAATTTTGGGGAGGCGTCCAGCATCTTTGCGATACTCTCTGCTCGTGACATGGACCCAACAGTAATCTCATACACTTATGAGCTGCTGGAAGAGGTGGGAAACACCTCCGACTTACAATTCTGTTAGCTACCTCTCCTGCTCGTATACCCAAGTGGTACACTCGACCGTCTTCTGTCTTGGGAAAGTCTAGATGGAAAGTCGCGTCAATTTTTAAGGGAAACCTATATTTTACTCACTTGCATCCTGTATGCGATCCTTCATGATGTAGCTCGCAGTTGTGAGCACTTGCCACTGACTCGGAGCACGACATGTTGACCGAATAACCGATGTCACACTCTTGTCACCTCACGTGATGTTCGTAGTTTCTGAGTACAAAACTATATTTGAATGATTGAATCTGATATTCCACTTAGGAACTACACGTGGGGATACACAGGGAACTACTGAAACAATTGATCATCATTAGCTTACCCTAAGGAGTGAGATATACGGTTAAAACGTGGCACTACAGTTTAACAATGTTAACGGCAAGTTAAGGCTCGTTGTTCGTCGGGTGTGAACAAGTACTACCGTTACGGTTACAGGATACCATGTAGCTACCATTTTAGTGGGCACTTACCACAGAAATAAGTGGCGCATCACTGCGGGTGAAAATAGGCCAAAGCGGTGACACAGCAAGCATGTTGGAAATCGCAGAAGACAGCTCAAATAAGCTGAACGGTAGACATTGATATTGAAACAAGATGGTCCAAATTCTGTTTCAAGGACCGGACTCCGGAGGAGCCCGATCGTGGTGGCTTCGGAACGCTTCAAGAGGAATCATTCAAACGTCAAATCGGTATGTTGCTGGTCGTTTGCCAGTGCGCGCACACCTCTAACGCCCAATGCATGATATCCGACAGCCCGACTTCCGATAGAACATTCTGTACCTCTGCAAGGAGATATTCGGATGACTGTTTCGAAATCCCGCAAGGAGATCAACGTACTAGTACCAAGGGAACTATCATTACCCGCGCCTCCGATTGGCGTTTCATACTTTAAAACCTTGTTGTCCCTTTGCTTATTCTGCATGTCCCTTTTTTTTTCTCCTTTGACACGCATTAATCGTGATATCATTGCCAGGACAATTACGTAGATCTGGGCTTTGATCCCGCAACTTTCAAGCCCAGACTTTCTGGCGGCCGCATCTTGTACCCTCATTTCTTCCGGCAAGAAGCTGTCTCAGCGTGAACTTTATCCTTTGCGTAACTGGCCCCGGGAACCACGTGTGGCGACGACGACGGTCTTCTCTATCTGGTTCGTTCTTTTATGCCGTAATTGGTGGCGTTGTCTTACGGTCTCCGAGGTTGTACCATAATCATCGAAGCTGGAATTGCAGTGCTTTTCGCCGCTCTCCGTAGGAAAACATATCGTCATCGTGAATGGCCACAACCAGGTGTAACTTTAATTTTGATGACCTGGCGTGAACCAAGGTCCAAGGATGACGCCAGAATACGGTTACCCTATGATTTGCACAAATAATTCTGCTAGCTGCACCGTGTTTCATATCCCACAATGGTGCCACAAGAGACGAAGGGTAATCCCCTTTCGGTAGAAAATTGTGTAACTCATTGCGTGTCGTCGTGCTGGAGTACCTTCAGAAGAAGAAAAGGTAAGAGCTTAGAGCACATTGTTGTGACATGTGCCTTCTTGCAACATCACCTTGTCCCCACTTGGACTAACACGATGTCCGATAACGGGACGACTTTCTTTCGGAGGGCGATCATCGGAGGTTCTTCAGCGTCAGTATCGAGCACCGCGTCGTCCGCCGGGTGCAATCTGTCAGTGGCAAAAACTAGACCATCAAAACAACAATGGCACTGACATAGATAGTTGATAGCTCAGTCCAGATCATCGCATCTTTGGCTCCCTTGTTGCCTTTACGTTTAACGCCACCAAGGCGATGACCGCTGTGCAATTGAATTCAGTGGCAGTTGGTGTGAGTGACTGAGTATCGACTGCCAGTGGGAAGAATTCCAGGCACATTTACAACTTTCTTGGATCGTGTTGAGATCTTCTCTTGCTGCGAAGCGATATTAATGAACCACTACCGAAAGTCTGAGTGTCACTGGATCTTGAGTCTGCAAGCCTGAGAGGAATTGTAACAGTGTGATCAGAAGTCCTTGAGCAAACCTGCCAGTTGTACATGCCACGATAGCGAAAAACAGTTGCCAAAATCGTTGATCTAGGACTTCCAGTGGCAGCACCCAGCATGCGCAAGTATCCTACTGTATTATCAAAAGTCTCAAGGGTCACATCATATGAGAAAAGGTTTTGTTATTTCAAATTTGGCCTATTTACTTCGCGAAGATCTGGCGATAGCTGCAACCTGTGGATCTGAACAAGATCGCCATACGACGCGTCTCGAGATTGCCGACATGACGCAATCCCGCGCAGCCGACGCGAAATACCAATCAGATTCTCATTCTAGTCACTGACCAACGTTAACAGTTGCTCACAACCTTTCCACCAATCACACACAGAAAAATTGCTTCAGTGCCCAGGAACTCTTCAATTCATCGATTCGGCCCCCCAGCAAATTAGTGCTTAAATCGTTCTATAAGTTTTACTCGTGCCACGCCCGGATTGACCCTGAGCTGGCAATCGTTGACCCTTAAAGCTTTCCTGAGCAGAAAGACACATGAGTCACGCGTTGTTCCTTGGACTCGTCCCGAAAGAGCATTCACAAAGCAAACTATCCCAAGTGTGGACTATTAGTACCCTTGCCGCAAGATGTCATGATCTTGATCGGAGTCAGAAGATGCGCAGCAAATGATACATAATATGTCTGTGCAAGCAGCCAAGGAATTAGGGTGCTCCCTGAACCTAGGGTCCATGTCGACAAGTTGAGCGAAAAGAAGCGTGCAGCGTGCAATGAGAGGAAGCAAGAAAGGGATAACTTCGCGGCTGGCCTGGAGGCTGGAGCAGATGCGGCGGAAGTGTCCGATCCGAGAATGGAAAGTGTGCGGTTGTGCAACCTGGGGCCCATCTCCGAGTAAGCACAGCGACGGTCGGAGTAACGGGACTGACTTGTACACCCCACGGGCCACAGCATAGTGTCAAATAATCACATTTAACCTGTACTTCACCGGCACCTGTGATCTAGCAGTGGAATTTTTACCTCCGTGTAGCGTGAAATCATTTCTCAGCAATCTCCGCCGGAGCTGAAATTCTGCAGAATGATCAAATGTATTGGTCCTCACATCTTAAAAAACAATCGGAGGTACGGTAACAAAAAAGTCTCACTGGCAGACCAACCTAGGTTAACATAAGTCGTAACGGCCTCGCGCTCGACACGAGTCACCTAGTGTGTCGAAAGAGAGTTTTTGGCCATGACTATAGCCATCCTTGGACAAGCCCTGACAAGCCTCGGTAACACACGTCTACTTTTTGGGGATTGAGCGCCAAAAAATTCAAGGGCCTTCAATGCTCGATTCGCACAGATCTAGCCTGAATGGGCATTCGATTCTTTGGACGCATAATTAATGGGAAATGCTGGAATCAGGATTGACAACCACGATCTTGGATATTTCGAAGCGGAGAAATATTTGAGCAGTCGCCAGTGATCATGATGGAAAGATCGCTATAGCCAGCGGCGTGGCTCGGCCACAGTAATTGCGAACCAAGTACCCGAGGAAACGAGCTCCGCGAATTCCGAAGGCACACCTTACTAGGTTCACTCTACTTTTACGATCAGACTTAATGATTCTGCCTGTTCCGGTTCACTTCACCATGCGTTATTTCTTGATTTCAGTACGTCAACAAGCCTCTTCAAAACTCACCGTATCAGGAGCGAACAGGTCACTGATTCCAGGACTGTCAAGCAGTCTCAGTCTAGTTTCAATCCCGTCTGGAACGTCACTTGCGCTTACAAAAGCGGAAGTTTGTTCTTTGATACTATCCGAGCTTGAAGCTGTTCACTCGTCCCCCCGCCGCTGTTGTTGACATGAACCGCTTCATTCGAGAAGGAAGGCATGGAACTGTAACGGAATATACCGGCCCTTTCAATGTCTCCTACAATGAAGGACTCGGAAGACTCGAAGACCAGGGGTCTCTCTCAGGTTCGGAGGACGACGCTGTCTATCTGTCCCATCCGGATGCAAACAAGATGGACGCAGATATCGACGGTGAGCTATCTTGTCTATTGTCATAATGACACATGTCACTCAAATAACTTCAGACGACACAAACACCTTCCTGACATCCCAGACCTTGAATGCGGATGGTACGCCTAAGCGTCCCATGAATGCATTCATGATTTTTGCTCGCAGGAGACGACCCCAAGTCTCCGCGGAAAATCAATCAATGCGAACGGGGGATGTCAGCAAAGTCTTAAGTCGAGAATGGAATGCTATGGACATGGTAACTTCTTTTCTCCACGTTTGCGACGGTAGTTCTGACCTTGAGATCATTCAGTCCGAGAAGCAGTTCTATCTTGATCAAGCCAAACACCTGAAGGATAATTTCAATCTCAAGTACCCGGATTACGTTTACAAACGGAGACCGAACAACAGCCGCAAAAAGCGAAGAGCAGACTCCACAGGCGTGACTGGAGACTCTGCTTCGACCACTGACTCAGTCGATGATCAATCTTCCAATCCAGAGTATGGCGAGATATCTCCTGTCGAATATCATTATGATTCTCAAGAAAGATATGAGAGCAGCGGACCAGAAGTCTGTACATCCGCGGAAGTCACATATGATGCTTCCTACTTGCCGCCGGCGCGAGTGTCGAGTTACCAACCGGCTGATTCATTGCCATATCATGGTCATAATGCAAATGACAGACGGGCACCGTACCTGTCCTCTCACGAGCGCATCACGCCTGATGCCGTTATGGGCCCATCCGCATCCGCACCTCACGAATCAACGAATACTGCTTATTTTTCCTCCTTCGTGCACAATACAACCCATGCTCCGCCAGCTTACTTGCCAAGTCAGAGTGGAAGCGAAGGGCAATGGCACCCCTCCAGTCGTTCTAGTCGAGACGATTTAGCACGCATACCTGCCCAATCTTGGTCGCAGAGTGGTTCAGAATCGTCCTTACAAGCTGAAGGCGATATGCATCGTCAGTACCAAGTAGCTCAGGCACCACCGTCATCATGGGGTGCTAGCCCCTCGGAGCCACCAGCCTCAAACAATCCACCGGTCCATTCCTCGGGCTATGGCTTTGCCACGCTAAACTCTCCTTTCTATCCGTCTCAGAGCAGCTCTCACAACACTTATACAGCCCAACAATCGCCATCACAAATATCTGACGTTTCTCACCACTACGGCGCTGTTAACCACATTCAAGGGAGCTCAGCGGCACCCAGACAAGAAGATGCATACCATAGTCGTCAACAATATTCCACAGTTTCTACAATCCCAGCGGGATATCCGCAAAGTAGTGGTACAACTATGCATCAATACCACACGGAATCTCGGAATATTCTTGCCCCGGCACCATTTACACCTGTGCAATCAATGTCGGTATACTCGCACACGCCGTCCATGAACACAACTTCCCCCGCTGGATCGGAAGCGGATTCTGCCTCTCAACTCCAGTAGTGTGCTGCGCCTTGTAGAATTTGACGAATAATTTCTTATGCCTCCGCAGTGTAGACGCCTGATCATACGGGGTTCTATATATCTTTAGTTCATCGTTCACGCTACACGCTCGACTTTTCTGCTATCGCCATGACACTGTTCTCGCGCTCTTCTCATATCGTATATTTGTGCTTTGCTTTGCTTTTTAGTACCTGCATTGTACATCACTGTCAAAGTATCTGAACGTTTATCATGACCCTGCAACTCAAACGGCGGATTGATGATCCGCGCCCCGCCCAAAAAGAACTGGGATGATCGCTCAGTGATCACCGATGCTCACGGGCGCTATGTTCCGGGAGAGGCGATCTTGGATGGTTTTTTTTATTCATGGAGGCAATGATTTCACACCTGGGCGAGCGGCGCCACGATCCTGGATTCAGCTAAAAGTGTTGGATTTTATTGTAGAATACACGGCGAACTAGAAACGTCCCACTGATTCATCTGTATCACGATCAATAAACATAAACATAGTATGAACTTAGCATAACATATGCAATCTAAATATTTATCTAGACCGCGATACATGATTCATGATGATCTTGCTGACACTGGGCCTCACAAAAAAGAAGCACCAAGATACGTGGTGTTCCGCAGCCGTATTATTCCAATTCTCCGCCACCGCCATGGGATGACAACATGCTGGCACATAGTCACCAAGGTCCTAAGCTGTTCTGGTTCAACGGTAGAAATCCGAGCGGATGGGGCTAAAGAGAAGCGGCGGTAACGAAGTATACGCTTAGGTTAACGTAGTTGCAGAAAATAGAATAGGACGAACATGCGCCGAACACATCTTCAGACAATTAGGCTGGTGGCTGACTATAACCTTCCAATCTCGGCCTTCATATCATGGCAATGGCGTAGGCTGTTCATAAATCTGCCGGAGATGGCTTAGACTCGAGGGCATCGGCCTGAACCGTGAATGGAGGAAGCACGATTTAGTCCTGCCGGCGGTATGTGGGACTTCGTTGGTCGATTTCCTGATAGCACAGCGCTGGAGCGTCCCTGTCACCGTGCCGCATGTCGGATGGTAGTGAGTGACCAGGTACGGTGGTACCCTGGATGTGGCTAAGATCTTGGCACTAGTGTTAATTCAGGGTAAGTAGTTCAAATCATAAAGTGTAGCACACACTACTCACGCATGGTTCCAGATCCAGTTAACGCAGGGCACATTTCGACAAGGATATTGTCCGAGTTTTCCCCAGAAAAGTACAAAGCCGCGAGGACATTTCAGGCGTTCGCTATGTGTCCCGCGGCACACCTATTTCCCTGATGAGGCTGGAGGAATTTTTTTGAATAAAAATGTACATAAAGCGCAACACCGATCTACAAACGGGTAATCTCGACCACCGAATCTTGCTGGCGCATGGACGTGAGTAGCGACAGTTACGTGGTAGGGAGATCGCTCACAAGGTGGGGGGGTGCCGTGGCAAACAAAACTAACCGCCCACGGTGGTTATAGAAAACAATCGGAGACGACCAATACTCTTCTGAGCTTGAAACTGTGGACCGAGCGCGGGAAACCAAACTCTTGTGGGCCACTAGCACAAGCGGATGCCTTCTCCCCCCTGCGGCATTCCGTAAAGTAAAATAGAATAAATTCATAAAATAATAAGACCAGATCACGGTGCAAATATTTTCTGCAGCAACGTTAGACTACATCATGCCGCCAGATCGTGTTGTGGAGATACGCATGCACGCACCCTCCCACAGGTTCTGATCGGTTGTCAATATTTCCGAAAACTGTCCTATTTTGTCGGTGTTCTTTGCCGCGGATTTGAAGGCGGAACACTTATCACGCATGTCAGTTATTTGACAGACGTTCCATACAGGCCTGATTTTGAAAACTTGCGATAATATGGGTTGCTTCTTGTGCGAATAACTTTATGAATCATAGCCAGCAGTGGTTGCAATGCACGTGGCCCATCTTTCAGCCTAACACTGCTGTAACCTGCATTCAGGTGACCTGATGGGACGCAATCACAATAAACGGCCATATGCATTGGGAACAACCTATTCAACCCTCTAGGACTGGATGAAATTATGGGTGAGCTAGCTATTACGTTCGGTCATGGAAGGATCAAGGTGGAGATATGCAGGTACAACGTGATGTGTCAACAGCTTTCTAAGTGGTTGATAAGTCAGGAGACCCTATCCACATCACAAACAACTGACTTACCAAGCCATTTTTGGGGGGTAGTGACAGCCACCACAGGAGAACACCGCCAAACTCAACCTGCTACTTGTTTCTGCCTTGCTCATGCAGGTACCAACATGTCTCCCCATGTCCTGGCGACAAATATGCCAGCTGCGAACACACTCATTCCCGTCACGATGCTGATGTTTCCGGGTAATTTTTCTGGAGCAGTGATTTGCTCTCGAATGAAGCGGGAAAAAGCAGACTCATTTGGATCAACGATTTGACGGCGTGCAGGCGCTGTGAAGAATGCAGGTGTTGCGTTTGCTGGTGCTGTCCGACGAGCCATGTCTGTGTTTCTGAGGTGTGGTGCTTTCGAAATGAAAAAAGGTCGAGTGCACAGACGTTCCCAGCGGCGAGGCTATCGCGGAGTTTGAGATGGTGCACTTAGTCAGCGCATTGAATTGGCATCTTCAGAATCAAATATAGTCAATCCATCAATTTGCGACTCGATGAATTCGAATGAGGCCTGAGGTCTCACTGAAGCCCCATGGGCTAGCTAGCTGGTAGGTAGGTAAATCGTCTCCTCCAGTAATACTTGTCCTGTTGATCTCGTTAAATAGCTTTCCGACACTACAAATAAGCTTTTTGTTTTCTCGTTCTCGGCATGTTCTCGGCGTCCGAAGTTTGTTGCGCTTTGCTCGGAAGGCCCCTATGACTTTCCGATCATGGGGGTGAAGTGAATAGAGATCTGAAGTGCGCTGCGCATTGCATCATGATTCTTACAAATGGTAAGTGAAGGGTGAATCATATATCTTCAAGAACACCCCGAAATCACTGTTCCTCCGAACATCCATCATATCATTATCATGTTGTTTACATCGTTTGTTCTTCTCACACTTCTCCCTGCTGTTTTCGGGCAGTCCTGGCAGCAATACCTTAATGGCCTTGTCCAGGCCTTAAACACTGACGGGCTTACAACACTCGCGTCTGCGAGTGCTGCATTAAACAGCTCATCTGCTGGGCAGCAGGTGGCGCAGATACTCTCTACAGGTAATTGGACATTGTTTGCACCCAACAATCAGGCATGTAAGTACTACAATATGCGACCAAAGGATAGAATTCCATCCTTGCTTTACAGTTAATTCTACTCCTATCAATCTCACCAGTGATCCAACATCTATTCGGGATCTCCTTTCATACCATGTCGTACACGGCAATTTTACCGATCAAACCTCATCATATCCCAACATCACCCTTGGCCGAACACTGCTTAACGATTCCTCACTTGTCCAGCTGGAGGGTAACGAATCGCAGGTTTTAGCGTGGTCAAAGGGAAGTAATGGCATATTTGTGCTTAACAATGGGTGAGACTTCCCATGTCTATCGATTAATTGCTTCTAAGTGGCATTTAGCACAACTGTTTCGGTTGTGAACAAGACCGCCTATCAAAACGTCCAAGTCCTTGTCATCGACTCTGTCCTTAAGATCCCTCAAAACTTGTCTGATACTATCTCTAATAGTACTTACGACGTCACCACTCTTGCTGGTGGGCTTTCATCCATCAATCTCCCTACCAATGATTCGATTACACTGCTCAATGTGCTTAACAACGCTAGCGGTATTACACTTTTTGCGCCCAATAACTCTGCTATTGCGACAGCAAACTGTATTGGCGGTTTGCTGCCAAATAATACTGCATTGATTGCCCTTTTCGGAAATCACGTCTGTCTTTTCATCTAGTTCATTTTACTTGGTTTGACTCCCGATCCAGGTTATCAATGGCACGACCGTTTACTCGCCAGCATTTACAAACGGAAATAATTATACTTCGGCCTCTGGGGAACCCTTCGCCTTCAAGACCAACTCCTCTGGAGTGTACGTGTCCAGCGGCGGCTCTAATTGGGCGGGCATCATGCGTTCGGACGTTTTGACGTCCAATGGAGTTGTACATGTCATTGATAGCGTTCTTCTCGACAAGAAAGTCAACGTTTCCGCTGCGGTCTCTGCGTGCGTATCGTGGGCCAGTACAGTATCGCTCAAATACTAATATCTTCCTTTCCGTCACGTAGCTATCAATCGGCTACTTCAGTTGCCGCGTCGATGACCACCGAGACAGGCCCAGTTGGCGTTACGCCTACTACTTCTGCCGGCCATTGAAAGAATCATTGATCCAGATCGGCCTCTGAGATTGGAGTATTATTGTCGAGGCCAATACATATTTTCAGTGGCATAGTTGCTCATTAAACATACACCTCTTGCTTGTTTCGTTTATCTACTCATTTATCTGTGCTTTGTTCATCTATTTTGCCTGCTCTCTAACGTAATAGTAATCTTGTCATCAATCACTGCGAATGATCGAATATAGGTAAGTTTTATTTTTTATCAGTAAACTAAGCGCCATGGCGATGCCCTGAGAACGTTTACTAGGGCTTGCTCCACAGCCTACCATATTGGTTTCTTGGCACTTGCGCACTGTTTCTTTGAGTTGCTGAACGCTGGACACATTCCCTCTACCTCGAACGCGCCATCAATCCCCACCGTATCTACCATGAAACACTTATCACTGAAAGAAGCTTTACTCCCTCAGCCTCCCAGTTTCATGAAAAAACAATCATATGAGATCCACGAAATTCTTGGATCAGGGACATTTGGAAAAGTCATGGTGAGTCTTTGGATTATCGACCCGTACGGTATGGCTCTGAGGCATATCTCCTCCTGTGGTTTTCACATCGATGCTCCAATCACAAAACTATGCACCTTAGAGAGCGACATGGCAAGTACCCCCTGAGCTAACCGATGTTTCGCGGAAGGGGGCGTTCCCAGCATCACCATCATCTCCGACTGACCACACCCCCGGTCGATCTTCCATTCCTCTTCTCCATCCGCATCATATGAAGAGGACCGTCTCTCGAGCATCTAACTCTTCCACCCCTCCATCACCAGGAGGACATAACCACGTCGCAGTAGTGAAAGAGGTTGCATTGAAGGTCATTCCGAAGAAGAAAGTAAAGGGCAACGAAGCCGCTGTCTGGGGCGAGATGGATGTCTTAAGAGGTCTTGACCACCCCAATATTGTTCGTGTTTTACGGCTGGCCTTTTCCGTGCGTGTCTGACCTCCGAGATCAATGCAGGTCAAGTTTTATGAATGGTTCGAGTCCCGATCAAAATACTATCTTGCTTTTGAGCTAGCTGTCGGTGGCGAGCTTTTTGACCGTGTATTGCAAAGAGGAAAATTTACTGAGAGTGACGCCGTTACAGTTATTCGGTATGTTTTACGAATTGTACACTATTTACAAATTGATGAATCGTCTCAGGTCCATCTTGTCGGGAGTGACGTACTTACACAATCATGATATTGTGCATAGGGACTTGAAGTACGTTCTTCTGAACTGAGGAAGTCGAATCATTGATCTAATAGGTGTAAAGGCCCGAGAATATTTTGTACCGAACAAAGGACCCGGATAGCGATATTGTAATCGCCGACTTCGGAATGTGAGGGCGGCCCTTTCTGAACTTACGTCTCAATAACGCCTTCCTCGAAGTGCAAAACATCTGCATTCTCCGGAAGAGCAGCTTCATTCGCTGGCTGGGAGCTTTGGTTACGTCGCCCCCGAGGTTCTTAACAAGCAAGGGCACGGGAAAGCAGTTGATATCTGGTCAACGGGGTAAGCGCTTGTTTATTGTGTGAAACCCCGTGATTGAAATTTGACGGCGCTAACACGGTGACCTCCTTGCAGTGTCATCGCTTATGTTCTGCTCTGCGGTTATTCGCCGTTCAGAGGAGGTGATATACACGAGATGATTAAGGAGACCACAGAAGCCAAGATCGAGTTTCACGAGCAATACTGGTGTAAAGTCTCCGATGAGGGTGCGCTGATGGTCGATGGCGTTGGCAGTATGTGTGCTAATATCAACCCATACAGCGAAGACATTTATTAAACTTTTATTGAACACCAATCCATCGCAACGACCTACTGCACAACAAGCTCTGAACAATCATGTAAATCACGAGTTCGCCATCTACATAATTCTGCGCTGACGGCGTTGATAGTGGTTGACGACGCACAAGGCTTCTACAGAACACGACGTCATCTCGGGTCTCAGACAAAATTTCGACGCCCGCAAGAGGTGGCGCACCGCTATCATGTCAGCGCGCGTTATCAACCGGTTCGGGAGACGGCCAAGTTCGGCTTCAAGTACAGGCAGCGGCGGCTGGGGAGAAGACCACGTGCACGCTGACGGAGGCGAGGAAGACGGTGGAGAAGATACTGCAGACGGCGAGTTCCACGACCTGCCCGACCAAATTCAGGCATCGCTCTCATTAGGTGGGATCGACCCAGGATCAAATGAGAATGTAAAAGTCATAGGGCCGGATGATAAAAGTGACCAGCTGGGTAAGGGGGATGTTTCCAGTGCCCCTGATATATCTTTAACCGGTACCAGTGAGTCCAGTGTGAAAAGCGACACAGCCTTTTCATCGCTTGCCGCCTCTCTCTTGAAAGAGAAAGCTGTTCACCTGGTGAAACAAGTGGATACCTCAGAGTCGTACGTTGCAGCTGATGACGAGTCAGAGCTGAATGTTCCAGGATACTTACATGGAGGGAAGGTTCCATGGCAGAGTTGTCCCCCCGTATCTGGTCGGCACACGTGGTTTGATGTGCCGAGGAAGTTTTTTGGATTGTAAAGGTTATCCCGTGGATCTCGAAGTCAGCCGTAAGTTATATGTGATGTAACACTACATACAGCTTAATAACCTAACTGCTATTCGATTCTGGCCGTTGTACATACACATTTCTCACCCATGAAATGAAAAGATAGAGGGTTGATATGCCGTAAGTTAGACTGAAGGTTTGTCCGTTCATCGCGAACTCGTTGACACTTATGTATATGCCCTTATGTGATCAATACAATGTATACACGTTGAACTGAACCTAAATCTTTCATTTACCTGAGTTCAGACATTGTGCTTATCTCACCCATAAAAAAAACAATCGCTCGGATCTACTGTTCACCATGAGCACCCTGTCACCGTCAGACATCAAAGACCATTTCCCTGACGTGTCAATCGGAGTCATGTTCATATTTCACAATACGAGGGGAGCGTGAGATGACATAAGAGCTGACGAAACAGTCGTCCCAGCCAGAGTCAGAGTTAGACTTATGTAGTCACTCATGTCCTCCTACCGGGCCACTTCCTTTGGTAGGGGCGGCGGAGGTCGGGCTGGAGATGATGGTAAAGCTGCAATGATATCAGCATTTGAAAATAATACAGCCAGTTCGTGCCCAGCGCTGTCAAGGTGGTCGAACACACTGACCAGTGCGTAAACTTCTATCTCAGCTTGGGCGCGACACATCTTTACCCGTAAGAGAGGTAGCTCCAACTGATATTTGCGATGTATAATATGATGATACTCGACATCATGGCCCGGGTACGCTGTTGTCAATCCCGCCTGATTGATTGGCTCCACTTTGCATGCCTGGTCAAAGACCTCTTAGACACCCATATGTATTATGCTCGACAGGCCGAATGAGGGGCCAATGGACTTCAGAAAAGAAAGTGAGAGCAGCCAAGCAGGTTAATGGCAGTACTTACGTTTGTTTTTCTTGATGCCAAAGGGCAGACCGACCGACGACCAAAGGAGCAGAACCCGGTGGTGAGTCATCATTAGCTGATAGCGTCACTGCTGAACATGCAAAGAAATTGATTGAGAGGTGCCTGAAGTGACAAGCGATGTCGGAGTCGCGGCTGTCCAAAATTTACAGCCTTTTCCCGCGACAATGATGGGCTCTGCTGGCCAATGGGCCGGGAAAGGATGCGAGCCCTGAGAACCACGGACTGCCCACAGTCATGGACACTGCCAGACAGCATGGAATGAAGGTGAAAGCGAACACCCGAATAGGCATGATACTAGGCCGTCCTCCGTGAGCGCAGCCACATATGCCTTAATTCTCGCATCCCGGGAGTGGATACAAGTTGGATCATTTGAAGCTTGAAAGGTAGAACTGCGAAAGCGATGAAACCGTTGTATAGCTCCGTTCTCGATGTACCAGTAGCCATGATCAATAACAATAACTTAGTACTTGATGGTGATTGAAACTTGGAGGTCTTGCAAAGCCGAGTTCCGACAGACTCCCTTACAAGGATCACACGTTTTCACGTATCTCTCGGGTCGTCTCGATTCTCTCTATCTACGCCCTGGAATTTGTTTTTTGTAGTTCTCATGCCCTGGCAGTATTCATCGGATCTTCCTGAACTCTCGTTTGGGGAGATCCTTTTGCTGGCTAATCCCCACAGCCTGCGCTCCTGCGAGGCTTAGTGAGGCCAATTAGAGTGACTCAAAGTACTATCAGCCTGTATCATAATGTGAGATTAGATCCAACTCAACTCAACTCCGGTTGGCAGTGATCCAGCATTGAACAGACTTCAAAAAAACTGTTCATTATATCTCCACTAGTTCTGCGGGGACATTCGCCCATTGAAGTCCAGGTCGTCGAAACATTGGCAACGTATAATGTATGCCCATGGACTATCACACAACCACTTCTGAAGGTATTCACGCCGGTCCACCCCCGCATACCCCAAACCCATGTTATACCCGAGTTTCTTCTTCTCAAAGCACCTTTTTTTGTCCTACATAGAGTACTCCTCTCAATGGACATAAATTGGACACACACAAAAAGCACCTTTTTCGGATTTCCAGTGCATCACAGAGAACATCAGTCATTCGCGAGTTCGCAGAGTTTCCATCAAGGCGTTGAGCGCGTTCGTTCATCGAAAGCGGGCATATTCGTCCGAGCCTCAACGGCATCGGAGTGGAAGAGATGTAGGGCGGATGGATACTGAGTTCTCCAAAATCGCGGACCCCGAGCTAGATCTGCCTGTTCAGGGCTCTGCGCTGTTAAAATGTTACAGCCAATCTTGCGATCAGTCGTCTCCTCAATGTCGTCACCGTCGGCAATTAGGAACTATTCACTGTTCAATGCTTGGGCATTACTCCATCCTGGATGCGAATCACAGCCGAATTCGAGGCATAGTTTGCACAATCACAATTGGTGACGTGGATATCGTACTTGACATCATCGACGACCAAGGGGTGACTCGCTACGGATAAAAAGGGCTCTCTATCACTGGCAAGAAAACTTGCCGATAACTACACAAAAACGGAGGATGCTTGGATGTTGGGCAGAAGAGCAATCGGACAACGAAATATATTTTCATTTTGCTCGTGATCTATGAGCTTGGTACGTGGCAATTCGATGGTTTTCCATCGGCTACTACCATCCGCCAGCGTTGATGTCCCTGAAACTCTACATGTTACCGGTTGGAGAACAGTCCACAGTTCATCGGTTGTTGCTGTATATCACAATGGCGTGATATATATGCGTTGTTCCGGGTGGCTTGCCCTAGCTCATAACATAAGCTTCTGATCAGGTTGCCCAGTTATTATATTCTCATCCTTTCTACGGGTGAACCTTATGCTTAGCTTGATATTCAACGCTGAGTCAGAAAAGCCCGCAGGTGGTCGTGCACGGCGTTCTTGCCTCATGCATCACACGGGTCGGTGGCCTCGAGGGTGGTTTTTACCCAGCCGATTTAAACCATCCTGTGTGGGTCATGGGTCGTTTAACGCTGTGGAACATTACAGACTTGTGACTTCTGAAACATATAAGCACGCATTTCCGGCAGCTTGGTATCAATCAAGTCCACCCTGTCATGCTGTGCTGCGCATTTGCAATCCATTCACGTTCGGGCTTCCCTGGGCTTCCCCACATCCCAGCCTGCGATCAGCCGCACGATAGCAACAATTATGACGGCTACATCACCTCGCTTGACGATGACTTAGATGAGCTAACGCAGACTCCGTGGATAATGGCATTGATTTGATGGCATGCACGCACTCTCCTGGGTCTCAAGTCCCTGTAAGTTTTGCTCTGTATCCTCCTACCTCTTTCCCCAACTCAAGATCGTGAACGAAGCGACACTGGAGATCCGATTCTCAGCGTGCAGAACAGGAACATGACGTACGGTACAAGTTAACCGAGATGTCGTTCTAACCTGATCTTGACTGAATACTGACCTTTTTGTCTCACCCCATTCAGGTGGATATCACTGCCAGAAGCATCTTTAATACTCCACAGCAGTTGTTGTCCCTACTTCGTTAAGTCCGACAGCTCATTCTGCTTCTACAGCTCACAACTTCTATCACAGAAATGGATCTCACGTCCAGCTGCTCAACACATGTACCACCTTTTTGTTTAATCCCTACCACCACAGCTGGTCAGTAACTTGACTGCAAGCAATTGCCTTGGATGCTCGCTTACACAACCGCGTTCTACGACTGCCGTGGCACTTTCTCGGGCACCGTTGTCGATATTCGAACACATTATTTCTCCAACGGTCACTTATATACCGCTTTGTCGTACGTTAAAAGTCGTCGTGGTACGCCGTGCTAATTCTTCTTCACCAACGAAACGCAACGGTAAACATATGTTGTGTACCCACACCTTCCTGTCTAATCTACATTATTACACTCACAAAACCATGCGACGACCAAGATCAGTACACAATTAGCAGTCATTGATCAGGTATTCTGCCCATCTAAAATAATACACACATTACAGATTAAGGAGAGTAGTAATACGGTTTAGATCATACAATATCAGCAGTATTCCACTTGTTGGAATTTGAGGCTGAAGGCCAATCGGCATGCTCGATAACTGGGCTGCCACCCATGGGACTTTCGACATCTAAGATTTTGGTATCGTAGATTGTTGGATTCTCTGCGAAAGTGATGGTCCGCACAGGGGGAGCAAGAGAGCTTGTCGAGCCAGATCGCGCACGGGTGCTCAACCCAAAGCGCGCCTCGGAGGGGACAGAGTGTGATCGCAATCGGCTGAGAGCGATGACTTCTCCTGAGGGTGTTGATATGATACGATTACATGTAGACACGATAATACTTTCCGCTTGCAAGTGAAGGCGACTAGGTCCGTAATACGCTTCCTTCTTGAGGTTTAGAGTGATCCTTGACATCATTGTCACCTGTTGGGCGGGATGGTCAGGCTATCCCAAATACACACTTCATTTTGTGCTCACGGTGAGGCTGTAATGGAATAATGTTAGCCAATCATTGTTACCCGTGTTTTAAAATAGAGACTCACAGAAGTTCGAGCCTGTGCATAGTGTATTGTAAGCAAACTGGATCTGAGCAAACACGAAGATGTGCGTACTGTGCGGCGATATTCTTTACCCCCTCTTGAGCTCTAATTATCATGATTGTCAACACCAGATTTACAGCGCAGATGACGCTGTATGCTTGGTGAGCTCTGCTACCCGGGGAGCTTGTCTCGCGCACCTGTAATACAGCAATCCGTCTGCGAGGAGAGTACGAATAACATGGCCTGCTTCTTTATTGCGAATCGAAGGATACGTGCGGTGCAATGTCAACCCAAAGACATACGTGTCGTAGAGGAGAGGCAACCAAGCTGAAGCCGAAGCAATACTGCCACTGGAAAGTGTTTTAGAATTCACATTCTGCATATCAATCGTATACAAGGACATACGAATGGAACACCATGGTGCAAGCTGTGAAGACGTGAATAAGGTTGTCGTGTGCGAAAAAACATGAGTATCTCACAGTGAACGTTGTCTGCGTGAATAACAGCTGGGGGCTTTGTTATGAACTCATGCATGGCGTGGCGAAGGTGAAAACATACGTCCACCATTACTCAATAGCCATGCAGTCACTGCAATCCATGCTAACAGTAGTAATATCGCCAGCACAATGGCAGGCCGTTGATGTCTATACATTGCAATGACCCTGTGTGCTCTGTCATTAGTAGATGCTTTCTGAGAAGGGAATAGTGAATTTCACCGTATCAGCATCATTAGCCCGACTATCTCGATCCCTATAGCTGTCATAGCCCCTTCGAATCGGACAAAATGCTGGCAACTTGGACAATGTCAACCGCGTCCAGAAGTGCAGTGAAATGCTGACCTCTGCAGTCCAGTTCGTAAGATTCATCACTGGCAGTGGTATAAAACATCAAAACTCACTGTGTAGCCCCATGAAGGGAGGTTGTATGCTGGTAGTAGAGGTCACAAATGAAATTGTGAGCAAGAAGTGATGTACTCACCAACCAGATTAATGAGGAAGCCGAGAGGAGTAAGATATCGGTTCTGGGAAATCACATGTGAGGTTTTAACTGGCAGATATTGCTAATATATATGCATACCAGTAGAAACAAGTATACAACTGAGCAGGTTCAGATACTAGTGCATGTTCATATCGGTGACGCCACTTACGGATCCCCTTACGGCCTTTCCAGATAAATTCGATCTGAGTACTTTGTTGAGTTTCACCGATTTCTAGTGCAATTACCGATATCGCACCTCATCTCCGCTGGTGACAAGATGGTCCCAGACCAATATGGTGAAACCTACGATCCCAACATACTAAATCATAGGATATGTGTATCAGCCACTGCTACAGCAGACCATGGGGGACAACGTACGATCGTTTGGCGCCTGAAAAGATGGGCATCAAGTATGCAAATACGAACAATAGGCAAGCATGACTCACGTTTCTGTATAGTCTTGAATCATTCTCTGCGTTGTTTCATTCACTGGTGAAGTCATCAATCTACGGAAACAGCAGTCCAAGATGAGTCGGTGAGGTGGTCTGCTTCAGGGAAGGTTTTAGGATTGTCAACCCCGAAAGGTTGTCCGGATTGAATTGTGGAGGACCGCGACAAAGAAAACGTTGTGATGAACGCATTTTATAATTCGCAACAGCACTGGCATGGGCGTTTATGAGCATTCATTTTGAAGAACGCCTGTCCGAGCCATGGCTACTATTGGTGGTAAGTAGGCGACTCGGGTTAATTATGTTGTTGCCCCATTCACGTAAGTAACGTCAAAATGAGACGATCGCATGGCCCATAACCCAGCCGGGGCAGCCCTCCCCAGGACCATCAGGCCACATGCCAAGCGCCCGCACAGGTTGAGTCTAGTAATATTATCAAAGTGGCTCGTATTCAATATTGAAGAATTGGTTCATCTGACAACGTTGAACGTTGAACCGGCAAACTTATGATTTATGAAGCACGCACATGGTCGCACTGCCAGTCATTTCCAATTCTACGCATGTATCGATGCGACTTTTCCGAGATACAAACAAACATGGCAATGGCGAGCGTCTGCCTTTACGCCGGCGGGAACTGAGGGGACGAGACTGTCGGAGACTCGGAAATGTCCAGGCGTAAGAGTTTATATTTGGACACTATTTGGGTACTCGTGACATCAACTGCATTGCATTCAGGGGGCGTGGCTTATTTTGATGCTCCTGCAAGCACGAGTCCACACCCGTTGTGCCATCGGCACAGGAAGCAAGCGGAACTCCCTTGGAATGCCTGTGTCACCGTCACTGCCGGTAGTGTTGTGGGCAGAATTGGCAGAACTTGACAAAACCATGTTCTGCCAGTGGTAGGTGGCAGAATTAATGAAAGATTTTGACGGCACTCCAAGTGTACTACATTGATGTGAGACCACGTGCACGAGATAGTAGATAGTGAGTCATTGTGGTCCGTTCGTCTACCACTACTGCCGGCATTAGTCCCACACAGCAGTTTCGCAATCCCAAATGCTTTCCCTTCTATTGAAATTAGTCTCGAGCGGCTTGGAAACCTGTATCAACATCACCGCCGGAGCCCTCGAAAGATCAAAAATTACAAACTACCAAGGTTCTAGCGTGGTGGACATCGTCTCAGAAGTCTATGATAATCAAGAAGCTGCCCGTGATGTCAATGAATGCCGGCAAGTTAGTTGGGTTGTCATCGATCATCAGCGACGTTCATGTGGACTTTACCGAGTTTCGAACATCGTTCGTTGATGCAGGCATAATAGTAGTTGCAATTCTACCAATATCTATTGGACTTGGCAAAAGTAGGACCCCCCTTTATGAACCTACTTCCGACAAGTGAATTGAGAGGACGGCATCCAGACTTAGACGTTGTAGAGAGCCTACTTACATCTTGAGTTTGGCCACATTCTGCCCGGGAGGTTCTGCCATCTGCCTGATAGTACTAGTGCCAGCTCTGCCCATAACACTACCTGTGTATAGCGCTTTGTTTTTTTTGACGCTTGTGACACATTCAAACTATTTTCGTCAATCATGTGTGAAATTAAGCATTGGCCGTGCAGTTTAGGAGGAGAAACGCACAATTAGCCCATTCAGGCGGTGATACTGACCTCCTTCTGGTTTCCGGGTCATGGTGAATGGAGATTGGAGTCCCCGCGGCATCCACGTCCCTTCACAGGTTTTAAAAACATTATTCCAGCTTGCCAAGCATATGCATGACTCACCCGCCTCAAGGTTCACCTTTGAATTCATCCATGCGACACGTACTACTCGAAGCCATTATGCCAATCACGTTCTTCCCGATCAACAAAGCCAATTTTTCTGGGCAGATAAACTGCCAAACGTCCCAATATTGACCGCTTGATGAGTTATTCATTACTACTGTTCAGCGTAAGCAGCCTGAGTGCACTGTGAGGCATCAAAACATCGAGGTTACGCCAAGATCTAACCTGCCAGAGTAGATAGATACTCTCCCGGCAAGCGTCCCCAAAGATATGCAGAGTAGATGGACCAGTTGATTTCTGAATTTTACCTCTAGCGTCTATGCCTGCCGTTCACATGAGACCTGGTGAGACGAATTAGATACATTCAAGTTTCCTATACGGGGTCATGACGGAAGGCATGAAGCCGCACAGCTCCCGTAGCACAGCAACTGGACGTATTAACAGCCTCCGAGTCGAAATGCCCCTCCTTGCTGACCCAATGACCTTTGATACCTGGTAGGTGTAGCCGTTCGTACCTCGAAGTAACAAGTGGCGCAATATCCGGGAACCAAGGAATTCCGGACGAATAGCAAGGGATGCTAGACTCTATGGCTAGGTTCAGGAGGTTGACGGAGCCAGATAGATGCTTTAGTGATACCAAAGCGCGCGGCTATGGAATTCTATTGTCCTCTATGTGGCCTTTCGAGGTCGTGTCCTAGTTATTTTCGGAAGTCTAAGTATTGTTCCGAAACGAGCTGTAAGTACCGACTCGGCCGAGAGTACCTCAAAGGCGAGCATACCGCATTTTGATCAAAGAGGTCGACTGCGCCGGGGATCCTATTATTCGCCTACACGGCAGGCCATTGCTTGCGATCTAAGCGTACGTGGCGTTGGGATCTAGGAAACACGTGCTTCAGAAATACATGTGCAAATGATCTGATTCCTGAAATACGAACCCGCATAGACCGTCCAGCCTTGTATACCTCATCCGTCTGAATGCGTTCTTGTTCAGTACACATTCTCGTGATGGGTCCGCACGCAAAAGAATATCGATGATCGATTGCAGCAGACATGAGTATGTAATGATAGTAGATATACAGGACACGTCGTACCCTCCATTCTGAGTCGATACGCGTTATACCAGTAGCTCCGTGGCGACTCCAAAACGGTAAAAGAATAAACGCGTGCAGCCAGCATGAATACCGGATGCGTTGGTAAGTACAATGGTGTGCCATGAACAACTGTCAACTGGAGAATATCAGTTTGGTTGGTTGAACAACATGAATCCAGGAATGCAGTGAATCTCACCATCATTGAGAAGTTGATCAATGAAAATAAATCGGCGTTAGAGCGGTGATTCGAACGGAACTGCCAGTGATTATACCATGTTACCTCGCCAGAGTCATTTTGCTAGGCATATAGATATACGGAGATACGGTGATGTTGATATCGTCGAAGTCACAATCGTGTCCTACCTCCAAACCCAATTTACAGACTGTCTCGGAGAAAATAAACCTAAGGCAGCGCTTGACACTGAAAGAGAATAGGACCCCTGGAAAGCGCGGTCACAAATTTCAACAGTTACAGCACGAAACGAAGAAGGGTGATTGATGAGCGCGAAATCGGCACATTCATTATTACTCATCTTCGTTTTGTGACCATCTGAAGATGAAGTAATTAGTACCGCAACGTCCTTGAGCGTAGGTCCACTCCGGAGGAAGTATGAAGGAAAGCTGTCGAAAGCGATGAAAACTTTAAACCATCTCAACATGTGTTCGCTGAGTCAGCAGATACCCTCCAAATGACTCTCCAACCAAAGAACCTGCTCATCATCGGTGGAGGGCCATGCGGGCTCATAACGCTCCGCAACTGTCTCCACCGTGGAACGTTTTCCAAAGTCCAGCTCGTCGAAAGACGTGACGATGTCGGCGGTGTCTGGTACGTCCATCAAGTACTCTAGACTCACCTAAGGCCTACAGTCCAAATTTCAAAACAAGGTATCAAAACCTACAGCCCTGACCATCGCTCACGATGGTCCACACCCGCATACCCTGGACTCATAGGCAACGTCATACCCGAGTTTCTCTCCTTCTCAGAACATCCTTTTCCAGCACCTCCAAGAGAACATCAGCCATTCCCTACGTTAGCAGAGACAAACGCCTACCTCAAGGAATTTGCGCGCCCGTTCATCGAGAACATACGTTTGAGCTTCGAAGTAACTGGAGTGGAAGAGGTGGAGGGCGGTGGATGGACGGTCCGCATGAAAAATTGGAATAAAGGCGGTGTGGTATCGGAGGAGACTTGGGATGCGGTGGTTATCACTACCGTTTGGTTTGATAACCCGCATCTTCCAGATATACCGGGTCTTCAAGAGCTGCAGCAGCAGCAACCCAAAAAAGTCCAGCACGCCATAAACTGGACGGGTCCACACAGTGATTACGAGGGAAAAGTAATTTTTTCCCTCTTTACATCCCATCAAAAAACTAACATACCTGCAGCGCGTCCTCGTCATCGGAAATGCAAACTCTGCAAACGAAATGGCAGCTCAGCTCGCTCCCGTAGCTCAAACACCAATATACAGATCCACCCGCCGAATTTCTGTATTTCCCTCCTTACCCGACACCCGCATCCAAGACATTGGCCCCGTAAATCGCTACACCACTAATGACAACAACAAAATCACCGCGCACGTCCAAGACGAAACCACCATTGAACATATTGACATCGTCTTATTCGGAACAGGATACTATCCGCACGTACCCTACCTCCGCGTCCTTCGTCCAGACCCAGACTCCCAGACCCGTGCTCGCACACTCGTACCATTAACATCACGCACAATAGTACCCACTCGAATCCCCTCCCTCCACAACCAAATCCTCTATGCCCATAACCCCACCCTTGCATTCATAGGCGCGCCTACCTCTTTCATCCCATTCACCCTAGCAGACCTCACCAGCACCTGGCTCTCCCTTGCATGGTCAGGGCTTATCCCGATACCCCCTACTCCTAAAGCCAGACTCATATACGAGCAAGGCCGCCTCCGCACCCTAGCTGAACAGCGCTCACAATCCGACAACCCTTCCGACTTGATCAATTTCCATTTCTTGGGTCGCTATGAGATGGAGTATGCTAGGGGTCTTAGGGAGGATGTCGTGAGGGTAAATGAGTGTTTGGACAGGGTTCTTGCAAGGTGGGATGATGAGCAAGATGGGAGACGGTTTGCGATGTATGCGAAGAAGATGGAGAGTCTGCGAGCATCGAGAGACTGATGCCGATAGATGGCGATGCGGCGTAGACCGAACTACCGACACGATATAGGGAGCTCTCAACTCGACAGAACATGTGTTGTCAATGGGTCTTACATATCTGGACCGTCGACATCAAGCACATACTCATACCTCTCCGCATCCCTAACGCTCATTCCCACCGATACGACCGGTTCACTGTGACCATTGACAGGATTGTGTGCATTTGGCGAGAACGTTATTAACGCGCATCCTTACCGGTAGATCTGGAAAGCTGTTATCATATCAACCGCCAGTGACGAATAGTTGATGGTCTTGTGTTGTTCTCATAGTATGGAAATGCTGTAAAAGACAGACCACAGGTTTAAGAAAGAATCATTGCAGTCCAAGGTTGTCACCATAAATTACCGAATAGTTTATTATATCAAATCTATGCGATCAAGGGGAACGAAATCTTACAGGTGGTAACCTAAATGAATTGTCTCCGTCTATAGTCATTGATACGCAACTACAAGGCTCTGAGAACACATGCACCTGGTAGGCTTACCACCGGAATGGAAGACGCGACAAAAGGAAACTAGGAGACGGGCAATTCATAGTCAGCAAACTCAAACCACAAACGCTATCCATGTGACCCACAGAATTATTGGCAAGTCTAAGCTTGATCTGGCTGGCCCGCACCAGTAAATGTCTCCCTGCCTTCATGCCACGTTTGACTACCATCTGGAAGCGATTGCATTTCTGGCACATTCGTCGATACGTATGTGGGGAAGACCGATTGCTCCCTGTTCGTTTGAAGATTAAATAGTATTCGAGAAGCAAGAACGCTGTGCGCAACAATTTGGGGTCTAAAATGAGGAATATGAGCTTTCGACGATATATATATTTGACCAGGCTAACGTGTTTAACATCTCGCTGTACGAGAGCTAGGGATCTGCTAAGTTATTTGAGGCCAGCGTAAACAGGAAAGAACTCACGGGTAGCACAGCGATGACAATCACATTAACAGTGGATATCGCTATAGAGATGTCAGCACGAAACTAACATAACAATGGTGTTAATACTTGTGATGCAGAACATGTAGAAGAGTCCATCGTGATAGATACTCCTTATTAGCTTATTATGAAAATCAAAATGGTGCCGATATCTCAAAAATGCAGTGGTGAACATGAGAACTAGAAGTGAACTGTTAGGTAAGGATCTTGAAATTAATTGCGGTCTCACCAATCTCGAAGAACATTAAGAGTCCATATGGAAGGGCACTACTGCGAGCCCCCTCAAACACGCAAGGCGGGCCAGCTGAAAAAGAATGAATACTAAGACTAAGGGGTGAACCTTAAGACCTCGCCTCCTGGGATGTTGAAATTGATGGGGGCGGCACTTAGAATCACAGACGCCACCAAGATGGCCTGCACCATAGGGGTTAGTGATGTACAGGGAAATGGGGGTGTTGTTGTACCAAACCAAAGGACAAAAGAGCAATAAGATAAACCTTTTTGTTACCGGAAAATGCGTAGACCCTGGCAATCAACAAACCTGTCGTGAATGTGAATGCCCGTTGTAACGTGGTATGCCAAAGCCAACCTTCCGAGGCAATGATGCCCAAGAAATGTACGCCTGTGAAATGTCATTGCGAAGTCACGTCATGAAAGCCGTCCGGACTGACCATTTACAGCGTCGTTAAAGGGTGCACACTGTACATCAATGTGAGTTATAGTTGACGCTACACTGATGAAGGGTGTACCCACATCTTGAGTGCCCCATGTCTTGACAGCGGCTTGTTAGGAATCAGCTTTGCATTGTAGTGCACACTGGCGTATCTCACAATACGAAGTCATAAGTGCACCAGCAAAAGGTGCATATCGTGAAACCGTGAAGGTGGTGCGAATAATTCCCCACTTCCGTCCCCAGGCCCATTGGACCTAAAAGAAATATTAGCACCAAGATATGGGTGGCTGTTTTCACTGACTTCAGAATGTGACGTGACAAAGTAATCATAAATCTGGTGATACATCAGAACCGTTAGAACGAGACTGAAACGGTACAACTTACTAGGATTGTTGATGCAGCGACTTTAGAGTAAAAGAGAGTTGTGTGAATAACGATAAGCATTGTCATCGGCCGACCTTACCGTTAGTATACTTTCAATGATTAGAGGCATTAGAGAAGAAGTCGGACTGAAAAGGCACGAATGAAATTACCTTGGCTAATTGCAAACCGAAGGTGTCCGAGTCTGAGACTGACATTTTCGAGTGAGACAACGGGTGAATGGCAGTCTGCAGCCTCATGAGCAAGCTATTAAAAATAAATATTGCAGTGTGCACTGCAGCACCGTCGTGAACGTGTACGGCATGTAGCAACGACTGTGAGTATGAAGCTCATGTTAATGATGTATTACACTATGCAGTGATCGTAGCACTATCATGCTGCTGTGACTGGAGCACAGGATGCGTGACAGGTCCGAGACTTGGAGATTGCTGATAGCGTAATGATGTCCAGAGTCTTGGGAGGGTCCTATGCCAAAAGAGTGTCAATATCCTTCTAGTGAGGGTGACCTGTGGTCCTGCTGAGTGCTCGCCGGTGCTACCCGAGAGGAATTTGGCTTAGAAGATAGAACACGTTGACTCGGACGAGCAAGGACAACTGGTTGACAACTTATTGGCGGCATGAGTTAATAATATTGGTACCGCCACTCACACGACATGTCCCAGACTCCAGTTGGCTTGCCTCGTGTGCCAAGAATCACTCCTGTAACCTGCTGTTTCATGTAACCCAAAAAACTCTCACATTCAGTCAATCACCTTATCTCTGGGCAGTGTTTAGCGACGAGATCACCCCCGGGATTACAAACATTTGACTACAAATTGAATGAGAGTCCTATTGTTGTCGGCGAACGAGTCACGGGGAGCTTGTCCTTTTGCCATCCCTTCATCTCCAGATGATTCAGTAAATGTGAAACTGCAAGGATGCACCCCTTACTGTTTGATGATTCCGCTAACCCACGGTGTCTTTTTTTAAAACTAAAACTACCTTGTAGTTCATCAAGTCGCGCTTCCTCCCACGTGTGTTTCACCACCAAGACATTTCCCACCATGTCGTCTGCGTTCACGTCGATGACTTGTACTACCCTGCAAACCATCGCGTTCGTAAAGGAGGCAATGCATGAATTGAAATGAAAAGAGTTTGCGTGCCCGGCATCAGCTTTTTCAATAAAAATATACATGGCTTGATCATGGCGCGAGGCAGACCAACGGATACATATACGAAAAGTGTATCTTGGCCATATCGTACAGAGCACGCGTCATATCTGAAACAGGAACTACTCAAACCCGTCGTTCATAAAAGTAATCGAGGCAAACCCACCTAAAACATCCGCTTACAACTCGAAATCAAGCGAATGTATGTCCTGAGGAAGAGTAAGTCAACATAACGTATAAGATGGAATCCACGACTAATGCCCCCGCCCCACTCAAACTCGCGCATGTGAATGATATCCTCCAAAAAGCCCTGTTTCACTCCCTCACCCTCCTCGCTATCTGCACTCCTCGGCTTGAGAGGCTCGCCCTGGAAGAGTAGGAGGGTGCCGTAGAGTTTGGAGTAGTTAATTCGGATGGTAATAGACCCAGGGGGTAAGGTGGTGGGTGGAGCGGGGTGTGGGTGGAAGAAGAGAGGCAGGATGTGAATTTGAATGGAGAATGGGGCACCATGCAATATATATCGTAGACTTGAACACGAGTGAAATGATCGTCATGAGCCGTTTGTAAACCGACTGGACCAGCCATTATCATACACTTAACCAACGCGAAATCTCTCCGCATCCCTAACGCTCATCATTGTCTACCTCCTCAATATCCTCACGCAACTCAACGTTGAATCGGAAATATTTCACCATGCAGCACACAGTGACTGAACTGGGGAACAGGATGCGCGACAGGTCCTAGTTGGTTGTGGATGAAGGCTTGGGGTGTTGGGGTGCAGGTGCGGGTGGATTGTGCGCGGTGTGGACAGGCCTGGCCGTTGATTGACAAAGGGAGTGGTGGCGAGTGAGATATATAAAAAAGTCATGACTAGGGATTTCGAGCGAACACATTGAAGGTCGTGCCACGTATCGACTAGAAAGAATATCAATTGCGAGTGCACCAAGCATACTCTCCCTCATCTCTGCGCAGCAGTTGCAGGGTCACCGAGGTATGCCACTTGGGCGAACAGTACATGACAAGCTTGTAAGGAAAAGATCATGCGAGCTAGGAATTTCGAGTGAGCATTGACGAGGAAGATGATTGCTTTTCCAGATTCCAAAATGCTTCCGACACTTCGGCATTTGGCAAAGTAGCTATTCTCTGAGACTCTACTGCGCTGAAGACAAGTCTTCTGAGTCAGCTAATGCCGGTCCCTGCCGAGCGGATGTTCAACCGAACCGAACAAATCTCACCAGGTGAATGTTTTGGGCAACCGTCTATGACTACAGCCATTGTCAGCAAAGATTCTCAAGCTGGCAAATCAATCATGCAACGAACCACTACTATCATTCTTTTGATACTGAACCATTTTTTGAACTTGAAGCAGCCACGACCTTTGAAAGCAACCGTTCATCAAAACCAGCACCAAACTTGGAGGTGACGCCCGTGAGATCACTCAGATTCAATGCGCACATCGAATCATGTACACGCTCACACCCAGACCAAAAAGTACGTACAGTGGTGCTTCAGAAGTGGTATGTCATGCATTCAAGTCAATGAATACTATAGGAATGTTTCAGATAAGTTCAAACATCCACATTGCTCGAGCAGCATGAAGATTTGTCCAGAAACAACTGTATAAATGAACTAGTAGGTATTGCACCATCAATTACGACACCAAAGTGAAAGCAGAAACATGACTTACTGTCAGCGACGTGCCACTTGGGCTGCTGGCTCAATGTGAGTCTAATTTATCATGCAGACATTCTAAGGCGGGCAGGTAAGTCATGTGGTTGAATCCTGGTTGCACAGCGACCTGCGCATACTCACGTATTCACAAGGATAATTCATGCAGCAATCTGAACTTGTTTGGCAAAGTGTCACACTACATGTACTGGCACTGACAGACATAGATGCTGTCAAAGCAACAACAATGGCGAGGAAGGAGAAACGCATCTTCTGTGCGAGGTGATATGGAATCTTCTGAGGGGGATCTCGAATGATATCTCTGAGGATGGGACGACGTCCAAGCTAAATGAGATGTCGTTCTTACTCGATTTCAACTGAATACAGACACTTTTGTCTCCTCCCAGTCAGATTGACATCGCTGTCAGAATCATCTTTGATGCCTCACAAGCAATTTCCAGTGCCTACTTCGTTAGCTCCGACACCTTCCGTTTCAGCAGCTCATAACTTCTATCACGGAAATGGATCTCAAGTCCAACTGCTCAACAACCTTTTGTTCAATCCCTACCACTACAGCTAGACAGTAACTTGATTACCTTTGATGCTCGCTTACACAACCGTTTTCAACGACTGCCGAGACACTTGCTCGGAAACCGTTGTCGATCTTCCAACGCACTATTTCTTTGATGATCACTTATATACCTGCTTTTCCCTACGTTGGAAGTTGACGTGGTACGCCGTGCTCATTTATGTTCACAGACGAAACGCAATGGTGAAAATAATGTGTACGTGCAACTCCTTTATAATCTATACTGTGGCACTCACAAAACCATGCGATGACCAAGGTAAGTACATGATTAGCATTCATTAGTCTGGACAATATGTATTCTGCCCTTTCTAAAATAATACACACAACTACGGACTAGGTAGAGCAGCAATGTGATTTAGATCATACAACGTCAGCAGTATTCCACTGGTTGGAATTTGAGGTTGAAGACCAGTACTCGGCATGCTCGATAACTGGACTGGCATCTACGGGATTTTGAGTGTCTGAGATTTTGGTAGTAGAATATATTGCATTTAAATGAGGCCGGGTAGCGGAGATTGATGGATTCTCTGCGAAAGTGATGGCTTGCACAGGGGAGGGAAGAGAACTTGTAGAGCCAGATCGCGCACGGCTGCTCGACCCAACGCGCGCCGCGGAGGGGACAGATTGTGATGGCAATCGGTTGAGAACGACAACTCCCCCTGAGGGTGTTGATATGGCATGATTAAGTGTAGACATTATAATACTTTCCGCTTGCAAGTGAAGGCGACTAGGTCCGTAAGACGCTTCCTTCCTGAGGTTCAAAGTGATCCTTGACATCATTGTGACCTGTTGACCGGAAATGGTCAGGCTATCCCAAATACACACTTCAATTTGTGCTCACAGTGAGGCTGCAATGGAATAATGTTAGTCAATCACTGTCACTCGTGGTTTACAATAAAGACTCACAGAAGCTCGAGTCTGCGCATAGCGTATTGTAAGCAAGTAAGATATAAGCAAACACGAAACTGTGCGTACTGTGCGGCAATATTTTTCACCCCCTCTTGAGCTCTAATTATCATGATTGTCAACACCAGATTTACAGTGCAGATAGCGCTGTATGCTTGGTGAGCTCTGCTACCCGGAGAGCTTGTCTCGCGCACCTGTAGTACAGTAACCCGTCTGCGAAGAGAGTACGAATAACATGACTCGTCTCTTTGTTGCGGATCGAAGGAAGCGTGCGGTGCAATGTCAACCCAAAGACATACGTGTCGTAGAGGAGAGGCAACCAAGCTGAAGCCGAAGCAATACTGCCGCTAGAAAGTGTTTCAGAACTCACATCTGCATATCAGTCGTATATAAGGACACACGAATTGAACACCATGGTGCAAGCTGTGAAAACGTGAGTAAGATTGTCGTGTGCGAAAAATGAGTATCTCACAGTGAAGGTTGTCTAAGTGAATAACGGCTGGGGGCTTTGTCATAAACTCATGCATGGCGTGGCGAAAGTGAAAACATACGTCCACCATTACTCAATAGCCATGCAGTCACTGCAATCCAAGCCAGAAGTAAAATACCGCAAGTACAATGGCAGCTCGTTGATGTCTATACATTGCAATTACCCTGTGTGCTCCGTCATCAGCAGATGCTTTCTGAGTAGAAAACAAATTCACCGTAACAGCATCATTAGCCCGACTATCTCAATTCCTATAGCTGTCATGGCCCCTTCGTATCGGACAAAATGCCGGCAACTTGGATGCTGTCAACTGAGTCCAAAAGTGCAGTGCAATGCTGACCTCTGCAGTCAAGTTTGTAAGATTCATCACCGGCAGTGGGTATAAAACATCAGAACTCACTGTGTAACCCCATGAAGGGAGGTTGTATGCTGGTAGTAGAGGTCACGGAAAAAAATCGTGAGCCAGAAGTGATGTACTCACCAACCAGGTTAATGATAAAGCCGAGAGGAGTAAGATAGCGGTTCTGGGACATTATTTGTGAGGTTTAACTGACAGATATTGCCAATACATATGCATACCACTAGAAACAAGTATACGGCTAAGCAGGTTCAGATACTAGTACATGACCATATCGGTGACGCCACTCACGGATCCCCTTGCGGCCTTTCCAGATAAATTCGATCTGAGTACTATGTTGAGTTTCACCGATTTCTGGTGCAATTGTCAATGTCGTACCTCATCTTCGCTGGTGACGAGGTGGTCCCAAACCAATATAGTGAAACCTACGATCCCAACATTCTAAATCGCAGGACATGTGTATCAGCCACTGCAACAGTAGACCATAGGGGATATCGTACAATTGTTTGGCGCCTGAAAAGACGGGAATCAAGTATGCAAAGACGAACAATAGGCAAGCATGACTCACGTTTCTGTATAGTCCTGAATGATCGCCTGCATTGTTTCATTCACTGGTGAATGCGCCATCAATCTACGGAAACGGCAGTTAAAGACAAGTCAGTCAGGTTGTGCAGTGCTTCAGGGAAAGTTTTAGGATTGTCAATCCCGAAAGGTTGTCAGTGACTTGAATTATGGAGGATGGAGAAAACGTCAACCACCACGTTGTGATGAATGCATTTTATAATACGCAGCAGCACTGGAATGGGGCATTCACGTTAAGTGAGCCTGGCCAAACGTTATGAGTACTATTGATAAGTAATCAGTGGTGGCAGGTGGCGGCTCGGGTTACGGGCAATGTTCGATAAACAACAAATAAACGATAACCGATACTTACGAACCATCTCTCAAACTATCTGTTGCTGCGGCATGCTTTGTGCTCCATTCTTTGTAATTCGGAAATCCAAATTGCTGTTATTTGCGTGCTGCTGCCGATGGTAAAGAACAACTGTTTCATTCCTGACACTGTTGCACAGTTGCACTACCGGTTTCATGGTAAGGCTTACGTGACACTGCCAGCACGGTGAAGCTCAGAACGACATTTTAGAATTGAGCAGCACTCCAGAATCTGCCCCCAAAGACCTTCACCCAGACCGGCCATTTCAGACTCATCCTCTCCTCGTCGACCCTGTCCGGGTCCCTTGTACCTCATCCAACACTCGCTCGATGAAGAGAGTCAATCTCGAGCTCCCCACGCTACTCTTTGATGGAAAGTACATTGCAGGGAGTAATCTTACACCTCTTTGTCTTTGTCGCCCCATTCATCATAACGCGCACTTCGCAGCCAACATTAGACGAACAGATTCAAGATAATATCTGCGCAGTGGATTCTTTCGTACGGCCTCCCAATCATCAACAGCAATGATCGCTCGTTTCGACTCTCGGACTGAAGCTTAATGGACGACGAGCAAGGCCAGGCACGGTCGATCATTTTCAGATAGATTCAAACATCCACATTGCTCGAGCAACATGAAAATTTGTACCGAAACAACTATACCAGCGTTCGACTCCGAACTAGGTATCGCACCATCAACTATGATACCAGAGCGAAAGCAGAAACATGACTCACTGTCACGACGTGTGGCTCTGGCTGCCGGCTTAATGTTGAACCAACACGCAGGTTTTCCAAGGTGCGCAAGTGAGTCATGCGGTCGAATTCTAGTTGCACAGTGACCTGCTCATACTCACCTGCGTTCCACAAACGTAGTTTGTGCAGCAATCTGAACCTCTGGCAAGTTGATGTACTGCATGCACTGACATACATAGATGCTGTCAAAGTAACGACGACGACGAGGAAGGAGAAACGCATTTTCTGTGCGAGGTGATATGGAATCTTCTGAAGGGGATCTCGAATGATATCTCTGAGGATGGGGGAACACTGTAGGACGACGGTCAGCTTTTATATCCTGCGTATACTAATAGGCACGATTCCGATCTATTTGGCAGAATTGTTATTGCTGTCGGATGGCAGAAATTTCGGTAGAACCTGCAAGAACATATTCAGTTGATTACGACCATTGTATCATAACCTGCCGTTACTGGGATAGTATTATGTTAGGTATGTAGTTCACAAGCACGCACGCGCTCGTGCCCCGGATCATAGTATGTGAGTTCTTCCGCATGAATTACTATGAACCGTCTCTGAAACCGTCTCTTGGCACGCTTTGCACTCCACTCTTTGCCATTCGGAAATCCGAATTGCTCCACCTATGTTGTTTGCGTGTTGCTGCTGCTGGTAAATAACAACTGTTTCATTTTGTGATATGGCGTTTGTTGACTCATTTCTGCCTGCCGCGAACGTGACATCGCTGTTGCACGACCAGCTTAACCAAAGATTGGACTTTGTACTCAGTTTGCACTTCTGGCTAGCCTCACTGATCGAGACTCAAGACGGCCCAGGGCCGCGTCAGTGATGCGACCTTCATAAGGCTTACGCAACACCGGTACGACAAAGGTTGATGCGGAACGATGAGACGGACATGACATGGGCGAGACTTGACGCGCAAATGATGGTGGTGTACGTGTCACGGCATCTGGATAGCTAACATTCACTGAACCGCTGTTGGTATAATCAGAGATAAACACAGATGGTAACGTACTACAAAGTGTTATATCCACTTGAGACGGACTCGGCACCGCTGGTAATCAACTGCAACTGGTGATCCTCATGGTTTCGGCGGTACGAATGCATCTTTTCACAACGGAATCTAATTTGACGAAACAACCTTTGAGTTATAACAACGCCATCTGACGACGGAATCTATTTCATTGCTTGTGTCTTGTGTCTTGTTCCCGTCGGCAATTCATTCCTCATACAAAAGAGGTCTACTACCTCCCTCGCATCACTTTCTCATTTTCCAACCCCTCTCGCTCTAGTTGGACCATCAGTAATTCTGTTACTACAAGCTGCACGTCAGTCTCAGCTATATGTTACACGTGAAGTGGCCAGACTGTCAAGAACAACCCGATCATCAAGGTAAGAGGACGCATCATATGCCAACATGCATGAATACGATACACTGGTCAAGGGCATGGTTGAGTCTGTCGTCAGCTAACGACTGGACCGCTCGGTGCAACGCTCGGGCAGCTCATTTTGAATTCATTGCTATCTCCACAAAAGTTTTGTAGAATGCCTCGACTAAGCGCTGCACGGGAGTGTCATCCTCATAGTGTCCCAACGACTGTTTACCCCAGCGAATTGCAGGGCGGCTGCCAGGTGCATCACTTCGTCAGGTGTGTGAAATTACCAACTGCAGTTTCACAGGTGGAAAGGAATGCAAATGCATGCAAAGACAGATCCAGCTATGGCGTGAAAGCGGTTGGTCGCGCATGAGAAGGGCCAATTTAAGGGGTCCTGCATGATTCTGTGTTTCGTGACATGCAAAATGGAGCCAAGTATTATCTCGCAATGCAGACAGCACTCTTGATTTCGTAGCCGTCTACAACGAGCCCTTATAAGCGCGGTAAGTAATGAGGTATAGGAAGAAATGTATAGCTGCGAAAGGGACTTTCCACCGGACCTATATTCACCAGCACTGAGCGTGGAAAGGCACAAAATTGAAGAATGGGGTTGAGCATCACCATATTCGCGACTCTGGCTTTGCAAACCTGCCTAGATTTTCAACTACAGGGATGCACGACCTCGGTCCACAACTCCCTCAAAGCTTTTATCAGCCCTATTTCGTTGCCGTTCATGGTGATGCATTGATGAGCAAGACTTGAGCGGTTCACGTCATATCACCATGTGATCGTGTATTTGGGTATACGTACTACTACCTACTACTACCTAGCCTGAGGTCCATCGTCGACTACAAAAATGCTACATCTGGATATAACTACAAAAGTACGAGGCGTATCACAAGTACCGTAATCAGGAACTACAAGTGCGGCACCAAACTAACCCAATTCACCGTCTTGTACGCTTGAACAGGAAGATAGCGCAACGAGGTGAACATAAGTATCAAGAGGATGGCACGAGCTGTGATGTACAGTATGATAGATACCAATCCAATCAGAAAATATAGGAATATCAGGACTGCTGTACCTCTTGAATCAAATGTGGAAGTCGCAAAATAGAAAAGCCAGGGTGTGCCAGTTATAGTGAGGGCACATACGCGCCATAGGAGCTGTTCCTGATGTGTGGCGAAGACCAAAAACCAAGCCGTACAATGGATGCCACCAAATATGGTTGCCATACTCAGTGCAGCAAGCTGAATGACCATCATGTCCGAACGTTTGAGTTTGATACTGCCATCAAATGTTGGAACTCGGAGCATTATGGATGTGGGAACGTCAAACAAGCCTATCAATTCTATAATTGGGCTGAGAACTGGAGAGAAGATCCCAAGCCGAGCGGGTTTGTCTCTGTCACTGAGACTAAGGGGTACATAGTAATCAGCAGTGGTATAATTGTTGAGGCGCATACATACTTGATGTAATCCTCTGGCCTTGACTCGGTTGACTTCCAGTACACTGGATGTGGACATTGCACATTGAGAGGCTTGTCCCACCACACAGCATAAGTTAGGAAATTGAGAACCGCGAAAGCGAGTGTGCCCACTTCGAGCTGGGCGGCTTCGAGGCGATGGAAGGTGCGGATGATGAGCTGCGTAACAAACCAGGCCACCTGAAGCATGACCAATCCTTTCGATATCGCATTGCCTTTGCTCCTGTCGTAGATTTGGTTTGCCGTTAGGATAGGGACGTCGATACACTCTTTACGTGTCAGTTCCAGAATGTCATCAGGCCGTAGTGTAAGGTAGGGTTCCCCGTCCACATAAAGCATGAAACCACCCATCAGCACAAAGAAGCTGTGCGTCTGAGTCCACGTATGATCTAAGGATGCACATAAGTCAACGTTTACTAGGTGAGCACGAATCGGGCTTACCTTCAGAACGCTCTGAAACATAGGTCTTAAACATCTTCTTGAGGGGCTTCGTAAATGTCCACGCATAATCTAAAGATACACATAAGCCAAACATCAGGTATGTTTGAGAGAAACGGATCGAGTTTACCTTCATATTGCTCTGAAAGATAACCCTTAAACAACTTGTTGAATGGCTTCGCAAGAACACGAGTCCCCCCATATCTTGGGGTGGGCGCTAGAATACTAGTATGAACCGCCGAACGAACACTTGTACAAATGTCTGTTCACCTTCAGGATGCGCTAAGAGAACCCGGGTGGTATCTTGATCTTGAGAAGCAGGCGAGTCACGAGAAGACGTATTTGGGGTGCGAGATAGAGTGTAAAGTTGGGGACCTTGAACGTATTGTTCTGCAGATGGTTCGATGGACCCATGATCTGAGGACGTGTATAGCGAGACTCACCTTCAGACTCCGGGCGAATATTGGGATAGCCTGATTTCTCGAACTGTATTGTAACACAGCGGGCGCTGAACCACTGGCGCATAGCCCATGTGACGATCAGTTCAGGGGCGATTAGTGCCATTATGATGATGCCTAATTGTCGCCGTAGGATACCATATGGGCTATCCTTGGGACTCAGAATATTAGGGTGAATAGCACTGTATGTGCACGCAAAGAGAGTGAGAACAGAGCTAGAGACGATGGTCCATAAGCTTCTGCTCGTCAATGATGGTGGGAGTTCAGAACTGTGGGGTGTAGGAGTACTACTAGTTGCATTTGTTGTATTAGGTGCAGCTTGAGCTTGGATGGCTCCAACAAGACAAAGGAAGATGAATATGGTCAGTAGTAAGCGCATTATTCACCGCACTTTGAGGTGAAATAATGGCAGAGGAATATGTGGGGGAAATCCCAAATTATCATATATCGTTACATCGTATGCATCCCGTTTACTATTTGTGCATTACTAGCGGGCGTCAATTCAAGGCGGTGCAATGTACAACGTACAATGAGGCCCTGACTGGACGGCAGTGACAGTACTATGTCAATATTTCAATCATGTTAGCATCGCATAAGGAGGCGTTATCATGATGGTTCACAGTGTGAGATGCTTTTATGTGGGAAAATAAGTGACGAAAAAGGAAGTTAAGGAACGTTGTGACCTTACTGATGGCAGGTTCACGATACGCGTCCTGGTCTCCAATCAGCATATAATGATACGCTGCACGCCTGAAAACAACAGCCTCTATGATAGTGTTAAGATTAGAATCAGCTTCTAGGTGCTTACCCATGTCTTCTTGATTATCACTGATCAAAAATAGATTGAACGAAATACTCGATAGCAGTATATATATAGTACAACAGGCGATGCCAGACATATGCATTAATATCAGTTCATCAATATCATACATAACGTTCTCATGAAGCCTAGGCCTCATGCACATGCTTGTTCATTGTGTGATGCCATCATCACTATTAATGTTATTGTTCGTTCGTTCGAAGTTGATACAGTAGGCGCAAACAAATTCACACGCGTTTTGACACCCTCGTCCCTTTAACCACATCCTCCAAGTTCCAACACTCACTTTTGAAGAGAATCTCTCCCTGCTCTTTGATGGAAGTACCACCCAGGGTTCATCTTTGTCTTTATTACAGCTGCCCCCTTTTTCACTTTCATCATAACGCGGACTCCTTGGGCTTCGACTAGATAACACGTCTGTCAGGAATCGACGAAGTGGTGTACTCGTTGCCCCCATCCATGAGCTAGGTTACCTTAGCTCCGAGTCCATGTATATGGACTTGAGATGTCTGCGCAGTGCGGCGCGTTCTATATTCGTACGCTTCAGTTAACATATCTGCGAAGTCATCCTGTAACTCCTGTCTGTATGTAGCATGGCTTTAGGTTACATAGCAGCTATATACCTAAATGGTGCCTATGCATAGCGCTACGGTGCCTATATGTGCCAAACTAGTACCCTTTATAGGGTCCTGGAATATAGGCTTATAGCTGTCACCGTGACTACGACGATATTGGTTGTTCCTGATGCGGGCAGCGGCCTTGGCAACAACAACAATTGCTCGTTCAAAGTTACAGCCATTCAGAATTTCGAACTCTAACTCCAGCTCCCAGTGGACGACGAGCAAGGCCAGAATCGTCGTCGTCAGAAAAGCACCAGACTCAGCTCGTACACCCACTGCTCGATCCAGAATGTGGTCACCTTCCATCTACAAAATCTACTCCACACAATTCAAAGCCCTCATCACCATTATGCATACCATGCCGTGGCCGCCCAACTAGAACTTCTTTGAAGGCCTGATGCACTTCCTAGTTATTCGAGTTGTTTCTTCTATGCTAACTTCTGCCACAGTACTAGATCTACCTCCGAGTTGCACATCGTGACCGTGACGGCAAGCAGAACGGTTCATTGCGAGGAGTTCAACTTGAACTTGGTGCGACTCCCTTCAGTCCCACCAAGACCGGTGGTGACAAAACGCATCAATATTAGCTGGAGCCGACTATTGGTCATGATGAACATGAGAGGTGATTGGTGGGTTATGCGGTCTCTTTATGAGCTGATGATCATCCTTGAATTCGTGCGTGTAGTACTAGTAGTAGCTTGAATATCCTCCTTGACTTATCCTCGCTGCTTTGTCAACAATGGACACCATGTCCGCGACACACGCAGATCCCACATCCCTAGACCTTATGTTCCCTCAAGAGCTCAGTTTCAGCACAACTTCCTTCCGACCTTCAGGTAAGTCGATCATCAGCCCTCCCACATTGCCTTCGCATTAAAAGACATAGATACGCCTGCTTGCGTCAACAGACTACAAACACGGACATGTCGATGCCCCTTCCGTTCTATTCATTGTCAATGACCTCGGTGAGGTAGCATGTGTCAACCAGTTCCATGCCATGCGCGCATACTTCTCCTTCGTCGGAGTAAGCACCGTCTTCATCGAGCGCAAGTTCCCGGCGGTGTCGGTCACATTGAGGATATCACCGTCGACAAAAGCCAGCAGGACAAGAAGCTTGGCCCTCATATCATCCAGGCTATCCCACATATCAGTGAGAGAGGACTCTAACCATCGTACCGAGACAACTCCCTCAAAGCTTTTATCAACCCTGATTGAGTTCCTTTGGAACCGGCCTCTTTTTCAACAGTCTATCGCATGGCGTTCACCAGTCGCACGAAAATTCTAAATTGATAATGAGTTGTAAGTACTGGAGGTTGCCTGTTCAGGGTGATGATTGCATCGCGAGAGGCCTGACTTGCGATAAGAACGATGATAGGTCCGTCATGAGCGGCATCTTGAAGTTCGGAGAATAAAGAGGGAAGCGAAAGAAGAAGAAGCCCTCGATCGAGCTTCTGGACATCTTCCACAGTTTTATCCCGATCCTCCATCAGACGTGTGTAGCGGGTAGCTTCTGCTTCTACATCAGCTTTCGGGTCCGTTCTGAATGATTCGCGGGAGATTTATTAAGGAGGGAGTTGAGAACTCGGAATTTTTGCATTACGGCCTCTGCTTGTTCGCCGCGTTCCTGGGCCTGGAGACTGGACCCAAGGGGCGTGCAAAATCGCGCCATCGCCCACGAAGAGCATATAACGCAGCATCAACTACAAATACGGACGAAACGAGAGAGCAGAGCAATGGCAAGAATCGAAGATGGAGCTGGGTTACGGCGCGGTCTAGATGGCCAGTGGGACACAGTAGATCAAGGGGGTCTCGAAAAAGAAAGATAGGAATGCCGAGGTCCAGGTAGGTTTCATTGACCTGGCAACTATCAACCTTCGCGAAAGCTGGATTGAACAGGGCAGCAGGGATGATCAAGGCAGAGATCATATGCGCGTCCAAAGTGGGTTGTGGAATGGTCGAGATCCCTACAGGCTGTTCTGCGTTCGACCGTGCCGTGCGAGAAGACGATGGCCGGCATCCGTCCTGAGCGTTAACACGACACAGGATTGATTTGGATTGAGTGGGGGTTGAGTCGGGTGGGTGGAAAGAAAAACATTGAGAAGGACAAAAACACGATAGAAAAATAAAACTCACCATTCAGGATACACTGTGGACTTGAAAACAATCGAATTACCCGTCATGAGCCTCTTAAACCGACTCGCCAGCCGTTCCCGTCCACCTACCAATTAACGCGTTAGCAAAACCCGCAACGCAACCCAAGAAAAGGAAAGGAAAGAAGCCGAAAGCCTACTAATTCGTAGCTGAGATGGAAGGGCTCGTAGAATTCATAGGAAGGAGAGAAGCGGATCTCTTCAAGGGATTCGGCGTTTTAGAGGGTCGCGGGGTCGCTTGGCCGCCAGGGTGATGGAGTGGATGTCGAGACGTTGAGGAGCGGCGTGTAGAAGGCTTTCAATGGAGTTGCAGGGGATGTCGAAGTAGGCGTTGGGGTTATTTCCGGTTCGGTTGAATCGGATTGATGGCCCATGGGCTTCATCGAGTGGCGTTCTTGAACGTTTCAACTAGAAGGGCTTGTCAATCAAAGATTTACTCAACACGCGTTCCAAAGTTTGTAGGCGAGGTTGTGCTTGTCGAACGAACACAACCTTATAGACACGAACGTAATGCAGTGCCATGCACGTACATAGTTCAAGATGCGAGGTCGATAGAAAACTGACAACATTTGCAATTAGTACTACGCGTTTCTAAGTTGCACAGACCTCCACGGCACGCGCAAAACACCTCCAAGAAAAAAGGTAGTGAGCATAATGTTGTCAATAGTAAGAGCTTGAGCTAAGTACTTCGAGAGGACAAAACAACCAAACCGGGAGTAAATATCAAGTGAGGATCGAAGTAGGGGTTAAAAGGGCGCACAAAGTAGGAAACGAGGGATCAAAATAAGCGACTGTACACGTCACATTCAAGTTATATCTGAAAAAAATCTCCACAAAGAATCGATCGCTAGAACACGATCGTCGCAGTACTAAGGTCTGCAAGTGTTGATTTTAGTAAGCGCGAGGAACGAAAAGGGAGACTCACTCCTCTCGGCACATTTGCCAGTGCTGTCCATGTGCCATGCGGCTTAAATCAAGCTCAGGACCTCCTCTGGGTATCACTAATACAGTCTCCGGGGTATAGAATGAGTGTCGGGAAGCGGGTGGTACTCAGTATAAGAGCCGATGTTTGGGCCCTGCCACCCACCCACTGCCATTCAGGACAAAGGGAGTCGAACTGCAGTCGTCATGGGATGCTCCCTCCGTTAACTCAGAAGTGTTGCGCAACGCGTGGATAGAGTTGGACGAGAAGGAAATGAAACGATTGTTCCAAACATTCGATTTCATGATGGTGGTAGCTGCGGTCGTGCAATGTTCATCTGAGAATGCTGAGGAATGTGACACGGCGCACTGTTGCAACGGTTGCATCGTCACTGCATCCCACAGCCGAACAGTGCTATCGCAAGAACTAGTGATAATGCGAGTGCCGTCCGGCGAGAACGAGACCGAGGTGACTAAATCTGAGTGCCCCCGCAAGGGCTCACCGACTGGCAGCCCTGTTGCAGCATCCCACAGCCGAACAGTCTGATCCCAAGAACCAGTGACGATGCGAGTGCCATCCGGCGAGAATGAGACCGAGCCAATTGGCCGAGTGTGCCCCCGCAAGGGCTCACCGACTGGCTGCCCTGTCACAGCATCCCACAGCCGAACAGTCTCATCCCCCGAACCGGTGACGATGCGAGTGCCGTCTGGCGAGAACGAGACAGAGGTAACTAACTTAGTGTGCCCCCGCAAGGGCTCACCGACTGGCTGCCCCGTCGCAGCATCCCACAGCCGAACAGTATGATCCCTTGAACCAGTGACGATGCGAGTGCCGTCCGGCGAAAACGAGACCGAGGGTAACAGGTTCAGTGTGCCCCCGCAAGGGCTCACCGACTGGCTGCCCTGTTGCAGCATCCCACAGCCGAACAGTGCTATCGCAAGAACTAGTGATAATGCGAGTGCCGTCCGGCGAGAACGAGACAGAGGTTACTGACCCAGTATGCCCCCGCAAGGGCTCACCGACTGGCTGCTCCGTCGCAGCATCCCACAGCCGAACAGTATGATCCCTTGAACCAGTGACGATGCGAGTGCCGTCCGGCGAAAACGAGACCGAGGTAACAGGCTCAGTGTGCCCCCGCAAGGGATCACCGACTGGCTGCCCCATCACAGCATCCCACAGCCGAACAGTGGCATCCCAAGAACCAGTGACGATGCGAATGCCGTCCGGCGAGAACGAGGCCGAGGTAACAAAAGAAGTGTGCCTGACTGACTGTCCCATCGCTGTATCCCACAGCCGAACAGTGCCATCAAGAGAACCAGTGACGATGCGAGTGCTGTCCGGCGAGAACGAGGCCGACGTAACAAACTCAGTGTGCCCCCACAAGGGCTCACCGACTGGCTGCCCTGTCGCAGCATCCCACAGCCGAACAGTCTGATCCCAGGAACCAGTGACGATGCGAGTGCCGTCTGGCGAGAACGAGACCGAGGTTACTGATCCAGTATGCCCCCGCAAGGGCTCACCGACTGGCTGCCCTGTCACAGCATCCCACAGCCGAACAGTGTTATCCCAATAACCACTAGCGATGCGAGTGCCGTCCGGCGACAACGAGACCGAGATAACTGACTCAGTGTGCCCCCGCAAGGGCTCACCGACTGGCTGTCCCGTCGTAGCATCCCACAGCCGAACAGTCTTATCTTCCGAACCAGTGATGATGCGAGTGCCGTCCGGCGAGAACGAGACCGAGGTAACCAGCTTAGTGTGCCCCTGCAAGGGTTCACCAACTGGCCGTCCCGTCGCTGTATCCCACAGCCGAACAGTCTTATCTTCCGAACCAGTGACGATGCGAGTGCCGTCTGGCGAGAACGAGACCGAGGTTACTGATCCAGTATGCCCCCGCAAGGGCTCACCGACTGGCTGCCCTGTCACAGCATCCCACAGCCGAACAGTGTTATCCCAATAACCAGTGACGATGCGAGTGCCATCCGGCGAGAACGAGACCGAGTTAACTGGCCCAGTGTATCCCTCCTCCTCCCACAAGGGCTCACCGACTGGCTGTCCCGTCGCAGCATCCCACAGCCGAACAGTGGCATCCCAAGAACCAGTGACAATGCGAGTGCCGTCCGGCGAGAACGAGACCGAGCTAACTAGCCTCGTGTGCCCCCTGAGCAAGGTCTGAGCAGCCGGCCAGTTCATATCACGTCCAGATGCCATACGAAGAATATTTGGAAATCGTGCAGAAAATTTTCTAGATAACGGCGAGTTGGCAGGCGTGAATGGGAGTGCTGATACATATAGATGGGGTGTGCTGTGTAAAATGACGCCGGCGAAGACTTGAATGAACCTCTGCACGTCCATTGCAGTCGACAAGACATCTTTGAATTTAGGATGGCCCTGTGGTTGCGCATGAGCGCATTATCTCGTACTCAGTAGCAATTCACTCACCTTCAGCCACTGGGGAATGTGCGGAAGGGCAGCAACTGCACCGCTCAGCGCATTGATAAGGGCGAGCAACTCGAGCCAGAAAAACAGCCGCTCGTTGTCAAAGAACAATTTCACTTCTTTCGCGAGCTCCTTGTCGAAGATTGTGGTTCGTACATGCAACGTCCAACATCGAGATGAATATGACAGATGCGGGGGAACGCATTTTTGGATTCGTTCTTGTAGCCCGGGATCCTCGCTATTAGGTAGATACGACGACTTTAAATCACAGATATTGAAGCGAAGACCGTGTTCCATCACTCGAAGTGACGCGAATGCAAGGTCGCGTTGCGTCCTTGACAGGTCGATGAAAAACTCTCCGCTGGATGATTTGTCCGTTAAGAAATCGCGGAAGGATGCGTGAAGGGGTCGGATTGGGGAATCTGGGTTGGTGATGCCGCTGAGGAGGGAGCCCATGCTTTTTAGCACAAGCTCCACGTCGAAATTGTCCTCTCCCTCTGAAAAATGGCACCTCATGGCATTCAGGGAAGCCAAAGGAAGGGGTTCAGCTGTGCCTAGTATTTGTCCCATCACTGAGCGGAATCTCGCTAGCGCCGTCGAACGCGATTTCTGCGAATGGGGCACATGGGTGGATGTATTTTGAGGCATGATATTTGTTAAAATAAGGTCATACATGCTGTGCAACAGCATGCTTCTCTCCGCAGGATTGCGTGACACCACAGCATTGTAGGAATCAATTGGAGATAACCCCACATGGGACTCTTTGATGTATCCGCAGGCGAGACGTGCCCACTCGAAAAGTCCATCAGCTTTCTCAGCGAGGACTGCAAACTCTTCGTCCTGAAAACGCCACCCTCCCAACTCTGTGGATATGTAAGCATGGATGTCACGCTTTGCATCTGCTGGCAGAATATCATCCATCGACATCGATCGAATATGCTGAACACCACGAAACTCGTTATTGATGTCATCAAGCGGGCGAGAAGTAACGATGAAGCGGAAGTTGCCTGGGAGGTCTGTAATTTTGGGAACGGCGGGGTTTGGATGTTTGCCAGCTAGAATACGAAGGAGGTCTTTCCGTGTCTCTACTCCACCGCTCTCGTCCAGTGCATCGATCACGATCATGATGGGTTCCCCTGTTGACCCAGACGACTTCTTCAGTGGTTCGATAAGAAGTTTCTGCCACTGCTGGATGATATCCGCTGTCTTCTTGAGTGAACTTGCGGTCTTGACTGCATCTGCCAATGCCCGCCTCGTCTCCGGATCACGGTCAGCCAGGTCGAGCGCGATCGTGGAAAAGATCTTTTCATGGCGACGGTCTGCTTCTCGCTGGCGGTCAAAACAGTAACACGAACCAAACCCTCCCACGTCGTTGACCCACTTAGCGATGGTGTGGGCGATGGCCGATTTTCCCTTGCCTGCAGGGCCAGATAGCCACAGCACGCGTGAAACGCTGTCCCCAGTGCCGTTGACCCATTCGGTGATCTCGGAAAGGATTTCCGTGCGCGTCCCTTGAAGGCATTGTTTTCTGGTATCTAGTCCCGCGCCCTCTGCATAAGTCATACCGCTGAGCTCCATCATCTCTTCTAAACAGGTATGAATGAATATATGTGAAGTTACAGGGACGTCCAAACCCTTACCCGTATGGTGAACATGTATGGCTATGTCGTGGACATGTATGGCTACGTCAAGACTAAGTTGGTCCCGGAAGTTTTGCATGAGCCTATCGAACACGTCACTGTACTTTTGGATCGTATCTGTCGTTTCCGAGACGATATTCTTTTCGAGTCTCTTCCCTGTGATGATAGTAGAAGTTCGAGATGGTACAGAGCGCAACAGCTTGTAAGACTCACAAAAGTTTATGGTCTTCGAATAATTTTTGATGAATTGAGCACATTCACGAGTCTGCTGAGAAATCTTTCCGAGGATAGCGCGCATCGAGGAGATTTTGCCAAGCATCTCGTCTTGTGTTATGAAACTGTAAACTTCACACAACTTTTTGAGAAGAGTGAGTACCGCTGCATCGCGATTCGCTTGAGTTAGAATAATCTACACAAATGATGATGATTGCTGAGGGGTGGGAGATAGGAAGAGAGAAAATGAAAACGTACTTTCGCTGCACAAGACAACACGCCCAGTGCCATCTTCGCATATGGATGTACCTGTGGAACTGGATTAGTTCGGTTCTGATCGAGAAGAGGGCCCATACATCCGCGAGCTCTCGGATAACAGTATCGAATATCCTAAGGGGCTTGAGATATGTGTCCTGGAAATTGTCAGCGGCATCGAGATCCTCTTGTGCGTCTTGGGCAAGAGTAAACCACGGTTGTACGCAGGTCCCGAAAGTGAATGCATGTGCTGTACAGCCTCTTGAGTGTCCTGAAGTGCCGATTGAGTATCAGCCTCCACAACAGACGGAGTAGTCTGAACCTGCGCGACCACCATAATTTAGAGAGAGCGCAGAGACTGGAGGGTATGTATAAGAACCTACCAAGGTCGATGAAATACGCTCATCATTGATATTTGGGGGAACAGGGCTGCGGCTGGTGGAATCCTTCGAGCGCTTATGACGATCTTAGTCGTATTCCGACAGGACACTCGTTATACATGCTGGTGAACTTACCGATATCCTTAACTTGTTTACACCGCCCTTAACTTTCTTCAGAAATTGACCGACTCTGCCACGGGGTCGGTGCTAGACGAAGGATGGGTCAATGTCAGTGTATGCAGTGGAGTGAATTAAGTGATTCTCATAAACCACATACCGAGCTTTCACGAGCTGTTGCTTCGGGGTCTTGAGTCGAATTCCTAGATGAATTGCTTTTGCCTTTGCCTTTAAGCATTGTGAAACGAAGTGCTAATATTTGTTGCACTGCTGGATCAGAGTAAGAATCTAATCGTCCAATAAGTGAACCAGATGACGGTCAGCTGACCTCAGCTGAACGTCCGCTCGGACTTCGGAAGGGTCCGACGACTATATTAACAAGAATTGGGTCCTCTCCTTAAACTTCCACCTTTAACGTTCGCTCGAAATTCCAGTTTCTCATTCCTATCATTTGAACCTTGACAACTGCTGCGCAAAGATTGCGACGACGCGTCAGTTAAGAATTGACACTCGTCGTTGTCTATACGTGGCATAATTTCAATACATGGTCGTGATCCCTAGTATAATACCAGTCGTAGTCACAGCTCCCTTTTTTAAAGTTTTAGTCTCCATCCGACGATCCCATAGCATACCCGGAGACGAGGAAAAGTGTTGGTATGCGGAATAACTGTCAAACAATACTCTTCCTCGTCAACCGCGTCTCTACCAACATTAATCTCTTTATGGAAAATGCCGCTCAGGGATTATCTTTATCTTTGTTCAAGTCATAGTCCGTCCCCTTTTTTCACATTCATCATACTGCAAACCTTGTGCTTCAACTAAATAGACGTCTGTTACGATCGGCAACGAAGTGGCGTACTTGTTGTCTCGTCCATGAGCTAGGCTACGTTAGTTCCGAGTCGATGTCTGCGCAGTTTGCTTCTTCGTACGGCCTCAACAAACAATGATCGCTCGTTTAAAGTTACAACCATTCCAGGATTTCCAACTCCAACTCCAGCTCCCAATGAACGATAAGCAAGACCAGAATCATCGTCATCAGAAAAGCACCAGAATTCAACTCACAGCCAACCACGGTGACTCAGTTCTCGATCATCAGATATACAATTAGTACCCAAAAATGACGCATCCCACTAAACGAGTATAAAATAACCGTACAACGAATAAACGCGCAGCCCAAGCGCTAGAGTAGAGTAAACCGGGCCCATCATCGCGAGCGCGAGCTTGGAGCGTGTGTGCGGTATAGTAAATACATACGTGAGGAGGTATGAAAAACACGCGTGGTATATGCGAGGTATAAGCGTGTATGGTGTGGTATGCCGTGTCTGACGCACAAGGTATGTTAACTCCTCGTTCTACCTAAAAAGAACGCGAATCTCACCTTAAAACCCAAATCCAAACCCAAATCCTACAACTCCAACTCGAAATTAAGCGAATCCCGATTTTCGTCCATGACCCTTGCAGTACTCGAGGAATAACCTGAGGGATAAGAGTTCAGCATCGTGCGCCTGCTCCTGCATGCCACACACACACATACCTATACAAATAAGCAACCATATCCTCCTTCCTCCAGAACTCCAAACTCCACTCCCTCGCCCTTCCCGCAATCTTCTTCGCAAGATCTTCATGCGCACCGTGTCCCGCTCGGATCTCCGCGGAAGAAAAGGAGCGCGTCGTAGAGGTCGGAGTAGTCGATTTGAATAGGGATATAATGTACCCAGGGGGCGAGACGGTGGGTGAACCTTTTTGGGGCGGGGTTTGGATTGAGCGGGGGTTGAGTTGGGAGGTGGAAAGAAAACACACCATTCAGGATAAATCGTAGACTTGAAAACGACCGAATTACTCGTCATGAGCCTCTTAAACCGGCTCGACCAGCCGTTCCCGTCCACCTGCCGATCAACGCGTCAGCAAAACGCACAACGCATCTCAAGAAAAGGAAAGAAGCGGACTCACATCAAGCACATATTTATACCTTCCCTGCCTCCTTAACGCCCATCCTCCTTCTCCACTCCCACCTTTCATCCACCTCCTTACACACCTCCAGCCTCACACTGACTCGCTTTCCCAGGCGAACGCTATATCCATCATCGCAGGGTTCAAGATGGATTTTTTCAAAGTCTGCGTTTTAAACCCGTCGGGAGAAAAAGGGTCAGTAAGGAGGACATCTATAGTTTTATGTTGCGAGGTGGAACGTTTCTCAGGGCGAGAATTCGAGGAAGGAGAAAGAGAAGAAACAAGATCCATTAGCCGTCCCCTCTGGGCATCCTTCCAAGGCTTCTCCTTCCCATGATGAATCCCTGTATTCAACCCCCTCCACAATAACCTCTCCTCTTCTTTTTCCATCCACGCTTCCTCACCACCCTCGACATCATCCACCCAACTCAACAATATCGGCACTCTGATATCAGCATGCAATGGACTACTGCAATAGCTGAACTGTGGGATCAGGAAGGGATGTGCGACTGGTCCGGGCCCGTGGCTTAGGAACTGGCCATGTTGAGTGAGGTGGGAGGGGTGTGCGCAGGGGTCCATGGCGAGGAGGTGGTCATGGATGAATGTTTTAGGTTTGGTGGTGTGTGGGGGTAGTGAGGGAGGTGGATTGCGTGCGACGCTGTTCAGGGGGCAGGCGTGGATCCAACCGTGGGCGAAGGGGGGCGGATCTTGGGATTGGGGGTCGATTGCTGTTTGAGTGGGGGTTAGAAGTAGGTATTGATATAGTATGAGGGACGTACGTTTGCCTTTTTGCCCCGCCTCGACAACCTTTCTCCTCGTTTCATGGGTGACGAACACATTTGGGTTATCATGAGGGCTAAAGACAGCTCTAAAGAGCGGCAACTCGTCCTGGATGCCTTCCATCAACTCTATGAGTTGATTTGCTCCTATCAATAGTCCCTGGCGAGTGCGTTCGTCTGCAGGCAGCGACTCATTTCCGACGTGGACAGGCCCTGAAGGGGTGGATTTAGCGAGGGTGTAACTGTGTACGTGGCTTTCGTGAGCAAGCTGGATGGCTTGGAGACGTGTCGGGTCTATACCCCAGAAAGGAGCGAGATCGGTATTGATTTGGTCATATTCGTCTGGGAGCTGAACATTGTGCCTCTGGACGTAAGCCCACCTGTTGCCAAGGTGGTTTAGGCGAGGGATTGAAGTAAGGAGGGAAACGTACCACTTATCGAAGCCTGGTGGAGGTGCTCTTGAGTATCTGCGGTGGTACTCACGAACGGCTTCAGGTAGTGTTTTGCTTGCGCGTGCGAGTTTTGCATCCCATTCCCTCTCTGCGTGTTCGATGAGATCGAGAATGGGGTGTCTACCACCTGGCTTGACTTGGAGTAGACCGTCTGGACGAAAAGTGTGAGGAGGGCGTTTTGTTGGTGGTTCTGGGTATAAGTTATTAGAGTCTAGATCCCATGAGTTGGAACCTGGTGCTGGTGCAGACCAGTGAACTTGATGTGCTAGCTTAGGAAAGTATGCAGCTGTAGCACTGAGTGGGTTAGTACTAATCGCTGATTTACTTGGTGCAAGAGTGAATATTAGAAAAGTACAAGAAAAGATGACCAGAAAAATCAGAGCTCGCTGTGTTCTGCGAGTTATTCGGAAGGGAAACATTTGAAGAGCGGGTGAAATTTCTTTGGTCCATGTCTTTTATAATTAATATATGAATCCTTATACTGGGAACATTCGGAATCTAACCAATTTGCAAATCATTCTATCAAGAAGCATCCTTAGCTTCAAACCCGTCAGGGTGCTTCACTTGATAATTAAATAAATTAACTCGCTTATTGAGCCAAGATCGAGCTCGGTGTTGTTGCTAGGAACAATCAGACCATTGCTTCTATATCACAACGCCACCATCACACGCGCACTCGGACACCCGACATCCTCCAAATGTCACATAATGTCGGGGGCGAAAAAGAAAGGTGACGTAAGAAAAATACTACATGCCCGATACTCAGCGCTGAGCAGCGAACGCAGTGGGTGAGTAGCATATGAAGAAACCAAATCCTGGCCCCCGCCTCTGGGGTAGGTAATACCCCCGCGTGGGAAGTGAGAGAAAAAACATGTCGCACCATGCGGGCGCATCAGAGTTTGTGCCGCGTATCGTCGCAACTATGACATCAAGGCGAACAGCGAGAGAAAAATGCCATTCAACCGAGCGTTGGAGGTCATGGCGTCGACCAAGAACCACTCAGTGATTTCAATTCAAGGGTAGTTCCCGGTTCATTCCGAGCGCTTCCAAGGACTAGTCATTCACACAGTTTACACGACACACGCAACACGCCGGTTCCCCACTACCCCCACTACCACGTTATTTTGATAATGTTAATGTTTTGAGCCATCTGATAGGGTTTAAGCTTTACCGATTTCCTATGGGCCAGACTCGGGATCCAGACTAGGTATCAATATCCAGTTAAAAGGCACATGTTCTAGCCTCTGTTAACGGTCAACGAACGCCTTTTACCGTGAGCGCTGAGCCGCTCTCATAACGCCGTCTCTGGGTATCAAATCTTCCCACTTCTGAAGACCTGCTCTAATCCCCAATCTCGTGCTTGACGCTAGATACTCAATTTAGTCTTTGCAAACTATCCATGGTAAGTATGTAACGTTTCCTCGATGACCGTGACTTGCTCAAGGTTTCAATGGATGGATGGTACGTGACTATGGTTTTGTTAAATGAGATGACATCAGATTAATAGTAACTTAAACTAGACATTATATACAGTGGGGAGTTCGATGCATACAAACAAGAATAGAAGGTACGCTCGTCCATGATTCGCCTTGGGAGACTAATAATAACGAGGCCAAGGCCGTCCCAGTAGGTTGGCCAGCATATCGGATCTGACCCAGGTACCCAGCTGGTCATTCGAAATGAAATGTCCACCACCAGCACATCGATAACCTTGTGATTGCTTGATCCAGGCATAGCCTGCAGAACACACCCATTTGTTGCAACTTCTGCTGTACTCGAGTCTCCTCGTGCATACTCTCCACTTCTTCCTGCTTCTTCAGCGCGGCCGAGCCTTTCTCTTGAGCGGCTTTAGCCTCTAGCTCTCGGGCGCGAGCGGCCTCTTGCTGCCGTATGAGCTGATCATTTGAAATGAAATATCCACCACCAGCACATCGCTAACCTTGCGGTTGCTTGAGCCAGACATAGCCGACAGAACACACGCCCAATGCTGCAAATTCTGCTGTACTTAGGCCTCCTCGCGCTTCCGCTCTTCGTCTTCCTGCTTCTTCTCCAGCGCGGTCAAGGCTTTCTCTCGAGCGGCTTTAACGTCTAGCCCTAAGTTGTCGTCGAGTCTCTGCTGATGCGATGAGCTTGGACGCAGGCATCGTGAAAATGCTGCAACTGCTGCGGTAACTGCCGCGACATGAGGTGCATTTACACTAACTTACTATACACTTGCTCTGTCGCTGCCATCTGCGTATATGATGCATTTATCAAAGTTGAAAACATTGAACAGCTTCACATGATGAGCTCACTTGGTACTTGTTAATTTGAACTGCAGCACTGAAGGCTAATGTGTGGTGAGATTTGTCTTCTTGTTCCTTCAGATTGAAATTCTGCATTTGCTACTGTAAACACAATTGTAATCCGATCCGAGTCATTACCGTAAACACAGTATACAGCCCAAGAGCCGACTGAAGGGGAGTCCTTATAATAAGTATATCTGCTGGTCGTGTACTAGTAACTTGGAAATAATCATCGCCTCGATTTGATTCGCCTCTGCGGCAACACTGCTAGTAGTATGATACTAGTATAGAAAAATCAGGCATAGCTGCTGCTCCTTGTTATCACTCTTTCATCAGGCCAGGGTTCCATGCTACCCGAGTCTCGGACATGTGCAGCGGTAGTTCGTATCGTCTCGCACCACACCTAAGTATTGTTCTACGCGACTTACTGACCCTGTTTCCCCGCTAGTTCTACTAGCGCGTATAGCGACTGCTTGATCCAGGCAAAGCCTGAAGAATACACACCCACTTGCGGCGCCTTTTGCTGTACTCGAGCTTCCTCACGCATCCTCTCTTCCTCTTCCCGCTTCTTCAGCGCGGCCAAGGCTTGCTCTTGAGCGGCTTTAACCTCTAGCTCTCGGACGCGAGCGGCCTCTTGCTGGCGCATGAGCTGATCATTTGAAATGAAATGGGTACCATCAGCACATCGATAACCTTGCGACTGCTTGATACAGCGATAGCCTGCAGAACATACCATTTGCTGCACAACCTCTGCTGCACTTGGGCCTCCTCACGCTTCCTCTCTTCCTCTTCCTGCTTCTTCTTCGGCGCGGCCTCTTGCTGGCGCATAAGCTGGTCATTTGAAATGAAATGGGTACCATCAGCACATCGATAACCTTGCGACTGCTTGATCCAGCGATAGCCTGCAGAACACACCCCCGCTTCAAGTTGCTGCAACCTCTGCTGTACTTGGGCCTCCTCGCGCTTCCTCTCTTCGTCTTCCTGCTTCTTCTTCAGCGCAGCCTCTTGCTGGCGCATGAGCTGGTCATTTGACATGAAATGGGTACCACAAGCACATCGATAACCTTGCGGCAGCTTGATCCAGCAATGGCCTCCTGGACACACACCCATTTGCTGCAAACTCTGCTGTACTTGAACTTCTTCGCGCTTCCTCTCTTCCTCTTCGTACTTCTTCTTCAGCGCGGCCAAGGCTTTCTCTCGAGCGGCTTTAGCCTCTAGCCGTCGGATGCGAGCGGTCTCGAGCTGGTGCATGAGCTGCTCGGTGGTGTCTTCCACATCCTCAAGCCCTGTCAACTCCATGATACCGTCGGTGGCGTTGTTTTTTTTACCATTGACTTGCTTCTGATGCAACAAATCCTGGCGTGCAGCCAACTCAGGTGATGCATTCATCAGCGACGTCGAGGTCCGACTCGAGGAAGGTTTAGGTTGTGGATACTTCGATTGCTTAGAATCTGAAGGGGTCTGGGTAGTCGAAGGCTTCATTGTTGGCTGCAGTTTCGGCGGTGGTGATGACAGAGTAGGGTTTGGCGGAGGTACGTTTGATTGTAGATTGGATGGGGGTGTTGGAGGTACGAGGTTTGTCGTCCCGAATGACAAAGAAACACGGGCGGTCGCCTTCTGTGCATTGGCTCTGGCTGGATCGATATCCTTGATTTTCTGTTCCAAGGCATCCGCTCGCTCCCTGACGTCAACTATCGCATCCAATTGTTTCTGCTTTAGTTCGAGTTCGAGTTCGCGTTTTCGCTTCTCCTCTGCACGTTCGGCTTCCTTGACACAGACCGGACATGGGTATGGCTTTGACTGGTGGCATTTCCACTTCAGTTGGTGATTGACAGGACACCTGCCCAAGTACGGGTGTTGACACGGCATTTGTGAATGGTCCGAGATCTGATGACACTTTAGCGGGCAAAGATGAACGCCGCAGTTCAACATGATGCCACTAGAGATAATGTCAGTAAGAATAACGTTACCAATTCCCAAATTCTTACCATATCTCTGTGCATCCACCGTTGGGACAAAGAGTATCAAATTCCGACGCAGATTTGATGAGCACTTTTCGATGCGGGTGCCGTTCACATTTGATCGGGAAACCTTCGTACATGTAGTTGCCTTGTTTGACGAGCTCGAAGAATTTCCCCCATAGCTCCCTACCCTTCCGAGCATTTATAAATGTCTGCGAGTTCCCGATCAGGATGAGTCCATCTCGAGCCCGGGAGATAAGCACGTTCAGACGTTCGGGGGAATTCATGAAACCGATGTCGTTGGATTCATTGGACCTCGTCAGACTGGCGATGACGATATCACTCTCCTCGCCCTGATAATTATCTATTCAAATCATGTTAGATGTGCGCCACAAGTCGAGTAGCGGATACATACCTATCGTAGCAAGCCTGATGCGCTTCTTGGACGTCTTTTCAGCTGGGGACATAAGTCCAGCACGGATGAGATCATGCGAATCAAGGTCGTTGAGCACGGGGTCATTATCCCTCTTCAGGGCATCTTGAAGCTTTGAGAGCTGCCCAAGGTACGGTGTGAGAACGACTAGCCTCTCCGTCCCATAGCCTTGCTGAGCGAGGTAGCGTACGATCTTCCAAACCATTTCTACTTCATAGGTATTCTGTTTCGACCCAGACGAAGCCTCATCGTCTTTGTCTGAAATACGAGAGTCGTTATCCTCGAGATGAGTGTGGTCAATGAAGATGATGTTGTTCCGAACACCGCGAATGTCGTCACGGTCCCGGGTCTTGGGAGCATCCATGAGGTCGGGGTACGTAAGCTTCCTAATAAACGCTGAGATTTCTGGACGCATACGATGTTGGACTGTCAGAGTTTCGTGAGGAAAGCCCTTGAGAACCAGGCGCTCGAATAGTGATCTGTTAAGTTCAAACCCATCACCCTTTTCAACAGTCAGCTTGTAGTTGCTGACTTTGGGACGCAGTTGCCTGCGAGGGGTCGACTTCAGCGAGATGTACTGAAAATCAGCATTGACTTGCGTACTGGTGGTCACCGATGAGAATCATCTGGCTTGTGTTCTGACCTAATGCGGTGAGGACGTGGCTTTCTAGGATTTCACCAGCCTCCTCGACGAGAAGGACATCAGGATTCGCTGCACGGATATCCTGTGCAAACATAGCTGCTCCAGTCGTCGTGCATCCAATGATTCTCTTCCCCATGAGGGTCGCCACCCTGGCTTCCCCAAATCTGCGCATCAGTTGATCTTGACATTCGTTGTAGTCTGTGCCAAGTGTGCAAATCTCCTCGAGGAGTATTTTGTATATCTCTGACTTCCATCTCTCCATCACTTTCCGGCGAGCGTCCGGAGGCATTGTCCAAATATCTTGTGTCTCACGTACATTGAGCTCAGTTTTGAACTGCCCCGCATCGAATCCTCTGGTCCACCGAACAATGAGTTCCTCAGCATCGACAGGTTTTCCGTCCTTGCCAATACGAGTCATTCCCCAATCGTCGTATTCAGGTACGTGGAATGCATTGAAGTAGGTCGGCTCTCGAAATTCGATATACGTGAGGATGCCCATGAAGTCAATCTTCGAAGCCATGAGCTTGCCCATGGCGGTTTCTAGATCTCTGCAGTAAATCATCGACGAAGCCTTCAAGTTATTGATTATAGCCCAATCAGCTTTGGATCGCGAGAAATGCTCTTTCTTCTGGCCCGCAATGCCAAGGTGGGCGACCTGCGCATTTGCTCTGCTGCCGAGGCGGACCATGCTAGTGTCCGGAATGCCGATCTTCATGAGATCTTCCAGGAATTGATCTAGGGCATGGTTCGTGTAGCAGACTACGAGGATTTTCTGCTCGGTGTGATCGTGGATGGCCTTTGCAAGTAGTGCACCGATGAATGATTTTCCAGTCCCTTTGGGATGTCAACAAAACAGATATGAATGGGTGGTTGATGAACGCTACCTGGAGGGCCTTGGATGAGGGAGAGCTTCTGCGTAAGTCCCGCCAGTAGCGATGCCGCCTGCGACTTATCAAGGACAATACTAGAAGAAAGCTCTAGGAGCCGCTTCAAGTCCATGGACGGATTCATAGCAAGTGGACGCGTAACCCGAGCCGCGGTCACTGCAGCGCTACCGATGATGTTCCCGTCCTTCCAGAACAGGAGCTCCTCCGACAGCGGAATGACCTGCGTCTTCTGCAAAGCCTTCAAGACTGGCTCGAATGAGAAAGAGGGCAGGTGTCAATCTGAATGAGCCGAATGGCATTGGATGATTGCAACTGAAAGAGAGTCTTGATGATGTTAGCCTGCCCTTCCAGCTGAAGTACAATTACAGGTGGCTTCTCCGCAAGGAGTGCCTCGACGCGGTTAACGCTTGCGAGACTGATGATTTGATTTTCCGAAAGTATGCATACGAGAGACTGATGTTTGAGAATTCTGACGCCCTGCAGGATCTTTTTCGAGATAAGTCTTGCGCTGCCCGTCAGGGACATTCTTCATCGACTTGAAATCAGTCTTCGCATTTGAGCTTGATGCCCCAACGAGTTTTTCTATCATCTGTACCACTGTAAACGCCGTCGAGTGTGACGCCGTCGATGGTGAGCCCACGGTGACGCCCTCTTCTTCTGCCCTATAGCGGTCTGGATCTCTTCTCTCATCTCATATAACATGTCCTCGCGCAGCAAGCGGAAGGTAGTTATCCAGGTAGTCAACTGTACGAGTTGCCTCGCCATCAGGGTCCTCCAATACGCTGCTCGGGCGAATGAAAGGAGGCTGCTGGCAGAGGATCTCGTCTGCAGTTGGAAGAATGGAGATCTCCCTGAAATCGTCGAAATCATTATCATGGCGACCACCAGGTCCACCGACTGCAGCGACAGGTGTACCGGACTCGAATGTGGAAAGAATATGTTGGATACGGTAGCCAATGTCTTTGACAGTCTGTTGCGATGAATCAAGAAGCCTCGTAAGGATACTAGGCTTCTTTGCGAAGTCACGGTAAGATGAGGTATTCCCGGTAGTGAGGCACATGAGGCGAAGGAGGAGTACTGCAAATGCTTCCTGGGCTGGCTCATTGAGCTCACCCTGATCAAACGCTTGGCTGAAGGCAGTCCAAAAAATGGGGGGATCAACTATGGCGACGAGTAACTGATCCAAGACGTCACCGAGGTCTGTTGCTCGGAAGAGATATGTCAGAAGCGTGGTTGCAGTTCCATTGAGGAACTGAGAATTGGTATTGTGACGCATGGCAGCCTGAACTGCACTTGAGCCATGGGAGCTCTCAGTGATTTTGTTGATGCAGGCTGCGGGGTCTTGCTGTGTACAAATCGCTTCCAAAAAGAGAGCATAGCTCCGTGCATCCGCAGGAACTTTGCCTCTGAGAATGTCGTTAAAACGTTTCTCAAGTTGAGCTGTTCGATTCATGAGATGTAAGCTAGTAATGATATGACTCGTTGTAGGTAGTTGAGTGTTGAGAGGAAAACTGCAGGCGCCGAGTCGTACGTGGGCACTTACTAATTATAAGGCTAGGCCTATCTAGGGCTACTTCGGCAGTGCCACAAAGTTCATTTAAACGTAGTAGCACTGACAGCGCGATGACAAGCGGCTCGCAGGATGAATGCCACTCCCTCAGGCATCCAGCAACACACTCGTCAGCGTGTAAGGTTCCCATCAGTCTGACTTCGTATTTCTGATTTGATTTTTTTTGGTGGAACGATGTTACCAACCAGCAGCTAACTAAGTCAGCCCTGGAAGGTACGTTTGAGGGCCGGGAGTTTCACCCGGGATATTGTAGATTACCTTGCACCTACAAGGTCAACCATAGGTGGTGCCGGTGACTAGTTGACTGGCTGTATGTTCCCACTTTTTCTACCCGTGAGAATTTATTTACATTTACACTACTAGTACTGCGATGTGAGAACGTACTGTTACAAGGTAACAAGTGCATATGTTTGTTGTCAACGACGTCCAACTCTGAATGAATCTTGCAGCAATCAATATATTGTGGTTCCCCGCTTCTTTGAACCCCACCGCTGCTCCGTTATCTTCATAATCCGTTGGTCTTCAATACAACATATTACCTCTCTTTAGGGATGAAGTTCCAGAATTCGCCTACCTTGCATCCGCCGTGTCAATTTTTCTAGAGGAATCCTCTTATCCGAGTCGTGCGGGGGAGGTCCTTACTTTGTATGGCCGTCCACACCTGTTGCGGTGTTGGCTTTAATTTATTAATTGCCTGTTGGGTCGCCACTAAAGTTGCTATGGTTTGCTGTCTCTGCTTATGGGTGTTATTGAACTTACGAATATTTTGGAAGATTTTCTGCGAACCTTGGGTAATTCGAAGTCTGGGTGTCAAAGGATCTCTCTATTCCTGTGACAATGGTGTCGCATTTAATTGCCATTAGTTTCGCACACTGCTGTAAGGTACGCTTCGAAGCTCAATGACTTTGGATATCCCGCAATTCGGTGTATTGAATTTTTTCATCCACGTTATCGATCGGCGGGCCAGCATTGATGAGGTGATATGTAAGCCAAGCGGCTTCCTCGGCCCTTGAAGACATACAAGTATAATATGACTTGCTCATGATACCAAGGACGCTTCCATTCCGCTTTACGTCCAGCATTAACGGATTAACCATGACTTCTGACACCATCAGCGCCCTCAACTACTTCATTGCTCCACTTGACGGCTCTCGGCCTTACATTTTATTCTACCCAGATAGCACCACGACAAAGCCGCCCTACAACTGGACCCAGGAGCCGCATGCTATGCAAATTGAGGACGTGCGCGGGAAGGAGGAACTTTACAACCTTGACAATGCCGGATTTCAGTATGGGCGAGAAGCGGCGAAGCATGCCAGCTTCTTGAATGATGATGAGATTCAGCGCAAATACTACCCTGAGAGCATCGACCTCATCAAGAGGGTTACGGGAGCGACCAGGGTTGTCATATTCGGTCACGGTTAGTTGACCACTGATTTAAATCGACGTTTTGATTACTTATTCATGTCAGTTGTTCGTCGCCGTCGCCCAGGCGAGGCACACGATAACCCACAAAATCAACCAGTCTCCGCTGTTCATGTGGACCACACGCCTGCGGCGGCCATCGCTGGTGTTCATAGACACCTCCCACCAACAGAGGCTCCTTCCCTCCTTCGCAGACGCTTTCAAAGCATAAACCTTTGGCGTCCTTTATCGCATGCAGCTGTAGATTGGCCGCTTGCACTATGCGACTTCCGCAGCGTCGATTTCGAGAAAGACTTGGTGCCTGTCGCTCTTCTATACCCTGACCACGAGAATGACTCATTCGGAGTCAAATACAACCCAAACCACCAGTGGAAATACATGAATGCGATGACCCCGGAAGAGTTTGTTCTTATCAAATAATGAGAAAAGCAACTTGGAGAGCTTTCCGTCATGCTAAAAGGGTCTCAGCTTTGACTCGATACAGGATGGCAGTGTGGCGAGGTTGAGCCCTCATACTGGGTTCCAAGACTCGAACACTCCAGAGGGAACGCCGCCTCGGGAATCCATCGAGCTGAGAGCTCTGGTATTCTATGATTAGAATTATTAGAACACGTTTTGTCAAGTGGCGTTGAGAATTGACAAAGAATTCATACCGCGTTTCGTTGATATACCTGTACGCTTGGTTGTACTTTGCCGATTTCCCTCTTGAAAATTTTGTACAATCCTCGTGGACGCATCTTGACTATCATGACACTATCCATGCATTCATGACGATCATGCATGCCGCATGGAGAATTCTGAAGTGACGTCGATGGCCGCTGGTCACGAACCAGCGGTCCAGAGGCAAGGACACCATTGGCTGCTCACAATATTCAGAGGTCCCACTCGACGCGCGCATTGAGGAGTGGCTCGTGTCTGGTCCGGGATGCCCCTGCCCTTCCGCCAGACCCAACCGCACACGAGAAACTAGAGCCCACCACCTGAGGCGCACATCCCTATCAAATATAACAGGAAGTGAAACAAGGGTAAAGACTTACTGCAACCCCATTCTGGAGTAGAGCATAGCTCCGTGTATCTCTGCCTCTGAGAATGTCGTTAAAACGTTTCTCAAGCTGAGTTGTTCGATTCATGAGAGGCAAGCTAGTAGTATTATGACTCGTGGGTAGTTGAGTGTTGAGAGGAAATTGCAGGCGCCGAGTCGTACGTGGGCACTTACCCTAGGCCTATCTACGCCACAAAGTTCATTTAAACGTAGTAGTACTGACTCATAGTAAGCAAGTACTCGAATCAAATAGCACTCAGGGATCTGCGCACCATTAATGGCGTTTTGGCGGGAGTCTGGATGTTGTTCGCAAATGATCACCTGCTCCCACCTAGGCAGGGGTACCTTTGGGTCAAGTGTGCGCCTCTATTAGTTAGAGGGTGATCAAGTAATATAGCGGATAGTTGCTGAACAATGCTGCCCTGGGACTAGTGGGAATTGGTAAGGGTGCATGTAAGTAAGGGGTGCAACTCCTCTGATAACGGACAACAAACTCATTTGTACCATGAGCGCTCTCGTAGCGCTATCTTCATTACCGCTAGGTGTCAAATCTCTCGACCTGTTGAATGATGCATATGCAGACAGCAGGTTTATGTAAACCATCTGGCGGGCAGCGCTGAGCACATAAAGATGATAGTATTTTATACAAAGAAAGGAAATCCTCGTCTCCGCCTCAGTACAACTGGGGTACATAATACTCCGTGAATGCGGCAGGTGAGAGAAAAACATGTCGTCACCATGTGGCGTATCAGAGTTTGTGCAACCTATCGACGCAACTATGACATCAACATCCCCCTCTAGGCGAACAGTGAGAGAAAAGTGTCATCATGGCCAACCGGGCATTGGAGGTCGTGATGTCGACAATTGAGGACCACTCAGAGAAATCAATTCTCTTCTTCAACAGCCGGTCCGTGAGCGGTCTACTATACAGTTCCCGGTCGATTCCGAGCGGACATTCAACGTTATCTTCAATCTCACCTTTAATACTTTCACTCATCCAAGGATTACATACCCCCGTCCCGAACCCCCCCCCCCTCATGGCATGTTCGGGCGGTGTATAACTGCTAACTCATCGCCGTGACTGTATCTCGCAGCCAAACAATGGACGAATGTTTGGCTTGTGGATACAGTTATCGCTATGACCAGGCTAGTACTCAAACTAAATCCTTATCTAAGTCATTCACACACTTTACACGACACACGCACCAAATCGGATCCCCACTACCCCCCACTACCACGTTTTTTTTGATATTGATAATGTTATGAGACCTAATATGTTTTAAGCTTTGCCGATTCCCTATGGGCCAGACCGGAGGTTCCAGGTGTCAATATAAAGGTACATGTAACTGTAAGGGATACAACTCCTCTAATAACGGACAACGAACTCCTTTGTACCGTGAGCACTGACCCGCTCAGCGTCGTCCCTAACACCGCTGGGTCTTGGCCTGTTAAATATTCTCGTATGACATATGTACAGGCGGACATCGGGTTTAAACAGATCGGTCTCGAGCTCAAGGTCTTGCATAAGAATACAATTAATGCGACAAAAGAAGCGTTCATGCGAAGGTATCCCAAGGCGACATGAAAATGTAGAAGTCAGCGACAAACACAGAATCCCTGCACGGGACAAACAAGTAGCTCACGGCAAATAATTCTCAAGCGCGTTCAAGGGACACGGTCGACGAGGAAGCACTTTAGTCACGGGGTAATACAGGTAACCTGCATGCATGTACCAACAGTAGGTACGAGAAAGAAAGAAAAAAGGTTGACAAGGACGCCTGATATAATGAAAGCGACAACAACAAAGAGAAATACTCTCCGCATGATACTTTCAGCAAGACAGTAGCAAGCGGAAAGTAACCCTCTTCATCGAGTGAGCGAGGGTTGGACAGGTTGACGAGGAAGAGCGTTGATTGGTAGTAATATCACTAGCAACAGCCTCCCTTCACTTTCGTGTCCTAGTACAGCAGATACAGGGCACCATGCTAGTGGGAAAACTGTCGTAGGGTGATTGCCGTGGCGTCTAGTGGTAGGTCAGAGAAAAAAATGCCTTGAGCATGACCATACCAGCAGATTTTGACCAAGCCCGTCAGAGGTTATATCGACGAAAAAAATCCGAGTGAGTGAAAAATCAAGGGATTCATCATGATGTTTGAGCGAGTTGATGCCCACTAAAATAATTCCATCTCTAGATTCCGAGGACTGGATCTAGAATTAGAATTATCTTCTTGAGCGTGCTCGTTTTTTAGCGCTACAAGTGGTTGTTGATGTGGTCTACAGTTAACTGTATAGTTCTCGGTCCATTCCGAGCGGACGTTCAAATACAAACATCAACGCACGGTGACCAAGCCTTCGCATTCACCAAAGGACTACATACCAGCGTTTGCTGGTTTGAGTACGATTGCGAGTTTCATTAGGAACCAATATTCGCAATCTCAAGACTGGCCAGCCAGCCCCACTACGAAGTTTTGATAATGATGATGATGTTATAAACCAACACGCTTTAAGCTTTACACGTTCCCCATGCAATCCCCACGGGCTCCGAGTCCAGACGCTAACTTGAGAGCAAAATCCAATATCTAATAAAAACTTTGGTATGCGTAAGTAAGGGTGCAGATCCACTGATAACAGGAACGGAATCCCTGACCAGGCCCTTTGTATCGTGTTTATATGGTCGTTGATGAGCGTTGGGCCACTCTACGCCGTCGTCCGAGTCATCGCTGCTAGGTATCAAATCTGTTATGACATTTGACATAACAAGCAGATATCTAGCAGCGGGTCTAGACCATGTCCGAGTCCGAATCGTTACTGTTCCTTGAGTCTTGAGCTTGCGTAACGAAATAGTGGGCGCGAAAAAACATGTATGTCGTGCGAGTGGAGCGTATGAATGAACATTTGAAGAAGAAGACAAAGACAGCGCGGTTTTGCGTCAACTGTATCTGAGTTCCCGGTCCATTCCGAGCGGACGTTCAAGCCCAGTGAGAAACGGTCCTAGCCGTATCAACGGAAAACGACCGAAATATCGCGACAATATTTGCGTCGATTTGGGGAGACGGATGAGACTTATATGATATTTTCAGCGACTCGCATCGAGCGAGATATTGCAGAATCGAGCGTGTTTGCGTAGCGTAGATTCTAGTATATTGTAGTAGCTCCCAATTGACCTTTTGCATATTCGCACATCAACCCAAATCGACCAAAAACAATTGTATTGCGAAAAAATTACAAATGCAATAAAAGTGTACTCTATATACCACTGGCACCCCCACCCGTGCGTCAGGATGACGTAGCCCACCAGCTTCTGGTACATGGGAGTCCTTAACTGAAACAAATCATTGTTAGATGTGCTTGCCAGGCAAGCAGACAGTACTTACAATGACAACTGCCTCATTCTCGTGTTTCTACGGCAATAGATATCAGTTAAAGTATATTGGGTAGCTTTTAATGGAACTCACCAATCGACTGTCTTGTAACGGTGTATCTGTTGAAGCCGCTGGACGTGTCGATAATCGGGACAACGGTAGTGAGCTAGCGATGATGTAAAACAGTCAGTAAATGAACCTGACAATGTCAGATAACTCACAATGTTCGAAATGTGTGCATATATGCGCCGTAAATAGCACTTACTTGGATGACTACGGTCGAGTGGGTGGGATCAGCAGATGGATTAGGCCGTGAAAAGGTCTAGTACTTATCTTGTTAGTGCAGTGGCTAAGCGAGAAAATCATGCATCAGACGGTACCAGGATGGTTGAGGTCAACAGCGAGATTTTGCTGAGAGGAGGACGAGATGATGGAAGGGAAGAAGAAAGCTGAGGTGAACCGAGTATGGATGGAATGTCCCAATATATATCATAATTGGTCCACTGCATATCGACGTCATCGCATGAGTGATGGTGCGTGCGCAGCTGATGCGCAAGAATGTTCAAACATTCAAATATTGAGCAAAGTCAAGTCAAAGTTGAAAAAATTTCAGCATGTTCAACCAATGTTCAACGGATCTTTGCTCAATGGATCAACCGCACTTTTCAATTTATCGATTTGCGTAGTTATCGCAATATTATTGGTATATAACTAACATTTTCGTCGTTTGCCGTAGATATGGCTAGGACCGTTTCTCACAGGGGTTCAAGTTCAACCAACCTTACTGCTCCTCAAAGAGCAAGGTTCGGTCTCACCAATCATGATGCACTCGCCAAATTGCATATGTTCTGCGCTGGAGAATGTTTGGTTGGGGGTATATCGTAGTATATGTCTACGACCAGTACCCATCACCCAAACATTCTCAAGCTACATACATCCTCAGATTCCTCACACCATGGGCTCAGACCAGACATCAATATCCAGTCGAAAGGTACGTGTAAGGAGTGCCACTCCGCTGTCAACGGACTCCCCTTTGTTACTCTCCCCCATTGATGAGCGCTGAGCCACTCCTCAACCTCGCTTTGTCCCAGTTGTGTATAAAAGTATGTCCGACATATACTTTGAATACCACGACTTCCTCAGGAGGGCATTGACCTCCATTCCTTCACTCATCTATGTAGATCTCTCGCAATCCACTCAAATATTTCCCATCGAACTCATATAGAAACCCTGTGTATGGGAGTTCACTAACGTGCAAGGCAACAAACTCCTGAGGTTACACTCACGGCGAGATCGCTTAATCGTTTCTAATACGGACATTGAATTCCCCAAAACGCTGTCATTGATGTTGATATTCCCTGTATCAACGGATGTTGGAGTGACGACAATTTCCGCTAGGCGGCACACCAGGTCAGTCATGGCGTAAATTTTCGTAACTCGAATATTCTCACTCTCAATATTCGCAACTGCGTCAAATAAATGGGCACAATCGAAGCCCTCTGATTTCAAGAGACCAGTAGTGACGGATCGCCCGTAAGCTACATTCAAATGATGTGATCACAACTGATTTTCGAAATAGCGCTTCTAGCTACTTAACTCGAAGATATCGGGCAGCAACGTATCGTTGTGAGTCCTTGGCCTGATTAGCACCGATATTGGGACACATCCTGTTCTTATGACATCTTTCTCTCCAGTAACGTTTCTAGGTATCGATGATGATACAGCGGTTCTCACGCAACAGTGAGCAACATCGGAATCTTATTCCAACGTCTACCATAGCGCTCGCTGATCACTGCAGGTTGCACACAGCATTTTTAACTCTTCGCGACGAGGGTGCGACCTGCATTTATGCCATGGAACGAAGAGGTGATGGAATCCCTGGGAGTCCCCTTCGCCTCCTCGCTCCATGGCAGTGCCCAGTTCATGATTTTACAGGCTCATTATATCTATTCACCTTTCAAACAAACACCCGATGATGTCAACCTAGCCTTGTCGTCCACCGGGGAGTTCTGATGCCGAAGTTCGAGACACTGGAACGGCAAGATTATTGGGAAGGCATACAAAAAAGCAAGAATGAACGAGCATATGTTGGGTCCAAGTCTAACAAAGAACTATGATTAAAATAAGTCACGGGTCTGTATTATTCCACAGCTCTAGATGATCCACACAGGATGCTGTTTGGATCGGTTGAGCAAAAATCATCCCCGAGGCAACCGACCAGTTTATAACGACATCCCGTGATTCGTTCGCTGCTCGTAGATTGAACAAGATGCGTGAGGCAAGAACACTGCGCACAACTGTCTGCAGGCTTGTCTGACTCAGTATTAGACATTAAATTAGCCATGATAGGGTTTACCCTGCTCCATAGAAACGACGAGTATATGATAACTGAGCAACCTATTTAGAAGCTTATCATACAGCTGAAGGCAAGCTACTCACAGGATGCATAAGAATGGCGACCCAATCCATCACCGATAACACTGTACGAGTTGAGGCCGTGTTCCTAACAAAAATCTACATGACTCACGAGTTATGCACAACATGTAAAACACGCCGTCCCGATATATAGTAGCAACTATCGGACTATTCTCCATTTGGTAAAATTTGAAGCGTTTGTAGAGCGTCAGGAACATCAACACTGACGGAGGATAGTGAACGCTGCACGAAATCATCGAGATGCTACGTACCAAGCTGAAAGATCATGTACAAACCATAAATGATGCCTTGTTGTCCCTCCCATGCACCACACTCGGGATCTAGAATATGGAGTGAGCAGAAGAAATGTGGAATGGGGAATACAGACTTGTGGATTTACTCGCAACGACGCTTATAATTGTTAATATAGCTGCGATTGTAGCCTAAAATAATGTTTGATATTTGAGCAGCAAGAAAATGGCCGAGAGGAAGGACCAAGGTCACCGTGCCAAACAATGATATCGCGATCAAGATCCTCTTTTCACCCCCACAAAACACGTACGTCCTTGCCACGAGCAACACTGAACAAGAAGTCACGGGGAGGAAAGCCACTTGACATGGTGTTGAAACTGACCATCAGCAGCAGCAGAACCTAAGGTGGTGATGGCTAGCAAAGACGTTGAGCATTTAGAGCTTTGAAGTAAGGTTTTTAAACACGCAACTGCCATTTACAGCAATGAATACCCCAGGATTTGGCTGAGATACCATCAGGTACTTGAACTCTGTCACAATAAGTAACGCTTACAATTCCTCTGTGAGTTGACTTGACGGTGTCTACGAGAGGGAGGCATCAGTGAAGAGCGAGAAGTAGACAGACTATCGTGAATACCCACAATATAGGTACATAGCGACACACAGAATCGGCACATAGCGAGAAATAACAAAGGCTATCCTCACAATCCCCCACTTTCTCCCCCATGTCCAGCGAACCTGACATTATGTTAGTGTTTACATATGGCCACTGAAAAACGCTAACCTCTGAGTCGAAAGTGATGCAGAAGTCGAATAGCTGGAAAAGAATTTGGTCATGGTTCAACCATGTTATTTGTTGCTTCTTACCAAAGCCGTTGCGGCCATAACTGTCACAGGAATTCAGTTGTGCAGGACAAAGTAACAATCTAACTACCTTCGACATACTGAATTCGAATGAGCAAGTGATGGATGGTAAGTGAAACAGGGTACGCACTGCGACAGTTTGACAGTCTGTTGAGACCCACACAATGACCCATCCTGAACGAAGCTGAAATAACGACTGCCTGATGCCGTCCGCTGAAGACGCTAGAGCTAAGTGGGCTAGCATCATATAGGCACATACTTATAGTGCTGACATTAACTCTTCCCATAGCACAGGCACGAAATTCGCATTGATCCGAATCAGATAGATCATGCATCACTTCCGGGACCATGCACAGGTAAGGCTTGCCCGCAGGGTATTCCAGATACATGAACCACCAGCAACGTTGACAGGCTTACATACCTCTGTGCAGCAGTATATGGTATGGCTGTGCTGTATGTGAGAATTACTCGTAAATTTTGATATCATCAAACGTTCTCAACTTGACGGAATTTTATCGGTTGACTTCCTAAGAAGCCTTACTAAAGGCCAGTCCGCATACGTAAAACGCAGGAACGCATTTCGATCACGAACAGGCTGAAGCAGGCTACTGAGTGAGAAGGTCAAGTGTCGTAAATGGGATTACTCCCCTGCCCTCAGAACCGCTGCCGTTGACAATGGGAACGGGATAGGGTCGCGGTTATTTACAGTATCCATCGCAGTGCTGTCTTTGGTTATGCAGTCAAGGCTGATGAACCCTACTTTTCCGGAGACTACGGGGGCCTGTAATCATAGAGCGACGTAAGTACGATGTCCACATACATCAGTAAGATGGCTAATGCCACTTGTGGAAAAGTCTTTCCTACACTGGGGCTCCGAAATGGGCCTGGCAAAGAAGTAGAGAACGTTGGAGCGGTACAGCCGAGAAAGCCTGTCTCTCACGTAGCATGGATCACTGTTTTGAAACCTAGTATGATGGGCAGAATGGCAGAAATCAGTAATTTTAATTTCGAATGCTCGTCGTGATTGTGTTATGCGTAAGAGAGTTACCGGGGATAATTGACGTGAAAGAGAATATCATCGAATAATATGTACAATTCCTCGATACTATCCTTCCTGGTCATTGTCAGCACAGACTAAGTGGCAGGTGGTAGACTGGTAGTACATGGTAAGTTGAAGAGCGGGGTTTCAATTACGAAGCTCAACCGATCAACATTCAAACGTTCAACAGTTACTAACTCATCACTAAGCCATTCTCTGAAGCAGGCTTTAAATTCAAACTTCAAGCTTATGTTTCAAAGCTTCATGGACAAGCAATAGAGATCACAACCTCATCGCGAGCCAATACTCGTGAGACACCACTGTCTCATGCAATCAGTGCCAACAACTTATGAGCAGACGTCAACGATCCTGTAGAACTTACTGGTGTCCACCAGGAGCTTGACTCTGGGAAGCAAACACTCTTTGCGGCACCGGGCATAGTCCTGGCGGCGATTTGACCCATCGAATAAATTGACGAAGCTGTGGAGCACAAAAAGCTACAAGAGGATGCAAACCAATGTCGTCGTTGCCGTCCTCTGTACTAGTCGTCTGTACTCTGAAGTGCATTTCAATGGTCTACAGCTAGACCACAGCTTACGAGGGTCCGGAGAATTGGTCCGCATGATGATTAAAATCCCTCCTACGAGTCTTCATCACTAGACACATACTCTGAATTGCTCTCGTTTCCACTATCCTCGTAAACCTCCCCACCTCCACCGACGACCGCATTTCTATCTTCGCTTTCCTGTACTAGAGGCGCAATTCCAATGTGGTTGTGTGAACCTTCAATCCCACAATCGTCAACACCTTCACCTGCAACCAGCATCAATCTCCTCCCCTGCTCGCGGACCATAGAGAAAGACTTGACAAAATCCTGGACGACTTTCCACCTGATAGAGTATTTTTCAAAGTTTGGGTGGTCCCTAGATCCTTGAATCCATGAAGCAACTAATCCCACTCTGGGCGCGACGGCTGAAATAAAGGCAGCAATCCTTGTCGGATGGTGAATTCTTGGACTGCCAAAGAATGCTCAAGACAGCGCCTTGTGTGCAAATCCTTGGTACGGAACATCAGGAGAGATCTCACATCCGTCTATTGTGGACCAATTCATGATAACGGCAACCGAGACTAAACGGGGACAATGTTGCAACAACGAAATGAAGGCATTTGGAGTGATTCCGTGACTCGAATGGCCATGTTTGATGAAGTGTAGCTCTTCCAGGAGGGGCCAGGCCCTAGCCATCTGCAAAAGGACAGAATCGTCCCATCGTACAACATAGTGGTGGTACGCTTCGAAGTCGAGCTTGCGAAATGCAAAGAGCGGTTTAAACACTGCCAGTCTGATTGAAGTCTTGTGATCAGTAAGCCGATCGGTGATGAAGATTTGTATCTGCTCCAGTGAGTTGTGCGCACATGTATCAGATACACGGGAAATCGAAGCCGGCAAGCCTCGGGCAGAATCCACCCACCCAATGGTATGGAAGCATATTAATTTTGGAGCGATGAAGAGGCTCTCGAAAAAAGCATCTACGAGCACCAGACTGCTGCATACTACAGTCAGTTCTTGCAATGCACAGAGCATAGAGCCCTGCAGGAGCTTTTTGGTATCCACAGACATAGGAATTGGTGGTAGATGAAACTTCAGAACTCGGAGTGAAGGCAACTTGAACAAGTGGAGTATGGCCGCCTCCGAAACTCTTCTAGTGGTCACCGATGTTAGGCGAGACCAACATTGCAATGCAGTTGATGTGTCTTCTGAATCTGCGGACGAAGAAAAGCTGAAATGCGAGACAGAGGGGCACATCATCGAGATACATGACAAGACGGAGTGTTCGGATGGACCAAAGATGCGGGTGGTGATATCGAGCCTCGCTAATTTCGGAGTGACAAACAACCAGATATACATAAATATATCAGTGGCAAGCAGATCCCACGTAAGAGACATCAAGTTGGGGAGCAAGGGAAGGGGGAAGGGAGCACAGCTAAGGGCACGCCAAAATTCGGTACCGGCGACCGTTAGAATGCAATTTGTTCTGAATGAACGGACACGATGGTTGTATTTGCAAAAGATAGACCAGTCGTCGAAGGTCATGGTTCTTCGAAATACCTGGCAAATGGAGTGAACTGGCATACTCTCATTGTGAGCAAAAGCTTTACCTACCAATTTTCGTCCCTCCCATTCCCATAGGCTTTGCGGGAGACATCTGATAAGTGGTTCAAAGCCATCCAGGTTTTGCCACAAAAGGTCTAGTGCAACCCCACTGAATGACTTGCACGTCAAGGCAAGTGCCAGGAGTGTCTTAATATCCCAAAACTCCACAGGAGTGTCACGGACCAGCTGAAAAATCTTCCGCCGGAGTTCAGGTATAATGACCATACAGCGAGTAGACGCTGGCAACTTGAGCGTTGAGGTAGTCGGAACGTCGCTGCATCTTTGTTCGCTGTGGGCGTTTTGAGGCGTGTTGGCTTCGTGTTGATCCTCAACGCTTTCGACGGAGAACTCGGCCTCCATGAGTCCTCACTGCGTATTCAATTTGTGTAGCACAAGGGTCGAAGGAAACAACCCAGTCTGAGGCCCGAACTAATTACCGAATCAGCCGCACAGCCACATTTGCAGCTGCCAGGTTACATACCCGACTGGGCACCTTGACCATCATCCGGAGCATGTCTCCGACGAATCCTCGTTGGTTTTCATGTGACAGTAACAGTAACAACCGGTAGTGCTGAATAGCAAACTACCAATACGGTACCGTAATATAGACCAGGCCCTCGTCCTTCTTTGCCTACCCCTCTCCGCGAGTCTGTCTGTTCCCTTACAATGCTGCTAGAAACAGAAACACAACCAATTATACAAGTGCAGAGGGAATAGAAACGGAGATGATTGTGCAAAGCTCTGATGCACAGAAGGCTTGAGATTTTTGCATTGAAATCTGTTGAAATACATGTCATTTTTGAATACCGACAACTTCACGACAGTGCGCCAACACTACTCATACTTCCACCACTGAAACAGAGAGTTCTGCATCACGTTGTTCCTTCTCCGACACGGAATTTACATCTCTGCGTCCATCTTCCATAGACGGTGTGAGGTTGGCTACGGGTCCATTGAACCAATGGACGCCTCCATACACCGGACAATAATACCAAAAAATCGCAAGGGTCATGTACCCTCCAAGGACCACAACTGTATAGTTCATCTCTTGTGCAGTCGTTTGCGGGGTCGAAGGAAAGAAGAAAACGATGATCATGAAGACCATCGACGACACAGCTATCGCAGCGACCGGAAAGCTCTGCAGGGTATATTAATTCAGGAATGGCAAATGCATCCCGATATATCAACTCACTAGTTTCCCAAGATGAAATGGGCCGGGTTTAAAATCGTTCTTGAACGCAAAGCGGGTTGTGATCGGCGTTATGTAAGAGACATACGACGCAGTGAGACCAATGGTGAACACCGCATTGATGGCCTCGGTGCTCACGAACGCAAGAAGTCCAACCACCAGAACAAAGACGGTGTCGAACCAAACCGTATTGACAGGTGTTTTCGTGTAGCCATTGATCCGGTACAAATATCGTGAGAATGGGAGGGCTCCATCACGAGCAAATGCAAATGTCTGGCGAGAGCCGACCAGGAGGGAGTTCGATGTCACTATATACCTACTCTGTGATTAGGCTATGGGTGTGCCACGTGCCGCTAAAACGTACAGCGTTGAGATAATGAGACACCACAGAGCCAAGGCCCCCCTCCGCCCAAACGACGTGTACAAGATTTGCGCCATAGGCTGGCCGACAGGGCTATTTAGGACGCTTTCGAGGTCAGTACCCATGCAAAAGGCAAGGGAGACATTGATTCCTGGAGAAGAAAATGTCATCCAGTTCAGAGTGACACGTCGTTCCACATACCCCAACCAAGGACGATCGACACAGCAATAGAACTGATCTACCTGGGGTAAACACAAAATCGGACACTTTCTAGCGTTACTTACGATTGCCAATGGTATCGCAGTAGCAGCATTTGAGGCCTCCTCACTCATGTGGACGCTGGCATCATAACCCCCTGACGGGTTAAAAGTGGTCATGAAGTGACAATTTGGGAAAAAAAAGGGTCTAACCTACTGAATAAAGAGGAGCCATGAAGCTCAAGATAAGTGCGAATCCAGATGGCCAGCCGGCCACTATAACTGACGGTGAGCCGCGATTGTAATCAGAAGAGGATACATACAGTTTATGAAGCTCCCTAGCGCAAAACTTGCACTGTTTCGGTATTCGGGTGGCGTTGCGATCGGAAGTGCAATAATGACTATGAAGCAGAGGCTGCCGGAGAACTTCAAGCAATGATCACGAACGAGTATACAACACCTACCACAAATTCACAAACGTGTATAGTCTCTGCAGTCGTGCCAAGACTTTGGTACCGAGGCTCACGAGGACGGCATGTGACAGGGCCAAAGCTGCGTATATACCGCTGTGGCACCCGTTAAGAGATATCATGCATAGAAGAGGGTGGGCTGACTAGAGCTGCTCGTTGGTAGTCGTATATGCTTGGTCGGAGGCAATACTGATCGCTGCTGCGATTTGGATTGCGCAAGCCCAGTTTACGGAAGCTATCCCCATGCGATCAGAGGCAGACTGTTGAAAAAATGAGAATCGTCTTACCGACTCCAGTGATAGTCTGTATGGTATTCGAATCTGCAGATATCAGAACGGGATGCACGCCATATCGAGATGCAAGACGTACAACCAACTATCCACGACAGAAAATTCCGGCACCGTGGAGAAGCAAGTGAATAAGTCCAATAGTATAGCTAGACTTCATGATGAGCAAGCGTGAAACAGTGACGGCACAAAGTACATACACCTCCAGAAGTAGGTGCTGCTGACGCAAGCTCCGCCATTGCCAGCCCGATGCACATGATGAAAGGGCCAACAATTGCCCACTGCACAGATAGAAGCTTTACAAAGTGATCCCCACGTATGATGAAAGCTTACCACCCAAACCATAGCGACAGGTCCACCATTTGGTATGGCATAGAAGAGCATGGAGCTGAATAGATTTTCATCAGTGGAGTAATGTCAATCGGCTCGAGTCTCAGTGGCGACTTACGCTATACTAGAGAGCACACCTATATAGCTGAATGCAAGTCCAGACACCTGTACAACTGTCAGATTGGGCCGTGTCGCATACACGAAAGAGTCTGATATCAAGCGCACCTCTAGTGGGGTAAATTCCCTGCGAAGCTCCTGCTTGTATCCTAGCTTGGCGAGAACAGTCTCATCGGCGTCCAGTTGCAGGTGCCGCTTCGAAGTCATGGTCGCAGGAGCTCTGGCAACCATATCGTATCACTGCAAGTCTCTGCAAGTGGGCGATTCCGAATAAGTTACGGCGCGTACTAAGAGAGAATTACCCTCAGTAAAATCCACATTATGACCGAGAAGCCCCGAGAATACCTATATGATATAACCTGGTCTGCGATCCAAACGGAAATTGACCGAAGTGATGCCCAACCTACGGACGCCCAGTGTCCGTTTTAGGAGGTTTTAGGTGGTCTACTTGGTGGAACATCCGGACTCAGATCAGCGAGGAAGTTGGCATATGTGGGCAAGTTGAACAGGTTTGGAATCAGTGACGTTCACAGTTGGGACTAACAACTATCAGCGACACTGATTCCAAACCTGTTGGGAGCCGATTCACCCACGATTCACCTTTTTTCAAGAATCAAAATTGTCATCGAATCGTAAACTTTGACTGTCGAGCCTATTACCGCACAGTCACAGTCACATTTACTTAGTCAGCATCCGTGCATCACGTATCGCACCACGGGATTCGTTAATATGCACCATCCAATCACTACGATTTGCGACCAAGGACTCCAGGCCTGTGTGTGTTGACTCATACGCGCGTAGTGACTGTATTATGAACGCCCTCCCAGCAGCTTCCACGAGTCGCAGTCTGCTTCTCCTAGCCTCATAAGCAATGTCACACATCTATCACGAATTCAATGCAGACTTACGGAAGTCAACTGTAGTCTTTAGACTCTTCCTGTTGACTCTCCGGAAACCCACTGTCGAAAAGCTCCTTGACGAAGACATCCGTTATGACACCCTGATGCACTTGTGTCCAATATCACCGTCAATTCAATCTTCTCTATAATGCCGGAACCTCTCATGTTCCTTCGTATTGCTTCAATTTCATCCCCCGTTCGCTTGCTCTTGCTCAGTGCCTTCTTTTCCTCCAGCTGTTTTTTCATACCTCACAGTTTACAACATCCTTACACGCATCGTTTTTATGGTGCTCTCATTCCCACCGCCTTCGTCATGGATATCGCGATTACATGCTGTACTATACAGTGAACACTTGCTATGAACTACATATTTCGTCCCGCCCTATTTTAAGCCCATTGGATGTACTCAGTACAACAGGAACTTGAACGGCCACAGATGACCGCAATAACGATGTCCTTCTTTCTCAGTCAGCTATGAGGAAGCACCGATGCTATGCACCACTTTCAGACAATCCATGACGCACACGCAACCGCATCTCTGACGAAATCGACATGCATTGTCCGTTGTTACGTGCCCTCACGAACCAGCACGGACATCATGAGAGTCACACAGTCAGCTCTTCAGTAAATCATTCGCTCGGATAACCTGAACTCGGACTGGATAGACTAAAATCGAAAGTATGATCCACTGTACACGTTACATTCAAGTTATATCTGAAATGTCGAACAAAAAACGTCAAATCGCTAGAATACAATCATCACAGTACTAAGGTCTGCAAGTGTTGATTTCAGTACGTGCGGGTAACGGAAAGGACATTGAGGAGACTCACTCCTCTTGGCACTTTTGCCAGTGTTGTCCATGTGCCATGCGGCTCAAATCAAGCTCAGGACCTCTGGGTATCACTAATACAGTCCCAGGATTATAGAATAAGTGTCGAGAAGCGGGTGGTACCCAGAATAAGAGCCGATGTTTGGGTCCTACCACCCATCCGCTGTCAACATTCAGGAAAATGGGGGTCGAACTGCGGTCGTCATAGGATGCTCCCCCCGTTATCTGAGAAGTGTTGCGCAGCGCATGGATGGAGTTGGGCGAAAAGCAAATGGAATGATTGCTCAATGTCATGGCAGTGGTGGCATCGATTGCACGACGGTCATCTGATAATGCTGAATGATCTGACTTGGTGCGCTGTTGCGATGGCTGACTCATTACTGCATCCCACAGCCGAACAGTGCTATCCGAAGAACGAGTGACGATGCGAGTGCCGTTCGGTGAGAACGAGACCGAATTTACTGAATCAGTGTGCCCCCTCAAGGGCTCCCCGACTTGCTCCCCCGTCCCTGTATCCCACAGCCGAACAGTCTTATCCAAAGAACCAGTGACGATGCGAGTACCGTCCGGCGAGAACGAGGCCGACCAAACTGAATGAGTGTGCCCCCGAAAGGGCTCACCAACTGGCTCCCCTGTCCCTGCATCCCACAGCCGAACAGTCTTATCTCCCGAACCAGAGACGATGCGAGTGCCGTCCGGCGAGAATGAGACCGACCAAACTGGACGAGTGTGCCCCTGTAAGGGCTCACCGACTGCCTCCCCTGTCCCTGCATCCCACAACCGAACAGTGTCATCCGAAGAACCAGTGACGATGCGAGTACTGTCCGGCGAGAACGACACCGACCAAACAGAACGAGTGTGCCCCCGCAAGGGCTCACCGACTGGGTCCCCCGTCCTTGCATCCCATAGCCGAACAGTGCCATCCAAAGAACGAGTGACGATGCGAGTGCCGTCCGGCGAGAACGAGACCGACCTTACTGAAGAAATGTGCCCCAGCAACTCACCGACTGGCTCCCCCGTCCTTGCATCCCACAGCCGAACAGTCTTATCTCCCGAGCCAGTGACGATGCGAGTGCCGTCCGGCGAGAACGAGACCGAGTTTACTGAATCAGTGTGCCCCCGCAAGGGCTCACCAACTGGCTCCCCCGTCCCTGCATCCCATAGCCGAACAGTCTTATCCTCCGAACCAGTGACGATGCGAGTGCTGTCTGGCGAGAACGAGACCGAGTTTACTGAATCAGTGTGCCCCAGCAAGGGCTCACCAACTGGCTCCCCTGTCCCTGCATCCCACAGCCGAACAGTCTTATCCTCCGAACCAGTGACGATGCGAGTGCTGTCCGGCGAGAACGAGACCGACCTTACTGAAGAAATATGCCCCAGCAACTCACCGACTGGCTCCCCTGTTCCTGCATCCCACAGCCGAACAGTCTTATCCTCCGAACCGGTGACGATGCGAGTGCCGTCCGGCGAGAACGACACCGAGTTTACTGAAGCAGTGTGCCCCCGCAAGGGCACACCGACTGGCTCCCCCGTCCCTGCATCCCACAGTCGAACAGTGTAATCCGAAGAACCAGTGATGATGCGAGTGCCGTCCGGCGAGAACGAGACCGACCTTACTGAAGAAATGTGCCCTGGCAAGGGCTCACCGACTGGCTCCCCTGTTCCTGCATCCCACAGCCGAACGGTGTAATCCGAAGAACCAGTGACGATGCGAGTGCCGTCCGACGAGAACGAGACAGAGTTAACTGAATCAGTGTGCCCCTGCAGGGGCTCACCGACTGGCTCCCCCGTCCCTGCATCCCATAGCCGAACAGTGTTATCCGAAGAACCAGTGAGGATACGAGCGCCGTCCGGTGAGAACAACACCGAGTTAACTGATTTAGTGTGTCCCCGCAAGGGCTCACCGACTGGCTCCCCCGTTGCCGCATTCCACACCCGAACAGTGTGATCAAAAGAACCAGAGACGATACGAGCGCCGTCCGGCGAGAACGACACCGAGTTAATTGATTCAGTGTGCCCCCGCAAGGGCTCACCGACTGGCTTCCCCGTCGCTGCATCCCACACCCGAACAGTGTGATCAAAAGAACCAGTGACGATGCGAGTGCCGTCTGGCGAGAATGAGACCGAGTTGACTGATTCAGTGTGCCCCCGCATGGGCTCCCCGATTGGCTCCTCCGTCGCTGCATCCCACAGCCGAACAGTGTGATCAAAAGAACCAGTGACGATGAGAGTGCCATCCGGCGAGAATGAGACCGACAAAACTGAATGAGTGTGCCCCCTGAGCACGGTCTGAACAGCTGGCCAGTTCACGTCACGTCCGAATGCCACACGAAGAGTATTCGGAAACCATTCAGAAAACCTTCTCGACAGCGGAGAGTTGGCGGGCGCGAATGGGAGCGCTGATACATACAGATGTGCTGTGCTGTGCAAAATGATGCCCCCGAAGACTTGAATGAACCTCTGTACGTCCATTGCAGTCAACAAGACATCTTTGAATTTGGGATGACCCTATGTTTACGCATGAGCACTTTATCTGGCACTTAGTAGCAATGTAGTCACCTTTAGCCACGGGGGAATGAGCGGAAGGGCAGAAACTGCACCGCCCAGCGCCTCGATCAAGGCGAGTAACTCGAGCCAGAAAAACAGCCGCTCGTGGTCGAATAACAATTTCACTTCTTTCGCGAGTTCCTTGTCAAAGGCTGTGGTTCGTACGTGTGACGTCCAAAATCGAGATGAATATGACAGATGTAAGGGGATGCATTTTCGGACTCGTTCTTGTAGACCCGGGTCTTCCCTATTAGGCAAATATGACGACTTCAAATCACAGATGTTGAAGCGAAGACTGTGTTCCATCACCCGAAGCGATGCGAATGCAAGGTCGTGTTGCGCCCTTGACAGGTCGATGAAAAACTCTCCACTGAATGATTTGTCCGTTAGAAAATCGCGGAAGGATGCATGAAGTGGTCGAATCGGTGAATCTGGGTTGGTGGTGCCGCTGAGGAGGGACCCCATGCTTTTTACCACAAGCTCGACGTCGAAATTATCCTCCGGAGTTGGAAAATGGCGCCTCATGGCGTTCAGGGAAGCTAAAGGAAGGGGTTCAGCTGTGCCTAGTATTTGTCTCATTACTGAGCGAAATCTCGCTAGCTTCGTGGAACGCAGTTTCGGCGAATGCTGCATATGGGTAGATGTATCCCTGGGCATGATATTTGTCAGAATGAGGAGATACATCTCGTGCAACAGCCTGCTTCTCTCAGCAGGATCGCGTGACACCACGCCATTGTAGCATTCGATTGGAGATAGCCCCATATCAGACTCTTTGATGTATCCGCAGGCGAGACGCGCCCACTCGAAAAGTCCATCAGCCTTCTCAGCGAGGACTGCGAACTCTCTATCATGGAAATCCAGCCCTTCCAACTCCTTGGATACGTAAGCACGGATGTCGCGCTCTGCATCTGCTCGTGGAATATCATCCAGCGACATCTGTCGAATGTGCTGAACACCGCGAAACTTGTCTTTGATGTCATCAAGCGGGCGAGAGGTAACAATGAAGCGGAAGTTGCCAGGGAGGTCTGTGATTTTGGGAATAGCGAGGTTTGGATGTTTGCCAGCTAAAATGCGGAGGAGGTCTTTCCGTGTCTCTACCCCACCGGTCTCATCCAGTGCATCGATCACGATCACGATGGGTTCCCTAGTTGACCTAGATGACTTTCCTAGTGGTTCGATAAGAAGCTTCTGCCACTGCTGGATGATATCCGGCGTTTTCTTGAGCGAACTCGTGGCCTGCACTGCATCTGATAATGCCTGCCTCATCTCCGGATCACGGTCAGCCAGGTCGCGCGCGATCGTGGAAAATATCTTTTCATGGCGACGATCTGCTTCTCGCTGACGGTCAAAACAGTAACACGAACCAAGCCCTCCCGCATCATTGAACCACTTAGCAAACTGAGTGTGGGCGATGGCCGATTTGCCCTTGCCTGCAGGGCCAGATAGCCACAGCACGCGTTGAACGTTGTCCCCAGTGCTGTTGACCCATTCTGTAATCTGGGAAAGGATTTCTGTGCGCGTCCCTTCAAGGCATTGTTTCCTGGTATCTAGTCCCGCACCCTCTGCATAAGTCATACCACTGAGGTCCAATGTTTCTCCTGAAAGGGTATGAGTATATGTCAAGTAACAAGCACGTCTGAACCTTACCCGTATGGTGTACATAATTGGCTATGTCGTGGACATGTATCGCTACGTCGCGAGTGACTTGGTCCCGAAAGTTTTGCATGAGCGTATCCAACGTGTTACTGTGCTGTTGGATCGTATCATTCGTTTCTGAGACGACGTTCTTTCCGAGTCTCTTCCCTGTGATAACGATAGAAACTTGAGACGGTGCAAAGCGCAACAGCTTGTTAAGACTCACAAAAGTTCTTGGTCTCCGAATAATTTTCGATGAATTGGGTACATTTCAGGGTCTGCTGAGAGATCTGTCCAAGGATAATGCGCATCGACGAGATTTGGACAAGCATCTCGTCTTGTGTTATGAAGTTGTAAACTTGACACAACTTCTTGAGAAGTTCGTGTACCGCTTTGTCGCGATCCACTTGCGCTAGAATAATCTGCACGGATGATTGCTGAGCGGTAGGTGATAGGAAGAGAGAAAAAGAATACATACTTTGGCTGCACAAGACAACGTGCCCAGTGCCATCTTTGCATATGGATGTACCTGTGGAACTACATTAGTTCGGTTCTGATCGAGAGGAGGGCCTGCATACATTCGCAATCTCTCCGATAACAGCGTCAAATATCTTGAGCGGTTGGAGATATGTCTCCTGGAAACTGTTAGCAGCATCGGAATCCTTTTGTGCGCCTTGAAGAACAGAAACCACGGTTGTCTCACGTCCCGAAAGTGAATGCATGTCCTCTACAGCCTCATGAGCATCCTGAAGCGTCAATTGGGCATCAGCCTCTACTTTCACACCAGACGGAGCCGCCGGAACCTGCGCGACCACAAGAATAATTTCAGAGAAAGCACAGAAGCTGGAGGGCAAGTATAAGAACCTACCGAGGTCGATGAAGCACGTTCATGATCGACATTCGGGGGAACAGGGCTGCGGCTGGGGGAAACCTTGGAGCGCTTATGCCAATCTTAGTCATATTCCAGGACACTTATTACGCATGCTCGTGGACTCACTGAGATCCTTAACTTGTTTGCACCGTCCTTAACACTGCCCTTAACCTTGTCCAGAAACCGACCGACTCTACCACGGGGTCGGTGCTAGACGAAGGATGAGTCAATGTCAGTGTTTGGAGTGGAATGCACGATGTGATCCTCGAAAACCACGTACCGAACTTTCACCAGCTGTTGCTTCACTAGATTTGTGGGTTTGTTGAGTTGAACCTCTCGACGATTTGCCTTTCCTCATTGTGAATAGCAGTTGAAGGGGAGTAAGATAAGAGACTCACATTGGCATCATATATAAGTATACGCCTCGAGGCAATATTTGTTGCAAGCGTTATGTAAACGATAAGCATTTGAATTTCGACCGCGCTCTTCAGACATGTGGTAGATCGTCGAAGCTTAAGGTGATTGTGACAAAAATAGTCTCGGCAGTGAAGAACATCCTCGGACCTCAATTACACGACTTCCCCTCATCGCACCACGCAGCCACCGCACCCTCTTAGTCTTCAACCTCCCACATTTCCACCAAGAAGGCTGGCGCTATTCCTCGATGAATTACTCCATCATGTTATATAAAATAACAGGCCATTATTACATAATACAAGCCTCGAGGCTTGCAAGCGCTAAGCATTAACACCGATCTCAAAGGAAGAAAGAATCTAATCGTCCAATAATTGTCCATCGACTTTTCACTCTCTGCAAGGGTTCCCCCTAGACTAGCTAGACTGCATGCTATCAACTTTGGACACGAGTATCAACAGCTATTAGGTTCGCATCATCAATCGCCATGACTTGCTGTACAACGCTTCATTAACATCTGGAGGTCTCAACCTTCTTCTCATCACACCCACCGAACGCATCATCAACTCGTCGTCAACCCTTTCTACGCAGCCAACCCACCCTCTTCTGGCGCTCCCTTCAAATGATCATTTTCACCCGCCACCTCCAGCGTGTCTCCCGGCAGGTACCCAAAACAGACAACTCCACCATCCACATCGTCAGCGACAAGGTGCAAAAGTTCAACGTCGTCGCGTATTCGCGTGTCCCGTGCTCTCCAAATCATATACCATTGCACCGCCATTAACGCATTCGAGGACGCGATCAATCTGCATTCATAATTCTTCATTTAACTCGAATACATAGATATTGACGATTCCTCAGTCATACATTCCCCCAGCCGTTCCTCCGCCTTCTCCCACAATTGCTATGCAATTCGTGCTGCACGTCCTTTTACTCCCAATACCTTTCAAGACCAATACTCGCCAAGGCACCGATGTTCCAGACGAATTGCTCTAACGCGAGTGTGTGGTTGTTGACATGCAGATACCGAGTCCTGCGACAACAGACACTGCCGACGCGCAGGTAGGTATGGTATGTCGGTTTGCTTGGTTGGCGACGATATCGATGTTGATGATGATGGATACACCCAAGGCACCGACTTGGTGTATACGATGAGTACTCCCAAATCCCAGCCGCTCATTCTGGTCCTACCCACCCTCCCCCATCGCCGTTCACGTATCCCAGCTCCCGACGCATTGCTGACTTTTTCGTTGTTGGCTCGGGTATTGCTGGAATGTCGTTTGCGAGGAGGATCTTGCATAGTGCAGGTGCTGATGGGCATGAGGTTAGAGTTACTACGTTGGAAACGATAGATGCGTGTTCTGGGGCGACTTGGAGGTAAGTATCGTATCGACTCTTTCGTAAACCAGTGGACGGTAGAAACGACAGACATATCTCACCACCTCTATATCATGACTTCGCCTCGCTCAAGCGTGATCACAGACAAGCTGTTGCCCAAAAGATGATGAAATTGAGGTTGGCGCATCTCGAGGAGTTACGAAGCGTCGCGGAACAAGAAGGCATTCTTGCAGAATCCGGGAAGGCCCTAGCCGAGGTGGCGCTGGGACGCGAAGTGGAGGGCAAGTTTAGGGAGTGGATGACGGAGAATTTCCTGGATGCGTTGAACATGTGAATAATGTTATCTGGACCTGACCGTTTCAAGCTGTGTGATGCAGAATTCTCTATAGGTGACGTCTTCCGAGAATATCTGAGACTCTTACGCAAGGAGGGACGAGACTGGCTGCAGATCCGCAAGGACGAAACTGGCTGCAGACTCCCCGTGGTCAAGCGTGGCAGTCCACTCCTGCGGCCTCAGTCTGGGTGACGATGGAAGGACTCGCGAGGACATCGGAAGCAAGTAAACGAGTATATCCTTACCAGCGATATGCCTTTACCGCCAGCTCTTCAAAGTAATCCGGCAGTTCTTGAACTTGCCAGATTTCTTGATGTTTCCGCTTTTCCTGGCATTAAGACCCCGGGATCGGTCCACCTCCACATTACCAGAAAGTCTACCAGACAGAGAGATAATTCTTGCTATGAATTCCTTTGAGAGGTTCGCAAACAAAGTACAGGAACGAAGTCAATCATGATGCTCTCAAGTACGCTTGCCACAACTGGGCCGTACGTCTTTCGTGTGCTCCCCATCCATGGGATGACACGCTCAACCATTGATTCCGGGTTTTTTGGAATGATCCTATTGTTTCCTGGCTGCAAATGGAGTGGTGTTTGAAGGGTCTGCGGTCTTGCCTTGTCGTCTTATCTGAAGGACATAAATTTGTGAAGGTGTATTTCAACGATTTTCCCGTCAAGGTAGCCACAACTTATGTTCCATGATATTTAGTCCATGACATGACGCCTTGGAATTCTTTCTTATCTTCAGTCCGGACTCTTGAGCCATTGACGTGCAGCCCGGGGCTAGCACTCGAATTTGTCACATACCCCTCTCCACAACGTTCAGTCTGTTCCTTTAGAACGCTACTAGAAACAGAAACACGACCAATTATAAAATTGCGGAGGGAACAGAAACAGGGATGATTGTGCGAAGCTCTGATGCACAAGAGGCTTGAGATTATTGCATTGAAATCTGTTGAAATACACGTCATTTTTAAATACCGACAACTTCACGACAGCGCGCCAACACTACTCATACGTCCACCACTGAAGCAGAGAGTTCTGCATCACGTTGTTCCTTCTCCGACACGGAATTTCCGTCTCTGCGTCCACCTTCCATGGACGGTGTAAGGTTGGCTATGGGTCCATTGAACCAATGGACGCCTCCATACACCGGACAATAATACCAAAAAATCGCAAGGGTCATGTACCCTCCAAGGACCACAACTGTATAGTTCATCTCTTGTGCAGTCGTTTGCGGGGTCGAAGGAAAGAAGAAAACGATGATCATGAAGACCATCGACGATACAGCTATCGCAGCGACCGGAAAGCTCTGCAGGGTAGATCAACTCGGGAATGGGGAATGCATCCCGATATATCAACTCACTAGTTTCCCAAGATGAAATGGGCCGGGTTTAAAATCGTTCTTGAACGCAAAGCGGGTTGTGATCGGCGTTATGTAAGAGACATACGACGCAGTGAGACCAATGGTGAACACCGCATTGATGGCCTCGGTGCTCACGAACGCAAGAAGTCCAACCACCAGAACAAAGACGGTGTCGAACCAAACCGTATTGACAGGTGTTTTCGTGTAGCCATTGATCCGGTACAAATATCGTGAGAATGGGAGGGCTCCATCACGAGCAAATGCAAACTGTCTGGCGAGAGCCGACCAGGAGGGAGTTCGATGTCACTATATACCTGCTCTGTGATTAGGCTATGGGTGTACCACGTGCCGCTAAAACGTACAACGTTGAGATAATGAGACACCACAGAGCCAAGGCCCCCCTCTGCCCAAGCGAAGTGTACAAGATTTGCGCCATAGGCTGGCCGACAGGGCTATTTAGGACGCTTTCGAGGTCAGTACCCATGCAAAAGGCAAGGGAGACATTGATTCCTGGAGAAGAAAATGTCATCCAGTTCAGAGTGACACGTCGTTCCACATACCCCAACCAAGGACGACCGACACAGCAATAGAACTGATCTACCTGGGGTAAACACAAAAATCGGACATTTTCTAGTGTTACTTACGATTGCCAATGGTATCGCAGTGGCAGCATTCGAGGCCTCCTCACTCATATGGACGCTGGCATCATAACCCCCTGACGGGTTAAAAGTGGTCATGAACTGACAATTCGGGAGAAGAAAAAGGGCCTAACCTATTGAATAAAGAGGAGCCATGAAGCTCAAGATAAATGCGAATCCAGATGGCCAGCCGGCCACTATAACTGACGGTGAGTCGCGATTGTAATCAGAAGAGGATACATACAGTTTATGAAGCTCCCTAGCGCAAAACTTGCACTGTTTCGGTATTCGGGTGGCGTTGCGATCGGAAGTGCAATAATGACTATGAAGCAGAGGCTGCCGGAGAACTTCAAGCAATGATCACGAACGAGTATACAACACCTACCACAAATTCACAAACGTGTATAGTCTCTGCAGTCGTGCCAAGACTTTGGTACCGAGGCTCACGAGGACGGCATGTGACAGGGCCAAAGCTGCGTATATACCGCTGTGGCATCCGTCAAGAGATATCATGCATAGAAGAGGGTGGGCTGACTAGAGCTGCTCGTTGGTAGTCGCATATGCTTGGTCGGTGGCAATACTGATCGCTGCTGCGATTTGGATTGCGCAAGCCCAGTTTACGGAAGCTAGTCCCATACGATCAGAGGCAGACTGTTGAAAAAATGAGAATTGTCTTACCGACTCCAGTTATAGTCTGGATGGTATTAGAATCTGTAGATATCAGGACGGGATGCACGTCATATCGAGACGCAGGACGTACAACCAACTATCCACGACAGAAAATTCCGGCACCGTGGAGAAGCAAGTGAATAAGTCCAATAGTATAGCTAGACTTCATAATGAGCAAGCGTGAAACAGTGACAGCACAGAGTACATACACCTCCAGAAGTAGGTGCTGCTGACGCAAGCTCCGCCATTGCCAGCCCGATGCACATGATGAAAGGGCCAGCAAATGCCCACTGCACAGATAGAAGCTTTACTACAAAGTGATCCCCACGTATGATGAAAGCTTACCCCCCAAACCATAGCGACAGGTCCACCATTTGGTATGGCATAGAAGAGCACGGAGCTGAATAGATTTTCATCTGTGAAGAGTAATGTCAATCGGCTCGAGTCTCAGTGGCGACTTACGCTATACCAGGGAGCACTCCTGTATAGCTGAATGCAAGTCCAGACACCTGTACAACCGTTAGATTAGGCGGTGTCGCAAACACGAAAGAGTCTGATATCAAGCGCACCTCTAGTGGGGTAAATTCCCTGCGAAGCTCCTGCTTGTATCCTAGCTTGGCTAGAACAGCCTCATCGGCGTCCAGTTGCAGGTGCCGCTTCGAAGTCGCAGGAGCTCTGGCGACCATATCGTATCACTGCAAGTGGGCGATTCCGAATAAGTCACGGCGCGTACTAGAAGAGAATTACTTCACATTATGACCGAGAAGCCCCGAGAATACCTATATAATATAACCTAGTCTGCGATCCAAACGGAAATTGACCGAAGTGATGCCTGTCACGGTTTATCCCAACCTACGGACGCCATGTGTCCGTTTTAGGTGGTCTACTGGGTGGAACATCCGGACTCAGATCGGCGAGGAAGCTGGCATGTCCATCCGGACATACTAGGTGGTATACAAGTCGGAGTAGTCTGTCATCCATGGCCATGTATACCAGAAATTCAAATACCTCGTTGGTGCCATATTTAGCACGAGCAGAATTATATCCGCTTACAGTTCCCACGGGCCACGGCTACCATCACTTTGAACCTTCTCATCATGGAGCTCTTCCGCGATCATATGCATGCAACGTCTCGGAGTGCTTGGCAGTGGCGTCCGCTTTTTCAGCAGCCTGTGCCCCAACAGTAATGTGGGTTAACATGACGCCTGCTGAGTCACATGTTTCCCGAGTCTTTATTATTGTTGGTTGGGTTATTAAAATTTCAGTCAGGAAAGACTAGTATGTAATCCGAAATCAAGCTTGTCAATGTACGTTACATCGGCAACGGCCGACCCCACCAGCTCGAGGTTGGGTCGAGGAACACTAATTTGCCACCGTTAGCTACTAGCCGAGTCAACAACGTACTTGTCAGTTGCGACATGAACTCTAGCCTCGTCGAATCGGAATCGAGGAGCGATCTTTATCCAGAGACTTCGAATTCTGCCAACAGCAGGTTTGTCCAACTGGAGGCCGCATCTCTGGATTTTCCACTTACATTTTGCACTCCAGACGAGCTCAATCCATACCTCCTAGATCTGGTGCATCCAGTAGCCGTATCATTATGGAAAATAGCTTGAATCAAAAGGCCACTGTCCATGATGCTACCAATGACCAGTGTGGCCCCGAAGAGGTCATCAAAAGTCCTGGGCCTCAGGATGGCCGTAAGCGCGTGCGCTTCCAGGATGTCTCATCTCAGGGTGATGAAGAACCAGATCGTGACGAGGACCTCGAATCGCCGTCAAAGAGAGTGAAGATATTGGCCACAACAGTACGTTTACAACATCGTTTGAACATTGCCTTGAAGACCGATCTTATTTTTCAAAGTGGACATACACCTCTCCTCCTGACGCCTCAAACTATATGAATAAGCGCATGCTCGAACTTTCCCGTATCACTCGCCGGGCCTTTGCTGCGAGAATCCAATTCCAACGCCTTCGCAGCCACGAACTTGAACTGATGAAGTCTCTTGTCGACGATGAAATCGAGCAGGTCAAAACACAGATAAATGCAATTGATCTGCAGATCGGCTCCATCGAAGGCATGATTCGCGAAGGAGAAGTGGACATAGAGAGCAAAGAGTGTAGCTTATCCGAGGACAACATCAGGATGTTCTGTGGTGATGACCATGGCTCTGAGGCAAGTTGGCGAGAAAAAGACTCTTGTGACGTTACAATTTCATTTGCTTCTTGATCTGGTTCATACTACGTCTCAGATGAATCACATTCTGATTGACTTTAGTAACTATCGATCTTTATCCGCTGTCCATTTCTGCGTCGATCACAAAATGCCACGCCAAATTTCATCATCCTTATAAAATACATCTGCGATATTCCTTGTCAGTCGCCAAAGATCATCCACTGCATAACGGCGGCCACTACTCTCCACAGACTAGTCCGTCAGTCTCTGCACGTGTCCTAGTTGATCACTGATGAAAAGCTGACACGGTACCAACACGTCGCAGCATATATAACCCAGGTTATATAATGCACCGTCGTACAACGTGTCCAGGTATCATGATAGCCAACCACAAGTACGATCCCGTTGGTTTGAACTCGGAACAAGTTTCGCATTGCGCGTTTCCGTTATGTCAGGTTGTCAAAAATTAGCATCTGGCCTTGAAAGGGCAAAATTTTGTACAGGTTCGTCCACGTCCACTCAAGCTGTTGAATGACTGAATTATGTAGCTCCCTTTATAGTAATGGGCCCGCAACCAGGCCAAAGTACTGCGGTTTGAATGTGTAAGGGAACGGCGGGTGACAGAAAAGAAGCATGTACGAGCGAGCAGGATGTCACGATGAACGTGGAAGAAACCGGCGAAACAGATATGAGTCACTCCTTGCTCGGTGTTTGCAGTGCACCTAATAGGAGTGAACTGCAAATTTCGATCACGTCGTGACTGTCTTATGGGCATCATAAAGGAGCGGTATGTGAGAGAAAATTTCAAGAGAGCGCGTTGCAGGTGGTGGTGTTGACGAGGAAGTGAATTGATTTATCAGACCTTGGTTTTCACTGGACTTGGGGAGAAAGCTGTAATTATGATACTATACCGCTACAAACAAAGGAAACAGTCAAGACGCGGTGCCCTATGGGCTGTGTTGGGGGATATGGTAATGAACATAAGGTGTAGGTATAATACGGATAGCCGAGGGGTCCGCGTTGGGGACGATGTGTGTTGATGCGCGAATTAGTTTGTCCGGCGTTCGAGTTGGGTACAAAATTATGATACATTTCCTCCTCCTCCACCCTCCTCTCTCTACCTATCATCATCTCCCCCTCCCTCCTCCATTTCCCACTCCTCTTCCCACTCCCCCTCTATCCTCATGATCCCTTTCTTGTCCTAGTAAGGCGAACTTCTTGAAAGCGTCCGACTCTTGAGTGACTTTCGTTAGTGCCTGTGTCTCCTTCTCTGTACCCAGATCTCGTTGAGTATGATGTCGTGGGATACTTCGCGCAAGTAGATGCGTTGGCATGTGAATAGTGGACAGTCGCGCAAGATATGCTTTCGCATTTGACGTGGCGGCTCTCCACATGAGCGGCCAGCTCAAACCTTTCGAGCTATGCGGAAATGACTCCGAGATGTTTTCTAGTGCTTTTGGTACCGAGTTGGCGGCTGGTTGTAAACGCGAATGTTCAGTAGACAGTAGTTCCATACCAAATTGCTAATAGACCCTGGCTGGCAATCTGCTGGCATTGCAGATATACTTCTATTTGAAGGTAGCACAACCACGCAAAGAGCAATGTCAAATAACAATATTCAGCACATAAAAGCCAGCGGTCTTCCTGACCTACTATCTCCTTCAGAATTATCTGATCCCATCGCACACGAGCTGCAAATAATGCGTTTCTCCTCTGCATTTGTCCTCGTCGCCATTGCTGCCTTAGCCTCATCACCAATCTCTGCCATACCCACTGACGCGGCTGACAGCGGCACTGATAGATGTCCCAACTTTTGCACATTGGACGAACCGTGCAAAGGCTGCATTTATGGGATTTGCGTGAGTTTCAGTAATTTTCCTGGATTTGATAACATGACTCACCTACATGGCAGGCCTTCAATATCTTCTGCATAGTGAGTCGTATTTCTGCATTCACATCGATGTAGTATGGCCGTTGGCACTGACGTGCGAATTATTAGTGATTTGTAGAGTTGATCAACGTGCTGTCAGGAAAATGTCGGTGGAGTTGGCATAATTTTCGTTCGATTGGAAATGTAAGATAAGATGCGTCAGTAAACCACCAATTTCTCCCCAGATATTATATACATGGCCCTGGACCTCCGAGTTCTTCAAGTATTGGTTCCCGATTCCAGATCCAAATTTTGTACTATGATCGACTGGCATTAGTTATTCAGAGGGGAAGAATGGGACACACTGAGCGCTGCAGCAAGGTAGTATGGCGTCTGTGGAGACAGTTTTGTCTCTGGAATATGATGACGATTGTAGACTAGAGAAGATCTCCCTCAGCGATGATCAAGAGCAATGCCAACATTAGTAGCTATTTAGAGAAGATTTCCCTAGGCTACGTGAGTACAGGATAAGTACGGTGCAATATTTGTAAGACATACCCTAAAATCTGAGAAAACAGAGTGGGACGAAATACGTAATTCATTGTGTTCACTGTACAGTTCAACATGTAATCGCGATATCCACGACGAAGGCGGTGAGATCTGAGAACGAGAGCACCATAAAAATGATGCGTGTAGGGATGATGTGAGCTGTGAGGCATGGGCATGAACAAACAGCTGGAGGGAAAAGGCACCAAGCAAAAGTAAGTGAACGGACGATGAAATTGACGCAATGCGAATACTTAGTAGGAGCTAAGACGAGCGGTTCCGGTACGATAGATATCAGAGGGTGATATTGGACGCAAATGCACCAGGGTGTGACAACTGGCGTCCTCGTCAAGGAGCTCTTCGATAGTTTATTTCTGCATTTGTCTGGATGTCTTGACAGACTGACACATTGAGATCATTGAGATGACGAGCACATCAATAAGTGCCTTCGGGCAGATGTCAGAGCGAACAGCACAAAATTACAAATGAGTACAAGACATTGAAACCAAACAATGGCTCCTGCATAACTGGTCCAGAAAGAGATACGAAAGATGGAATAGATTTCCACAGATTGGGAAAAGCTCTGGGAATTGGTGACGAGGCGGAAGTGGTTGACAGGGCCCGAATCGTTCAAGATAAGCCTAATCTGAATCGCGCCTTTAATAGCATAATCCAGTGAATGAAAGAAGACCTACCTCGCTGACACGCAAACGAAGCCAAATGTCACATTGCATTTTGCTGGCCATCCCTCGCTACATAATGCCAATCTGTCAGGTCTGGCGCCAGCTCGTTCTAAACCTAAATTGGTACCACATGTATGACTGGGATGATCAGGGATTGAGTTAAGGAACATTGCACAGCGATGTAAGCACCTAGAACCTGGCCATTTGGTGGTCTGTGAACAAGTCCCATACACTGAAACAGTAGGCCGACATCTGACACAAGTGAAGGGGAGTAAAGTAAATCGCGGGCGAGCGCGCACACAAGCGCACAAGCGTCAAATTGCAACCCGACAGATGCGCACTAACCACGAGAGTAAAGGGGCGTGCGTAAGGAGATAAGTTGTTTGGGGAGAAAACCGGAGAAAGCCAGGAGCATGGACACAGCTTAGACACATGGACCTGCAGCCTTATCAAACATGTGCGAGCTATAAAACACATCTACTGATTCCACCTCCCGCCAATGAGATTCTGCAAGAATGCCTTCTTGCTCAGTGACGCTTCGTAAACTCCTCGAGATGCGCCAAACTCAATCTAATCATCTTTTGAGTGACAACTTGGGAGTCCGTGATCACACTTGAGCGAGATGTAGTCATGATATAGAGGTAGTGAGATTCGCCTACTGCGCTGCTTTATGAGAGAATAGATACGATGCTTACCTCCCAGTCGCCCCAGAACACGCATCTCTCGCTTTCAACATAACAACTCTCACATCACATCAGCACTTGCACTATCCAAAGTCCTTCTCACAGACGGTGTCCGAATAATACCCGAGCCAACAACGACAAAGTCAGTATGCGTCGGCAACGTGAGTGGCGATGGGTGAGGGTGGGTTGGACCAGAATAAGTGGCTGGAGTTTGGGAGTGGGAGCCCTGGAGAGTGCTGGATGCGCGCTTAGAGGGTTTCGATGGTGTGGAGGTTGTCAAGGAATTCAGTTAGTGCTAGTCGGATTAGGGAGTGTGTTGCCTATCGCGAGAAGGAAGCAAACAATGCGGTTGCAGCACACTTGCAGTTTTCTGATTTCCTTGCAAGTTCGGTACTGTTCGACCTCCATAGCTTGATAAGTTGGTGGAATTTATATGTTGCGGACTCTGTCGTATACACCAAGTCTGTGGCCTGTGTGTATCCCCGTCATCATCAACATCATGACCAACCAAGTAAACTGACTCACCTAACTGCGCGTCGGCAGCGTCTGTCATCGTACTTGGTATCTCTGTGTTAACAATATCATACTCGCGGTAGAGTGCACTTGCCTTGAGCACTTCTTCTGGAGCACCGGTGCCTTGGTAAGCATTGCTCTTGAAAGACGTTGGGAGAAAAAGGACATGTAGCACAGATTTCGTAGCAGATGTCATGGATTTTTTAAAAAGGCGTAAGAGGGGAACGTATACCTGAGGAATAGCCAGTATCTTGGTATTCGAGTCAAATGAAGAATGATGTCGAATGCGGGTCCTCCAACTGCGTTAATGGCGGTGCAATGATATCTGATCTAGAGAGCCCAGGACACGCGGATACGGCAACAATGTTGGACTGACGCTGACGACCTGGATGGTGGAGTTGTCTGTCTTGAGTACCTGGCCGACTGACATGAGTGCGTCTAGGACACGCTGAGGGTGGCAGGTAGAAACAACTATTTGAAGAGAGCGCCAGCCTTCTTGGTGGAAAAGTGGATGTGGCTTGAAAGTTGGGGTACGGTGGCTGCATGACGTTGATGATGCGTACTATGTCGCGTTCGGTCGGTGGCCATGGGTGATATGAGGATAAAAGTGAGAATGATGCATTTTGGATTAGTACGGCAGGATCCTGACGACCGATTATGCTAATTAGCTGGCTGCTACCGGTACAAAGATGATGAGACTCTAGACTGACTCCCCATTTCGAAGTTGGGCACTGGGCATTGGGCATTGGGCAAATTAATATTGGGCGTTGGGCGTTTTACATAACTTTGACGATTGGATAAGCACTGCCGAGGCTATTTTTGTCATTTGATGATCCACGGACCACAGTATGTCATTATCGTTTAAAATTAACGTTTAACAGTGCACTAGCACTTGCAACATTGCAATTGCCAAATATTGCCTCGAGGCGTTAATGGCCTGTTATTCTATATAAATGATGTGGGTCCCTTAACTTACCAACCGCTATTCACAATGACCAAACGCAAATCATCGAGCGACTCAACTCAACAAACCCACAAATCTAAGGACGGTCACGGTGCCAAGAAGTTAAGGATCTCGGTAAGTCCACGAGCATGCGTAATCGGAGTGTCCTGGAATACGACTGAGAATGTCATAAGCGCTCCAAGGATTCACGCAGCCGCAGCCCTCTTCCCCTGAATGTTCATCATGAAGGTGCTTCATCGACCTCGGTACGTTCTCATACTTGCCCTCCAGTCTCCGCGCTCTTTCTAAATCCTGGTGGTCCCGCGAGTTCAGGCGGCTCCATCTCCCATGGAAGTGACTAATACCCAATCGGAACGTCGGGATGCACAAGAGTTTGCAATGCGCATGCATCCGCTTGCGGGACCTGTGATTACTGTGCCGTCTGTTGGACCAAGGCGGAGAAGAGGATCTTCATGCCGTCGAGAGTTCCCAGGACACATATCTCGAACCCCTCAGAATATTTGACAATGTTATCAGCAAGATCGCAGATGTATGCACCTTCCTCTCGATTAGAACCTAACTAATCCCATCCAACAGTTACATCCATATGCAAAGATGGCACTGGGCGTGTTGTCTTGCGCAGCCAAAGTATGTTTTCTCTTTATCTCCTCCTATCTCCCACCACTCAGCAATCATTGGTACAGATTATTCTAGCTCAAGCGGATCGCGACGCAGCGGTACTCAAACTTCTCAAGAAGATATGTGATGTTTACAGCTTCATAACACAAGACAACATGCTTGCCCAACTCTCGTCGATGCGAACTATCCTTGGCAAGATTTCTCAGCAGACCCGTGAATGCGCCCATTTTATCGAAAAATATTCGGAGACCAAGAAAATTTGTGAGTATTACAAGCTGGTGCGCTCTGTACCGTCTCGAGCTTCTATCATCATCACAGGGAGCAGACTTGGAAAGGACATCTTCTGGGAAACGGAAGATACGATCAAAAAGTACAATGACGTGTTCGATAGGCTCATGCAAAACTTCCGGGACCAAGTTACTCGCAACGTAGCCATACACGTCCACCGTATGGGTAAGGGTTGTGACGTCCTTGTGACTTGACATATACTCATTACCTTTTCAGATGAAAGATTGGACCTTAGTAGTGTGGCTTATGCAGATGGTGCGGGACTAGATACCAGAAAAGAATGCCTTGAAGGGACCCGTACGGGAATCCTTTCCGACATCATGGAATGGGTCAACAGCACCGGGGACAATGTTCAACGCGTGCTGTGGCTATCTGGCCCTGCAGGCAAGGGCAAATCGGCCATCGCCCACACCATTGCTAAGTGGGTCAACGACGTGGGAGGGCTTGGTTCGTGTTACTGCTTTGACCGCCAGCGAGAAGCAGACCGTCGCCACGAAAAGATCTTTTCCACAATCGCGCGCGACCTGGCCGACCGTGATCCGGAGATGAGGCGGGGATTGGCAGATGCGGTTCAGGCCGCAAGTTCGCTCAAGAAGACAGCAGATATCATCCAGCAGTGGCAGAAACTCCTTATCGAACCACTGGAGAAGTCATCTGGGTCGACTGGGGAGCCCATCGTGATCGTGATCGATGCACTGGACGAGAGCGGTGGAGTAGAGACACGGAAAGACCTCCTCGGCATTCTAGCTGGCAAACATCACAATCCCGCTGTTCCCAAAATCACAGATCTTCCTGGCAACTTCCGCTTTATCATCACCTCCCGCCCGTTTGATGACATCAAAGAGAAGTTTCGTGGTGTTCAGCACATTCGACAGATGTCGATGGATGATATTCTACGAGCAGATGCAGAGCGCGACATCCGTGCTTACGTATCCAAGGAGTTGGAAGGGCTGGATTTCCACGACGGAGAGTTCGCAGTCCTCGCTGAGAAAGCTGATGGACTTTTCGAGTGGGCGCGTCTCGCTTGCAAATACATCAAAGAGTCTGATATGGGGCTATCTCCAATCGAATGCTACAATGGCGTGGCGTCACGCGATCCTGCTGAGAGAAGCAGGCTGTTGCATGAGATGTATCTCCTCATTTTAACAAATATCATGCCCAGCGATACATCTACCCATATGCAGCATTCGGCGAGACTGCGTTCGACGAAGCCAGCGAGATTTCGCTCAGTAATGAGACAAATACTAGGCACAGCTGAACCCCTTCCTTTAGCTTCCCTGAACGCCATGAGGCGCCATTTTCCAACACCGGAGGATAATTTCGACGTCGAGCTTGTGGTAAAAAGCATGGGCTCCCTCCTCAGTGGCACCACCAACCCAGATTCCCCGATCCGACCACTTCATGCATCCTTCCGCGATTTCCTGACGGACAAATCATCCAGTGGAGAGTTTTTCATCGACCTGTCAAAGGCACAACACGACCTTGCATTCTCGTCGCTTCGAGTGATGGAACACAGTCTTCGCTTCAATATCTGTGATTCAAAGTCGTCCTATCTGCCCAATAAGGAAGATCCCGGTCTACAAGAACGAGTCCAGAAACGCATCCCCTTACATCTGTCATATTCATCTCGATTTTGGACGTCGCACGTACGAACCACAACCTTTGACAAGCAACTCGCGAAAGAAGTGACATTGTTGTTCGACCACGAGCGGCTGTTTTTCTGGCTTGAGTTACTCGCTTTGGTCAATGCGCTCAGCGGTGCAGTTGTTGCCCTTCCGCTCACTCCCCTGTGGCTAAAGGTGTGGCTAAAGGTGAGTACATTGCTACTTAGTGCCAGATAAAGCGCTCATGCGCAACCATAGGGCCATCCCAAATTCAAAGATGTCTCGTCGACTGCAATGGACGTACAGAGGTTCATTCAAGTGTTCGGCGGCATGATTTTGCACAGCACGCCACACTTGTATGTATCAGCACTCCCATTCTCGCCTGCCAACTCTCCGCTATCGAGAAAGTTTTCTGCACGGTTTCCGAATACTCTTCGTGTAGCATGTGGACGTGATATGAATTGGCCAGCTTTTCAGACCGTGCTCAGGGGGCACACTTGGGCAGTGAACTCGGTCTCGTTCTCGCCGGACGGCACTCGCATCGTCACTGGTTCTTCGGATAACACTGTTCGGCTGTGGGATGCAGGGACGGGGGAGCCAGTCGGTGAGCCCTTGCAGGGGCACACTGATTCAGTGAACTCGGTATCGTTCTCGCCGGACGGCACTCGCATCGTCACTGGTTCTTCGGATAACACTGTTCGGCTGTGGGATGCAGGGACGGGGGAGCCAGTCGGTGAGCCCTTGCGCGGGCACACTTGGGCAGTAAACTCGGTCTCGTTCTCGCCGGACGGCACTCGCATCGTCACTGGTTCGGACGATAACACTGTTCGGCTGTGGGATGCAGGGACGGGGGAGCCAGTCGGTGAGCGCTTGCGGGGGCACACTCATTTAGTAAGGTCGGTCTCGTTCTTGCCGGACGGCACTCGCATCGTCACTGGTTCGGACGATAGCACTGTTCGGCTGTGGGATGCAGGGACGGGGGAGCCAGTCGGGGAGCCCTTGCGGCACACTCATTCAGTGAACTCGGTATCGTTCTCGCCGGATGGCACTCGCATCCTCACTGGTTCTTGGGATAGCACTGTTCGGCTGTGGGATGCAGGGACGGGGGAGCCAGTCGGCGAGCCCTTGCGGGGGCACACTGATTCAGTGAACTCGGTATCATTCTCACCGGACGGCACTCGCATCGTCACTGGTTCGGAGGATATGACTGTTCGGCTGTGGGATGCAGGGATGGGGGAGCCAGTCGGTGAGCCCTTGCGGGGGCACACTTCTTCAGTAAGCTCAGTATCATTCTCACCGGACGGCACTCGCATCGTCACTGGTTCGGACGATAACACTGTTCGGCTGTGGGATGCAGGGACGGGGGAGCCAGTCGGTGAGCCCTTGCGGGGGCACACTGATTCAGTAATCTCGGTCTCGTTCTCGCCGGACGGCACTCGCATCGTTACTTGTTCAAGGGATACTACTGTTCGGCTGTGGGACCCAGTCATGAGCCGGCCGTCGCAACAGTACGCTGTCTCAGATCCTTCAGCATTATCAAATGAACATCACACGATCGAGGCTACGACTACCATCACATTGAACATTTGGAACAATCACCTCATTCGCTTCTCGTCCAACTCTATCCACGCACTCTGCAACACCTCAGAGCTAACGGAGGGAGCATCCCATGACGACCGCAGTTCGACCCCCTTTTTGCTGAATCGTGACAGTGGATGGATGGTAGGACCCAAGCGTCGCCTGTTATTCTGGGTACCACCGGCTTCTCGAAACGCATTCTATAATCCTGCAACTACATTAGTGATACCCAGAGGAAATCCTGAGCTTGATTTGAGCCGAATGGCACACGGACAACACTGGCACAAGTGCCGAGAGGAGTGAGTGTCTTCAAATCCCTTTCCGTTCCTCGCACTTACTCAAATCAACACTTGCAGACCTTAGTACCAACGATGATCGCAACAATGGATCCATATGGAGATTTCAGATACAAATGAGATGCGACCGAGTGTACAGTGGATCGTACTTCGTATTCTATTCTATGCTAGCCCGAGTTTAGAATTGTCCATGCGAACGATGTGGGCTGACTGTGGCACTCATGATGTTAATGCTGGTTTGTGAGCGCACGCAACGACGGACAAGGCATGTCGATTCCATCAGAGATGCGGTTGCGCGTGCGCCATGGATTGTGTGAAAGTGATGTATAGCATTGGTGCTTCCTCATAGCAGACTGAGAAGCTGAACAGAAGGACATCGCTGTTGTGGTCATCCGTAGCCGTTGAAGTTCCCGTTGCACCCAGTACATTCAAAGTAATCTAAAAACAGGGTGCGACGAAATATGTTAGTTCACTATGTACACAGTACGGTTACAATATGTAATCGCGATATCCACGACGAAGGCGGCGAGAACGGGAGCACCATAAAACGATGCGTGTAAGGATGGTGCGAGCTGTGAGGCGTGATTAAAATAGCTGGAGGGGAAAAGCACCGGGCAAGAGTAAGCGAATGGGGAATGAAATCGAGGTAATGCGCACGATAGATGACATTGAATTGAGAGTAATATTGGATGCAAGTGCACTAGGGTGTCACAACGGGCGTTCTCGTCAAGGAGCTCTTCGATAGTCGGTTTCTGGAGACTGAACAAAGAGTCTAAGGACTACAATCGAGTTCCATAGCTCTGCGTTGGACTTGTGATGATGTGTAACAGTGTGAATCTTTGCATTTGAGACTAGAAACAGACGGTGACTCACGAAGCTGTTGAGAGAGCTTTCATAATACAGTTACTACGCACGTCTGAGTCAAGACACGCAGGCCCGGAGTCCTTTGTCGCAAATCATACTTATTGGGTGGTGCATATTGACAATTTCCGTGGCCCACTTTATCCTTTCCAATGCGAACAACTCAAGTCTAGGACCCGTCGTGGCCGATACTTCTAATGTATGGTCAGTTGTCTTTTATTTCAAGATCGTAGACGACTCACCTTTTGATGAAAAGAAACAGGCATTATCTGTGCGAGATCCGCAAATTTCGATGACGGAACTGCGCTAACATTCATCAGCTGCTGGCAGCATCCACCCTGCAAGTGGAGTGGCCCATGCATTAGCGTGTGAACAGCGGATAGTCGTGCAAGATGTGTTCTCGCGTTTGACGTGGCTCTCCACATGAGCAGCAAACTCAAACCCTTCGAGCTATGCAGGGATGACTCCGAGATGTTGAGTGCTTT